ATAGAATGTTGCAAATTTAATTATTTCATTCTTTATACATATCTTCACTGAATTCTGTATTTCCGCAACCTAAGATTAAAACTCTTGCATTTTTCGCGACTAGGAAGCCTGTTATTGATTTTTAATCAGTCAAATGTGAAGCCCTTATGCTTCTAAATAATGCTTTTCCAGTATCATGGATCACCGTTATTCTTCATTTTTAATTTTATTAGAAAAGTACTGTAGAAAATAGAATATTAAAAAGTAAATTAATAATTAACCCTGATAATTCTCAGCTTCACTAGCAAAGGTAATAGCAAATGAAGAAGGGTTGACATTATTTGATAAAATTAAATAAAACGATTAAACTGGCTATAAGAGGGCAAGCTCACTGCCACCCCATCACGGCTACAAGAATAGCTGCCTTCATAGACATTGGAGTTTGAATGAGGGAAATGAAAGGCTGCCATTTTGGATTTCTGGTCTGAACCACCTGTCCAGGTGATAAGCTCTCTCTTAGGCAAGTCATCGTCTGTGAGATACCACAATAGTCCAGATAGACGAAGACAATGTGATAGGCAAAACATGTCTAGCTAATCTGACAGGGTCAGGAAAACCTTCAGGGGGAGAAAAAAAACTTCCCTCTTCATCATTCCTAAGCCTGAAGGCTTACTTCAAAAGATACAGAGACCCTGCTTTCAGCTTCATTAGGATGGATCTGCTCCATAGTAAGCAAGCTTCCCAATTTTCATCAGCGCCACATAATTTCTCCTATTATTTGATAAGGAATTCTCCAGAAAAAATATGATTGAACGCTGTGAGACCAGTGCCCATAGTTGACTCCTGCATGCAAGTTGTTTATTAAGCTTTTAGCATAAGTCTCAACAGTTAAAGCCAGAGGTGATCCACTAAGCCCACTTGTTTTCGACATATTGCTTATCACAAGCCCAGGCTTTACCGTCGCAACATCAATTGCATGACTGTACTCATATCTTATCGCTTCACTTAAAAAGTGATCAAACTTTTTTACAGAAGAATAAACTGCTAAAGAGGGTAATACGGTTTCTTCAACCGAAGAAGAAAAGCTCATTATCAAACTCCTTTGGTGGGTTTCCTCATACCGTCTCAAAAATCCAGGTATCAGATAGTAAGAAAGCATTGTTTGTGGGTAAACATTGACTCCAATAAGCTCTTCTATTTCAGATAAATCTTGATTAACTAAAAATTGTGGGTGCCCTCCAAAACCTACGTTGTTGATTAAAATCGAGATATTGTAGGAGCTCAGGTCTGCTATGACTTGCTTGTAAAAATTTTCAGGGTCTCTATGAGAGTATTTAAAATCAACTGCGAGGTATAGGCAAACCCTATAAATTGCCCTATATTGGAGCTGGAGACTCTCCAGTGGCTGGACCAACTGGAGAGAGGTCCTTTTGTCAACTCTCCTATTGGTTCGACCATACTAAGTTGGTCCAGCCACTTGAGAGTTTCCAGCTCCAATGTCCTGCCCTTATAGGCAGTTTATAGGATTTATCTATATTTGAGATCTGGGTTTTTAGTGATTTCGAAAATTTCTTTTACAACTGCTGCTAGCTTTTCTGCGTTGCGGGAAATTAAAAGCACTTTGAAGCCTCGTTGAGAAAATTCTAAAGCGAGCCCTTTTCCAATCCCATCTGATGCCCCTGTGATTGCGACCCATCCATACCTGTACTGATCAACATCAATTTTGCAAATATAGCTTGAATAGACCCATGTAATCAGCTGATAAGCAATTTTTAGAGCTCCAATCCAAACGAAGAATTCCCAAATAGACATTTTATTATTAAATTGATTGGATTTTATATTGTCACTATATAAAAGAAATCCATATATAAAAAAATTTTGGCCTATTTATTGTATCCCAAAACTAACTTTTAAAATAATAAGTCATCAATTAATATATATAAATTAATTGCTACACCTCATATAACCCTTTTATGTTGGGATTGAAATGAAAAAATTGAAGTTGCAAGTGAGGTCCAATAGTTTTGATAGTTTAATGCTTCTTTAATAATTAAGGGCTATCCTTAGGGATGGATCTTCAGTTGCTTAACTTCAGATGGAGGCTGGAAACTAAAAGTAATGGACTTGTGCAGTGCATGCTACAACTGAATAAAGGATTGATACTGCCTTGGGAACTTAGATGTAGAGATATTATGAGGAAATATAGCATAGGAGATGATGAAATCGGTGAAGAATGGAAAAAAGTAAATGAAGGAGATGAAAAAAGAAAAAGAATAGAATGGAAGAGGAGGTATGGAAGATGACGGGCTTGTACAGGCTACTGAGACAAAATAATACAGGTGCAAACCTACCGTTATATCTAAGAAATGCTAGTGAAAGGTGCCAAGCAATAAGGAAAATATTTGGACTGCGTTCTGGGTCTAATTTACAAACATTGCAAATATAGCAGACATTTGGCTGATAGCCCTGGGTGCAGCTTTTGTGGAGCAGATATAGAAAACGAGGTACATGCTATAGAATTATACGGTGCTTATGAAGGAGAAAGGAAAAAAATTACTGAAATCTTATGAGGCGTTATGAAGGAAGATTTTATTGAATTGAGTCTGACAGACGTTGTGCTGTGTAGTTGAAAATCTGAAGAAATTATGTTAAGAAAATACCGAAACTGTATCACTTATTAATGAAAAAGTCATGATTTTATAGGAAATATTCATAAAATTAGAAGGAAATTGACCCTGATGGGGTGACGACCATAAATTAAATCTTAAATCTTAAAACTCCGTGAGCAAAGTTAGCAGTTTAACGAAGAAGAAACTACTATATTAACTCTTTAGATTTGGAATTTGGACAAAAATGATAAAAGACACTCCAAAAATTAACAAAGGGTTTACAATAGGAAGATAAAGCTACTTCTTTCAGGTGCAAAAGAAGAAATTAAGCCAAAAGATATTAAAAATAAAGCAACTTTAAACGAAATGAGTAAGGGTACAGAATTAATCAATGTTCCAAATATAGACCCAACTGACAACATTTTTGGTGAAGAGGTCTATTTAAGCCTGAAAGCGAAAAATTCGCGTAGGAGAAATTTTCATGTTCAGCTTACTGACCATTAGAAAAATCCCTATTTTTTGCCTCGTGAGCGAACAAAAAATTTTTTTAATAGAAAAAATTTTTATGAAAAAAGTTTTGATATATAAGTGATAGTTAGTATTATAAAATCTATAGCTAATCCTGTTTAATTTTAAACAAATTGCGTTTTTAAAACATAAATTTTGCAAATTAAATATTATTTGCTTTCCAATTTTTGCGAATTAGGATTTTTTTAAAATTTCGAAAAAACAATTTTCTATAAAATTTATATATAAAGTTTTTTCAAAAAAAAATTAACCCCCTCCGTGATCGAACAAGTTTTTTTGTTCGCTCACGGAGGGGGGAAGTTAGAAAAACTCAATTTTAAAGGATTAAAAATGTGCAATTTAGTTTAAAATTTAATTCATTTGTTGATATAATAATATAACCTAATATAAATATTTTATTAATGAAAAAAATATATATATAGATCTTTTTAAAATTCCATAAGCTAAAAGCTGATCTTGTAGTTTGAAAATGACAAATCTATCAAATGCTACAGATTTTGCAATTGAAGAGTCAACTTAACAATTCACAAAAGTCAAGCGAGACTAGCTAATTATGAAAATCTAATAGAATCAATAAGCTCATATGATCATAGAGTTAATTTTACAATTAAAAAAACAAATATATTTCATATTTATTTTATTGTAAATTTATGTGGAATTTTACAAATACCACATGAATATGCTTAGCTTCTCTCCAATTTATAATAAAATGGAGCCATTATCAAATTTTTCACCTGAAATATATGAAATTATTAAGCCTATATCCGAATTTGATCAAAATGATCCAACGTTTTACCATAATCCAACCGTAATAGAAGCTTTAATAGCTTTATTAGAGAAAAATAATCCTCCTTCAGTTTTGCCGTTTATTGGGAATATTATAGGAAAAGCTATTGCGAATTTTATATCACCTAACTCCTCCTCGATAGCGAGCAAAATATTGCGTTCGCTCACGGAGAATTATTTTTTTTTTAAAAAAATTTATATGTATAAAATTTTGTTTTAAAAATTTAAAAAAATCCTAATTCACAAAAATTGGAAAGAAAAATTAATTTAATTCAGCAGAATTGGCTAGAGGTTTCATTATATTAATTAATATTTATATACTGATTTTTTTTCAAAAAAAAATTTATATTAAAAATGTTTTCTTTGCTCACAGAGGGGGGAATAAGCATTTAAAAATTCTTATTTCACTAATCTACTTAAACTCAGCATTTCCTGAGTCTCAACAAACTATTTTAAAGTCAATTTACGAAGGACTCAACGCTTTTATTGATAAAGAGACAACTTTTACTTCAGTTGATGGGAAAGAAAGATTACTCAAACCACAAGCTAGCAGCTACTTTTTCTTTAACGGGCAAGGAAATTTCGCTCAGTGTTCAAATCCCTCAGAAATTTTTGCACCTAAAAATGAATTTAGCTTTTTCTCTTGGATCCTCCCAAGCCAAAATTGCGCAAACTCTTGTATAGCAGAATTTTCTGAAGGAAATAATCAAAGGTTTTCTATTTTTATCAGAAAAAATTACTCAGTTGGGATTAAGTTATCTAATTCAAAGACCGTTTTTAAAGTCGAGTCTGAAAAGAAGCTAGAAGTTAATCAATGAAATATGATTGGATTTTCAATAAGGAAAACTGCAGGGCTGAGAGGGAAAAAAGATGATCTTTTGATATTTGTGAACGATGATTATCCCTCTGAATTTATTAACTCCCCCCCCATCCTTGATCGAACGATTGACTGTAAAAATTCCTAAAAATTGGGGAAATTAACTCCCATCCTTGATCGAACGATTTTCATATCATGCAAATTTTTATATATATAAAAATACAATAGTTATCAAAAGCTTGGGAAGATATACCCTAATGAAGTTGTTTTCAGAGACTTTGAGACGATAGAAAGCTTCGGAATCAACCATTCAAAGTAATTTAGTCATCAATCTAGCTTAAAACTCAATAATCTAATAAAATAGAGATTTTTTAAAAATTTAAAAAAACAAATTTTAATTTAATAAGTAACAAATTAAAAATTTATACAGTTTTTAAAAGGGGTAACTAATAAATTAAAATATAAAAAATTGTATTTTTATGAAATTAATTCATTTTTTTGCTGTAAAAATAATTATTAAATACTCTTAAACCCTCTTATTTAAAAGTAAAATAAAAAAAAATTTATATATATATTTTATTTTATATATATAAAATTTTTTTCCCAAAACAATTTTTTTAACCCCCATCCTTGATCGAACGATGGCGAGTCGTTCGATCAAGGATGGGGGGGGGAGTAAGAAAAAGCGAGATGCAATTTACCCAGATTTTGGCATCACTGTTATCACTATTGGAAATTCGTCTGATCTTAATAATCAATTCCAAGGAAAAATCGCATCAATGTATATTTCTGATAAATATTTGCAGAATCTTTGCTTTTTTCTGGAAAATTCAAGGAATAAGCTTTCAATTGGATATAACCAAAATAGTGATGCCAATAGTAAGCTGATTGCTAGAGATTTTTGGAATTCTTTGATTTTCAAATGAAATTCTTGACGCAGAATACCAGTTGCTAATTTTAACAATTTTAATGCATGTGGATTCCAATGGATTCATTCAAATAATATTTTGGACTCACTTGATGTAAATGGAGGATTAAAGCTGTGAATACCTATGATTAAAAAATGCGATAATCAAGGGATAGTCTGGATTATCAAAATAATCGGTTCAATTTCTCAAGTTTCTAATTACTTTAAAAGCCAAATTGTCTGGTTTAATAGTTTTATTGAGAATTTTTGTGTTGCCCTTGAAGAATCATCTATAGATCCAAATCAAGATTTTTTCAACTCTTGTACAAATTTGATAAATAATCTAGAATGAAGCCGCCTAAATAAAGATTCTAATAGCTTTCAATTTTACTATCAGCTTAAAGCTTTTAACTCCATTTTTCTAACTCCTATGCTTCTCCAATTTGTTGTTGTTGATTATTTTAGTGTCTTAAATAATTTCTTTTTTTGCTTTTTTTTTTGTTAAGAAAATAAGTAAAATTCTGTGGGTGAAACTGACGTCATCGACTTTAAGGGAATGATTAAAATTTTTATCAGAGCAAATACCTTTGCATTTTACCTTTTCTATTAAAGAAATGGTAATACTTTTTAGCTTTCTAAATACAGTTGAATCAATTGTTTATAAAGAGCAAGATACACTATTAGTAGAAGATTTCTATAATTTGGTACTTCAGATGCTTTATAAAATGCTGATAAGAGAAAATAAGATATTCAATACAGAGGCATTTATAGGTGTACTTATGAAAATGGCAGACAGTGATGGCCATACAGTACTACTAGAAAAATTTCTCCAATATCTTTGTAAAGTTTCTCTGCCTATTGAGAAGTTTAATGAATTATACGTTGTTATGCTAAATCTTTTAGAAGATCATAGAGAAAATCTAAAACTTCCCCCTCATTAAGTGAACAAAATCATTAGAAAAATCGCTTTTTTTTGCCCAAAAACTCACCCTCCGTGAGCGAACAAACATTTTTTTAATAGAAAAAAATTTTATGAAATAATAAAGTGATAATTATCGTAATGAAATCTCTAGTGCTAATTCTGTTTAATTTTAAACAACAATTTGCTTTTTAAAAACATAAATTTTATAAATTAAATTAATATTTGGAATTTGGTTTTTTTCAAATTTTTGAAAAAAAAAAATAATCCCCCTCCATGAGCGAACAATTTTTTTTGTTCGCTCACGGAGTGAGAGGAGTAAACATTCGCCAAAGTTTGATTAAAATTATGATTAAGCTAGTCCTAAAATCAATCCCTAACATACCAGAAATAACAAAAGTAAAATATATTATTCAAAATTTATATTTAGATCTAGATAGATGCTTACATAATGAAATCAGCTTTGGAGTTTACACATCGATAGTGCGAATTATCAGTAAAGTAATGTACTTTTCCAATACAACTGCGATGATAGAGAATTTCAAAAGCTTTATTGACCTCATCACTTCAAGAATCCCTAAAACTGAAAATATCCAAGATAAGACAGAAATAATTGATAATTTGACAGGAAAAGCTAAAGAGTTTGTAGGTTTTGCATTAAGTCTTCATGATAGACCAAATTTCCCTCAATGGCTTATTGATACTCATGATGCAACTTTAGTTTATGGTTTAGCCTTAAGCATTTTTTCTTTGATTAATTATCTTCCGAACTATAATCAGCTTAAAACTTATCTTTTTGGAGTTGCTGATAATTCAGGGTATGAAAAAGCTTTGGATTTGTTTTTATTGCTTTTGCATAATATCAAGGACAAATTTAAAAACAATATACGATGGTTTTTGGAGTTATTAGGGGTTCTAGAAGATTTAACTAATCCAGCTTTTATAGAGACTGAACCTATTTTATCTGGTAAATTTAGAACAATTTTGAGAGAAATTATTCAAATATCTAAAGAATTAAAGCTACTTTCGTTAAACCAGCCAAATTTGCCGATTTTGAATTTCTTAACTTTAAGCAACTTATTTAATGAAAGTCGCCAATTGAAGAAATATGATAGGAGTGCTATATATATAAGGGATGGAGGATTTATTCGATTTATTTTGAAATTTATATTTTTAAGTTTGGATTTCGAGCAAAATGACGAAACAATAGAAAATCTCAAATGTTTAATGAAATTTTGAAATGAAAAACATACAAGCAAATTACCTAAAAAGGAGCTTTCAAGATGTGAAAGACTAACAAAGCTTTATACAAATTATCCTAAAGATCAAAGTAATCTTCTCAGTGCAGATTTTTTAAAATTATATATTTTTACAGAAATTGCTGAAATTATTTTCCACAATAATTCAGTGAGTTTATTGGACTTTTTGTCGAAATTTATATTACAATTTAATATATGCAATCTGCTTCTTGAGGTGCTGAACTCTCTGACCTCGGAAGATCTCGTGAATTTTCATAATCTTGAAGTAAGCCTAGACAAGCATTTTCATGGCACTTCAAAATCTTACCATCTAATACATTTCAGAAACAGGATATCCAAGAATATTCTGGAAAAAATAAGAAATACATCCCCTATAAGAAATTCAGGCTCTGTTGTTGATTTTTATATAAATGATCAGAATTTAATTTCAGATTTCAAAAAAGCTCTAACCAAAGAAGTAAATAAATTAATCAACTCTTTAGAAAACTTCGAAGTAATGGTACAAGTTTTGACATCAGATGACTGGATTAAAAATGTTCATTTGTTTTTATTAGCTTTTACATCAATGAAGATTAATTTTTTGACAATAATCGTGCCGAATTTTAAGTATAGTTACCCAGAAATGGAATCTCCTTATTTATCAAAAAGTTTTCATACCCCAGTCAGAACTTCAAGTAATAACGATAAATATGAAGAAACAGCTGAACTTCAATTTGATGAATATTTAAAATTAATTGGAAAATCGTATAGACGAGAAAAAGGGGAAATACGGCTTATTGAAAAAGAATTTGAGCGAAAAGAGGAATATGATAAAATTCTGTATTCAAAACAAAATAAAGAAATTGAAAAAACTATGAAGGCGCTTATAGAGAATCCTGGAGAAAATACAAATTATTTCAGTATAATCAATAGATGCGACAGTGAAGGAAAGATGCCGTTTTTAAAAGAATGAAGCCGACAAAAATTGATTTTTGAAAGCAATTCAGCTGAAATCAAGCGCCAAAACGACACTTTTCAATCAAAAACTATTTTTGACGAAATTGATAATTCACAAGAATTTTCCAAAAATCTAGCGATATTGGAACAAGGAATCAGTACAAAAATTTCTTCTGATGAGAAAAGTGACCCTTCTTCATATGCTAGTGAAGCTGAGATTATTGAAGAAATAAAAGAGTCTGAAGATTCAGAAAATGAAAACGAAAGATTCACTGAAACCCAAAAAAATACTCCAAGTGTCATTAATGAGCAATCAGTTGAAAGCGAGCTGGATCTTTATCTTTCAAACATAAATCCTTCTTCTGAAATTAACTATAATTGTGCCAGGCTCAAAATCAAGGGCCTTTACCGAGGAGTACTTAAATTTATAGATAATTACATCGTTTTCATTAATGAAGATACAAGAAAAAATTCTCAATCTGAAGCTACCTCAAAGCCATATGAAAAAGCTATCAAAAAAATATGATCGATAATAGAAATCCAAGAAATTTACCCCAGAAGATACATCCACAGTCATACAGCAATAGAAATATTTCTTAAAAGCGGCAAAACAATATATTTCACTTTTGATGATAAAGAAGCACGTGAGGGTGTTATAAACTATTTAAATGATAAGCTTAGACCATATAGTGTGCAAGCACATAATGGAGGGGCCCTCAAAAAATATACAAAATGCTGAAAAACTGGATCAATAAGCAATTTTGAATATTTGATGATATTAAATAAATTCGCAAGCCGCTCATTCAATGACTTGAGCCAGTATCCTATATTCCCTTGGGTTCTCAAGTGTTATGATAGAGACATAGATTTTGAAGACCCCAGCATTTATCGTGACTTTAAATTGCCTGCTGGTGCTCAAACAGAAGAACGAAAGCGTGATGCAGCCAGAAAATATACCATGTGTATGGAATCTGGAATGCCTCCATTTCATCATGGGACCCATTATTCTAATGGAGGCTTAGTTCTTCATTATTTGGAAAGAATTGAACCTTATACAGCTCAAGCTAAAATCTTGCATGGAGGAAATTTTGATGTCGCTGACCGTCAATTTAATTCTATACAAGCTGCATGAGACAATATAACGGGCATTGCTGGGGAAACGAAAGAACTTATCCCAGAGCTCTTTTATTTGCCTGAAATTTTGGTTAACTTGAATAATCTTGATCTTGGGACTAAACAAAACGGAAAGCCTGCTTGAGATGTAGATTTTCCAAGCTGGTCTAAGTCTCAATATGATTTTATAATAAAGCATAGAAAAGCTCTGGAATCTGCATATGTCAGTGAAAATTTGCACAATTGAATTGATCTAATTTTTGGATATAAGCAAACTGGGTCTAATGCGGTTGATGCTCTTAATGTATTTTTTGCTACTACTTATGAAGATAATTTTCAGAAAATTATAAATAATTCTGAAGACCAAGATTTTAAACAAACAATAAAAGACCAAGCAATCCATTTTGGCCAAACACCAATTCAGCTTTTTAAACGCTCACATACTAAAAGAGATACAAAAGAAAAATCCAAAGCAGGCTCTATTATAAATAAAATTAAAAATTCAGTGACCAATTGAACTGAATCCTTCCACAGCAATGGAAAAATCATGAATATTCTGGCTTCACAAAAAATTTTTGTAATTATAAAATATTTTGAAAGCAAAATAGTTTTGGTTAAATTTAAAAACAAAGGAGATTTAAAAATTGATTTTTTGAACCCAAAAGAAATAGAACTCGAAGGAACTCAGTGAATGCTAGATGAAAAACTGATAGACACTTCTCTATTTCAGATTATAAAAGAAGAAGGAATTGTTTCAGGAGGCTATATTGATAAAACTTTTAAAATTCATAACTTTGATGGCTATTTAATAGGATCTTATAGCTACCATATGAATCTAGTATCAGCTATTGCAGTTGCAAAATCAAAAATTATTACTGGAAGCTTTGACACATCAATTGTGTCTTGGAGAATTGGAAATACAATAAATGATAAAATAAGACGTGAAAACTTAAATTATGCAGGGCATATAAGCGAAATTAGGCAGCTCACTGTTTCTGAAGGTTACCAGATATTAGTTTCATTAGGGTTTGATAATACTGTGATGGTTCACAATTTAAGAAACTCAGAACTTATAAAAAAATTGCAATTTAACTCAAAAATCAATGAAATTGTTTTTAGTGAACTAGGATTAATAATAGCTTGCGGACTTGATGGGACCTTTGTAAAAACTCTCAATGGCTATGATTTAAATATAAGACCAAGGACAAAAAATATTAAAAATACCGATATAAGCAGCTCTGGTGAAGTTTTACTTTTTACTTCCCAAGAAGGAGTTTCTATCTTTGAGCTCCTCAGCAGCAACAATGAATCAGAATATATATTAAGCACTGAAGAGTTTTCTAATTCAAAATTTTCAGCATCTCAAGACTATTTAATTTGTTATCAAAATAGAGCTGATGATTTTGTTGTGTCAACATTAGAATAACTAATTTTATTAATCCTATTAAAATAAATATATACTTATTATTTTCATATAAAAATAAAGATTATTATAAAGAATATAGCTTAATATTGACTATTTAAAACTAATATAAATGTCAATCAATGCCAAAGATGAAGATGGGAGAACAGAACTTCATCGGGCGAAAGGAGATGTCCAGCATTTACTAGCCCGAGGTGCTGATCCGAATATTCAAGATGACGGAGGATGGACTCCATTAATATCAGCAGCAAGCAGCGGAGATTTTGAAAAATTCAGATGCTTGATCTCCCACCCGTCTATAGACGTAAATATGCTAACTGAGTCGGGCACATCTGCACTTCATTATGCAGCAAGTAAAGGCCATAATGAAATTTTGACGCTTTTGTTACAAAGAGATGACATTAAAATGGATGTCCAGGATACTAATTCAAGATTTACGCCTCTTATGAGAGCTATAGAGATCTAGTTTGAATATTTTGATTTTTTAATATTTTTAGATTACCATTTAGGTATGTATATTAGTATATTATAAGCAAAAAAAATTTATGTGCCCAGAAACTTATTCAAGCTGGGGCAAAATTAAATTTGAGAGACGTTGAAGGAGACACTGCTTTGCATCATGCAGCCATGACTGATAATATTCCGATTGCTTTGATGCTGATTGAAAATGGGGCTAAAACTGATATAGAGAATAAGCAACATCAGACAGCTTTGCAGGTAGCTTCACCTATGATGGCTCAAAGAATTGAAGAAGAGGCTTAGGCTTAAGAAGTTGAATTCAATCATTTTATTAACGATAATCAATCGTATTTTTATCAATTAAATATAATTTAGAAATTAAAATAATATTTAATAGAAACTCTTCTAAAAAATCTTGAATGGTTTTAGGTGAATGGCATATCAAAGCATAAATAAATCCTAGCCAAACCTTCGAGCTTTAGAATAATTAGAATGCCAATGCTGAAACCATCTTATAATCGTTAATTTAGACATCAAAAAAATTATAGAATCAAATTATTTCTAAATTTGCACCAGTAGCATTAAAGATTTAATTTCATAACGATTTACTAATTAAATATAAATCATTAATTTTCAGTTTATAATTGGCTTTAAGTAAATATTAATTCAAAAAATTGCATCTCACAATATTTAGCTTAAAGTTATTTCTTATAGTAAATTTATTATTCATATCTTCCACAAAATATTTTAATATTCTTCCTTTAGCCAAAGCCCATAAAAATTATTTAATATATCTCTATTAAAACTTTTCAATTCTCATTTTTCAACGCACAAGTAAATTAACTCATAATTTTTATAATGGGTGCAACATGTGGCATAATTTCAAGAAACGGGAAAGAAATTAAACAAGTTGCCCTTCCGATCCAAAGACCAAAGTTTCTCGAAGGTTTTCCTCCTCCTGATCTCCGTGAAGCTGGAATTGGCTACTATCTGATTCCTCAAACCATGAACGACAGATTATTGGAGAATTTAGGCAAGTGGAATAAAATGATTAATATGTATTCTTCTACTACTTATCCTTTTGAAACATATTTAAAAGATCCTGAAAGAAAACAAAAATTGCTGAGAAGAATTAGAAAAGGACCTCCTGTACAGTATAGATGGCAAGCTTGAATTGCAGTGATGCAATTAAGCTCAAAAATTAATGAAGATGCATATGCGAAGTTCCCAATGGCAGAGGAAACAATTATGGCAACAATTAAAAGAGACCTTGACAGGACATTTCCAAATCAGCCTTATTTTGATAAGCAAAATTTCAATAATTCAGGACAGGCCTCTCTTGAAAGAATCTTAATCCATTTGCAAAACTATTTTTTATATATAATCCTATAAAATATTATATTTTACAAAAAATAAATTATTTCCCAAAAAAGCTAGGAAAATTTGCATCTCAGCACCCTGATATAGGCTACTGCCAAGGAATGAATTTTATCGCTGGATTTCTTCTTATGATTTCAGGAGGAAGTGAAATTGAAGCTTATTTCGCTTTACAAGTTCTCTGCGAAAAATATGATTTAAGAGGCTTTTTTATCGAAAATATGCCATATCTGAAAAAATGTGTATGAATTTTTAATAGAATTTTCAGAATAAAACTCCCAAAGCTTTGGGAGCATTTTCAAGATGAAAATGTCCCAGACGATGCATGAATTTTAAAATGGTTCATGACAATATATTCAATGACACTTAATTTTGAAGCAATTGCCAGAATTTGGGATTGCTTCCTCGTTGATGGTATAAAAATGCTTTATCGGGTTGCCTTATCAATTTTATCTTCTATAGAAACTAACCTGCTTGGACTAGATGCTGTAGAAATATGTGAAGCTTTAAAAGAGGTAAAAAATATAATTGATCCTGAATCATTAATTATTTCGTCACTCAAAGTAAAGATTCAGAAAGAAAAAAATAATGAAGCTCAAATAAATAAGGCCATTTTTATTTTTTTTAAAAAAATCTTTATTTGGGGAAAAAATGGTATAAAAATGTTTGAAAATGCATATAAAAGGAGAATTCTTGGTAGGAATAGCACAAAATCTGTGCCACCTCTTAGACCAAAACCTGAAGAGGCTACCAATGCTCAAAGCGAACAATGGCTAAAGCCACCCCTCCCTAAAAAAGAGCCATATTCTCCTCAGCCACGACCTTTTGTTATGGAAGAAATTAGAGAAGACATAAGAGATCACTCAGCAAGAGGGAAAATGCACTCATTTTCATCTAATGTATCAGAAGAACACCCTTTACGTAGATCAACACAAGTTCCTACGCTTCCTGACATTTATAGCGCAAGGAAATATACAAATAGCTTTAGAGCTGAACCTTCTACTGGGTGGGTTGATGATGATTCTTCGCGTAGTGAATCAGATGAAGCAAGCGAAACTGTTGATGTTAAAACCGTTCTTCATGAGCTGTTAAGGGATAAAAGCAGGGATAATTTGTTTAGAATTAATTATATCGGAGCTCCATTAAAAAGAGAAGTGGACATTGATAAGAAGATCAACTTCATTAACAGGCTGCCAATTTAATGTATATTTTTTAATTTTAGTTGCATTTTTTATGATTGCTCTTTTAAATATCTCAATTTTAAATATTTTTATATATTTTATGTTAAAGAACAATAAGGAATTTTCTCTGTAAAATACAGATTTAAGATTTACACATATGCTATTAAATTTATTAATAATCATCAAATACATAAAATAATTACTATCAAGAATTCAGTATTAGCCCAGATCTATTATTGAGCAAAACCATGGTAAAATCAAATCAAAAACTCTCCCATAAACGAGCAAATTATTTTTGTTTTAGGACCTTTTTATAAATAAAATGAACTAATTCAATTTAATTTTAAACAGATTGCATTATCTTATTTAAATTTCTTAAATTTCAATTAAAAAGTTTAAACATAAGTTTAGCCACCCTTTAAGAGCAAAAATATTTTGCTCACTTAGAGTTAGTAAATTTTTATCATCAAAAGTGCGCAGCTTAAATTATTAAAAATATCGGTTAATTCCAAATTGATGCTTATTTCATATACCTGTTCCAGATGAATTGCCCATCAAAATATGAATATTTATTGATCAAGAAGAGGCAAATTCATATGAAACTTTTTTTCTATCTCATAATTTATGCTTTAATCTACCATTCTCTGCAAAACGGTATAGAATTTGTATGGTTCGTCATAAAAATGATGAATTTAATGAGGCGTGCACTTGTTATCGGAGGAAGCGGTGCTCTTGGCAGATCAATGGTCGAGATTTTCAGAGACAGTTGGGAAGTAACCAGTGTTGATCTCAGAGAAAATTCATCCGCCCACAAAAATATCATTCTCAACGAGCTTCAAAAAATTGACGACCAATGCGAGTCTTGCAAGCGAGAATTAACTGGAAAATATGACGCAATCTTATGTGTAGCTGGTGGATTTGCAGGTGGCAGTATTTCCGAACCTGAGGTCTTTTCAAAGATCCAGCACCTAATGAAATTGAATTTATTCCCATGCGTGATGGCTGGACATATAGCAACTCAATTTTTAGCTGAAGAAGGGCTTATAGTATTGACTGGAGCTGCTGCTTGTTTTAAAGATACAACACCCGGTATCATCGCTTATGCTTTATCAAAGACAGCTACCCATTCTTTAGCTTTAAATCTTGCTACAAGACAAGATATTCCAGCAACATCTACTGTTGCTACAATTTTACCAGAAGTTATTGATACCCCGAGCAATAGAGACGCAATGCCAAATGCTGATTTTAGTAAGTGGGCTAATCCAAGATCTATTGCTGCGTTGGTAAAAATGTGGGCAGAAGGAGTAAACAGACCTGAAAATGGCAGCTTTGCAGTCCTGAAAACAGTAAATGGACAGATTGTGCCTGAATTCGTTTAAATTAAATGAAAAATAAATAATTTCTTAAGAATTAGTAAGTTATTGGGTTGTCTATTAATATTCTTCCGGTCTTGTATTCAGAAGACTCACTGTCGTAGGATAGCACCCCAGCTTTTACTTGTTTCCACATTTCTCTGACAGGCTCAAAATACTCGTGTCTCATGGCTTCTGAAGGAAGGGTTCTTTGCTCATGATCATATCTGAGTATATGTGAAAGTAAATCAATCGCTTCTGGCCCAGCAAGTTCTTTACGCTCTGGGTCAATAAATTTGTTCCAGCCTCGTTTTGGGTAGAGACCTACTGCTTCTTCAAGCTGTGGCTCTATTTCTAGGTCAAATTTATCAATATAGCTTCTTAAGGTTTCTGTTCCGAGAACTCTGATGATTTTGACGATTTGGTCTAAATTGTCGTGGCCGTGGAAAAAAGGCTCTTTTTGGAAAATTATTCCAGCAAAAACTGTCCCAAAGGCCCACATGTCTAAAGAATAATCGTAATATTGGTAGTTGAATAGAAGCTCAGGAGCTTTATAATATCTGGTGCCAACCCTACAGTGGTATGGAGTACCAGGGACATAAAACTCTGATAGTCCCCAGTCAATTAAAGCAAGTTTTCTTTGGCTATGGTCAATCATGATGTTATTTGGCTTGATGTCTCTATGCATGATTCCATGAGAATGGGCATAATCAAGAGTTTTAAGAAGTTCGTACATATAATAACGAACTTCAAAATCTGTCAACTGCTTCATAAGTGTCTTATACTCCTGGTTCTCAAAGTATTCCAAAATCAATGAAATGGTTTTAGAAGGCTTGTCTTCAATTACATCAAATATGCGCGGAATGCTGCATGAGCCTTGCAGACACCTAAGAATTTTTATTTCCCTACGAATTTTTTGCTTTTTTATCGGCTTTAAAGCTTTGATGACCACTTTTTCATTGCTGACTATATTAATGCCGGCAAAGATATCAGCGTATTTTCCACGTCCGATCTTTCGGAGGACTTCATAGTTTTCTTGATGCCCCCAGTCAATTTTTAGGTTTTCATAGTCATAATACTCTTGGTTTTTATTGAGGTTTACATTTGCATATAGCCTGGCTTTGGATTGAGAGGTCACAGGTCTGAGTATTTGACTATTCATAATTATTAGATCTTCTAATTATATATGCTTTAATCCATAAATAATTTATTTTATTTTTTTAAAAACAATATATAAACTATTAATTTATATAGGGTAAAATTTTTAAAATCTCTTCATAAGCTTTTAGTTGGACTTTATTTCGAATTATTTCGTCTTTTGTGCTTTCAATCTCACCTTTAAGGATTTCTACTTCTTGGCTGCTGTCTGTAGCGAACATATTTACTGTTTGATTTCTATTGTAGGCTTGGATCATCTCAGCTTGCAAATTGTCACATAAAGTTTCGAATTCCATCATTAAGCTGCCATCATCTGAAGGCTGCTTATTTAGCAATTTTATGATGCATTCAATAATTCTTTTAAGCTGATTCTCCATTATAAGTAGCAAAAATAGCTGCTGGGAAAATAAGGTTGTTAAAATAATCATTAACTCAATAATTCTAATTAGAAGTTTAGAAGAATTTGTTGTGGTTTTGGAATAGGAAAGTGAGGCTTATTTACTTGTCAGGTCAAATAAAATTTAAATGTAAAGAAAAATTATGGATGGAGTTACTGGGGTTACTGCCGGTTGACATATTGAAATATAGATATGCAGTTAGGAAAACACTGATTAAAATATATCGATTAAATTTATATTAATCGGGAAGTCGATGTTAGCACACTAATGGAAATGAATAACCCTTCTGTCATGCAAGGGTTTAATTTCCCTGTTGTTTCCTTTCCCGTTTGCAAAATTCGGGTTATGGCTCCAATTTTGCCTGAAAAAATCAAGTTGGTCGATACTGATTGAATACAAGTTCGACATCAAAAACCACAAAACTCCTTGTAAAAGGGGTGGGGTGGTAAGAGAGCCTTCATATAGATACAATTCCATTTTGTCCTTTGGAATTAAGACCTGGAGGTCAATCAGGCTTAGGCATTCATGGCTTTGGATGACCTGGTCAAGGAAAGGGTTCCTAGTCCCATCTACCTTGAATAAAAACCCAATTACTGACATATTGTGAGGCTTGCCTCTTTCTTGATGGACTATATGCAGTTCTAAGTCATGTCTTTCACTGTTAATTATCCTTATCTATATTAAATATATTTTAAATAATGATGATAAAATTACCTAATTTTGTATAAAAATAAAAAAAAATAATAATGAGCCAATATAGTTCTTGAGAAGGGTAATAAATGTTCTGCAGGAGAGTGGAAGTGGAACTGAAGCACGTCAAAGATCCTTTTATCTTCCGTCAAAGAGTTAACTGTCATTGACCCAAACTCTCCTTGCACCAAAAAGGTTTTCGTGGTGAATTTTCCTTTCACAACCAATGGCTTATAATCGGTTCTGATAGGATGGAAGGACTCTTTCAATATTTCAGAACTTTTAAAAGTGACGTGCGGTTCGATATTTATTGGTGACTGATAGTTCCCAGGCTGACACATGCTATCTCATTCTTCCTCTGCTTTGCCGTAATGCCAGCAACTCTCGTGGGGAATTTCGCCTTTCTCAGTCTCATGCTCGCCTAAGTTCTGGAGAAGCTTTTCTACATGCTGCTTCTCATGTGGGCATTTGAAATGCTCATGGGCTAGTAACCCGGTCAGGGTTTGGAATTTTCTGCTTGAAAAGGATCTCAAAAGAGGACGGACAAATAGTGGTAAACGCAACATATTTATTGTTATCTGCAGCATATTTATTGTTGTTAAAAGCATAAAAAAACGAATAATTCCAGAAGGTCTGTAATGGCGAGATTATTTATTTGTAATTAATCATCTATTTCTGTAACAGAAAACTCAAAAACTCAAAAGAAAAATTGTTTTTGTTTAAGAAATCGTTTTTGTGGGTACTTATTGAGACCGATTTACGATCTTGTGGATAGATAATCGACTTTTTCGACTTTGAAAAGACAATTAGTTAATTAAAATAGACTATTGATCTGTCATTCAAGGGTTGGGCTTCCCTGTAATTTCCTTTACCCCCTACAAATTCAGGATTCTTCAGCCACCTCCTTGCAAAGAAATCGAGCTGATCAGCACTTAATGAATTTACCCTAGAGCTAACAAACCATAGCACTGTCTCAAACAGCGGCGGAGTTGTAAGTGAGCCTTCGTAGTAGTATAAGCCCATGTCCTTTTCTATGATTTGATATAGATCAATCTCAGTTTTATGCTCAGTGCTCTCCATCACAGTGTCGATAAATGCATTTCGCTTTCCATCATTTTTAAAAAGAATCCCTATAACTAGCAAATTAGAATGTTCTTTTTCCTTATGGACAATATGTAGCTCTAAATCATGCCGATTGCCATTAATTAAATGCTCAGCAGGAGAATGGAAATGAAATTGAGCGACATTGAATTTTCGAGGCTCTTTATTGTTAGGAGATTTCAATGATAAGCCTCCAAAGTCTCCTTTGATATGAAGAGTTTTAGAATTAAATTTTCCTTTTTTTATGTGAGGAGAATAGTGAAATTCAAGAGGGTAGAAATTTTCTTTTAAAATATTTGAGGCATTAATAATTGACCCAGAGTCTATATTGATAGGAGATTGATGCTTTCCTGGGTGGAATAATTCTTTTCATTCTGATTCTTCGTCTTTTATGCCGTAATTTCATTCATCCTCTTCTGGAAAATCTCCTTTTTGGGTCTTATGACTATCAAGTCCTTTAAGAAGCTTTTCTGGAGCGTCTTGGTCCATATTTTCGCTTGATGCTTCAGGAAGGACAATAGAATCTAGCTGCTTTTTTTTATGATCTGAGCCAAACAGCCAATGACAGCAGTTTCGGATCCAGCTCATTTCCGTTAATTTAATAATTACTTGGTTATTAAACTACAAAATTTACCTTAAGATAAGGGCAATTTTTAGCATTATTCAGAAATACAAAGCTCCAGAATATGAAACTCGCAATTTTTACGCTAGCATTTGTGGATCTACAGCCTAGAGGTGAGGGTAAAGAAGCTACAAGTGTAGATGGGACGAATATGATATTTTATAAAAAAAATACACTTATTTTATTAGAAAATAAAACATTTTGTTTGCTAGTCAAGGAAAAAAATAAATTGAGATCTATGATAGCTCATTATTTGATATTTGGATAAAATATAGCTAATAAACATCATAATCTAATTTCTCCAAAATATGAAGTTAAGGCTGCAGAGTAAAAGAGTTTTCTGCATTGATATTCTATTTAGCAATATTAGATATTTATAAAAATTTCCTGAGCAAGATTAGCAACCTTTTTAAGCAATCTGTCATAGAAAAAAATCACCGAAAGGAAAATTATATACTATTAATACCCAGAGCAAAAATTCATAGAGCCAAGTTTTCTTTTCAATTAAGTATAGAAATTAGTTAATTAATTAATTTTCTTCGACATCAGCAAAATAAGGATGATTTAGCGCTTGCTTAGCTGAGATTCGTTGAGCTGGATTCATGTTCAATCAAATTAAATTAGTTTATTAAGTTAAAAATCTAATATCAGGTTTTAGGCTACGATAGCAGCCTCCAAAACCACTCTTAGGCATTCAAAATTCTTTCTCTGGCCCGCAAAAATGTGGCTGTCTTGACTTTGATTCACGATAAGGATGCCAGTCTAAGAGTTTGGTCTTTCAGGCACCCTAGAGGTCCCAGTCTCCATCACCTGGGTTAGATGGTACCCTTCTGGAAAATAGTATCCCTAGGGGCCCTGCAAAACCACCCACCCCTATTTCCTTACATAGCTGTGATAATTTCACCAGGGAAACCATGCCTTATAATTAAAATATGCAAAATAAGACTTTTCGGCCAGGAGACCAAAAAATTCGTTTTTCTATTTTTAAATATGCTGGATTCATGATCAGCATTTTAGAAAGTAAATCTAATCCATATTCATCGAGTTGGTTAAATATAACCTTACTGCTTTATATAAGCCTTATTTTTAATATTTTAAATCTCTCCTCATTTTCAAAAAATTTCTGAATAATTATTATTAAATCATCATGGCTAATTATAGTTGAGAAAATGGTATCCCAGGATATATTTCTTGATTTTGAGGGAAATTCTTCATTGTCGTCACTCCAGGCCACACAGATTCCGTTGGAGTCCCCATTATTCTAAATATCTCATTAAGCTCCCCAAATGGTGTTGTCCCTGGGAATAATACCCTATGTGTAACAAGTTCCGCAAATATGCACCCAGCTGACCACATATCAATACTCACTGAATAAATTTCACACCCCAGCAGCAGCTCAGGCGATCTATATCATAGCGTCTGCACTTCATTTGAATAAGGCCGCCCTGGTATCGTATAAGCCCTAGCAAGCCCAAAATCAGCTACTTTTATATTGAAATTGGTATCAATTAAAATATTTTCAGGCTTCAAATCTCTATGCATAAATCTCCTTGAGTGGCAGAAACACAGAGCTTTCATTAATTGATGCATAATTTTTTTAATTTGTGGAGCTTGCAGAGCCTGCTCTTCCATGACCTTTCTGAGATCTTTTTCAATATATTCAAATATCAGAAAGAGCTTTTTCTCACCCCCCCCAGAAATAAGTATATTCTTGATTATTTGTGGGGGTTTAGTACGAAATATTTATATAAATTTGCTTATTATTTGAGGGTAAATGCATTTTTGGAATTTTAGGAACCCAAATAATATAAAATTTACATAAAAAATTTTGTGCTGAACCCCAAGAATTTGTTTATTAGTGGGGAGTCAGTGATAACGACGTCATATAATGCAACGATATTTGGATGGTTTAGTTCTCTGAGCAAGCAGACTTCACGTAGAGATGTCGTGGGCACTCCTTCTGTTTCTAAATTTAATGTCATCCTTTTCAAAGCGATATAGGCACCAGTGACCGTGTCGCGGGCTTTATATACTCTACCATAAGCGCCGTGGCCTAAGACTTCTACTGTTTGATATCTATCTATATCGCGGTCTCTTCCGAACTCACTCATAATAATTTAATTATTTTGTATTTTAGAAACATTAGAAAATTAATTGGAAAAATTATTTTTTTCATCTGCTTTTTCGTCATTAAAAATCCCTTTCGTCTCTTTTCCACATACAAAGCATTTTGTATTCTCTGAGTACTTCTCTATTGCACATTTATAGCAAAATTTATGGCTGCATTGTGTAATCACTGGGTCTTTATACTCTTCTTGGCATATAGGGCATTTTTCTTCTTTATTTTCTTCAGAGCTTATTTCATAATTTTCTTCATCAGACACATTTTCTCCATACGCTTTTTTCCTTTTTTTTTCTTGTTCTTCAGTCCATTCTTTTTCAAGTTCCCATCCTGTTTTATAGTTGCTTCGGTCATGGATAAAAATGCAGCCATCACCATACCCACAGTATCCAGAAATTTTTCAGTCTTTGCATATGCCATACGAATAATCAAACCTACAGGTTGCTCTGATATTAGAAGGAGCTCGTATAGGGCCTAGAGAGCCTGTGAATTTAGATGCATAAATGTTGCCTTCACTTTTTTCAGCGTAGATAGGATAAGAGCTTTGGCCACGATAATAGTCAGTGCTGAGCTCTCCTGAGTTTATTAGACGGCTGATTTCAAGGTTTTTTACTGCTTTGCTGCGTCCTTCTTCACCTTTGTCGAGGTCAAGCTGCAGCTCTCTTGTAGCGTCATCTTGTGTCAGCTGGCGGATTCCTGTAGAATCTTTGAAATTTAATTCATCCATAATTTCTGATTTAGCTTGCTGGTTTTCTTGGGTTTTATGTTTTTCTATTTTTGGCTTTTTTATTAAAACAGGCTCTTCTTCTGGAGTTGTGTCAATTATAGGCTTATTCCTTTTTTCCCTTTTTTGGAACATTTATAATAATTTTGATGAGGTTTGTATACGATTTTTATAAAATCGTATTTAAATAGTGAATAAATAAATCAATAGCTAATCTTATTGTAGTAAAATATGGAAGTCACCCTGAGCCCTGAAGAGAAATCAATATTCGAAAACGAGGCCATCATATACTCCATCATCAGAACTCTTGAGCCGCTTGAAAAGGCTTACCTTAATGAAAAAATTTCCGAAGACGAATATCATACCTTATGCAAAAGACTTATAAATCAATATAAAACCATTTCTGACAGCTTAGATCAAAGCTACCCTGGGCTGCTCCCATTCATGCAGAAATACCAGCTTGATACTTCATGTCGACTTGCTTTAAAACGGCTTCAGGTTGGAATGACAGCTGCAGAAATCCACGGTGGCAGCGATGCTCCACAGATGAGTGTCATCATCAATGCAACCCAAAGTTTGATCACAGCGAACAATGCATTGCAGCTTAATATTACTACAGTTGACCAATTGCAGCCACTTATACAAGAAGTCGTGACTTGTCTGGGAAGAGTTAAAGGGGTTCCAGCAAGCTTTACAGGGAGTGCTAAAATGCAGGACTGGCTGAGGACGCTTTCATCAATGAGGGCTTATGATAGTTTGAGCGAAGAACAAGGCAGACAGCTGGAATTTGATATTGATCAAGCTTATAGAGATTTCAAGCAATGTATGGATCGGTCTTAATATAATTTGATTTCACTAAACCATGATTTTAGCGTTAAAATATAGGAAATTTGAATTCCCACTATGAGGAATTATATACAGGTTTATATTAATTTTTTTCAGGTTATACAAAATACCAATGCTATATTTATATTAAAAAATATAAAATTTCTCAATAAAATTTAAATGGCAAATTTAAGCATAAGCAAAGAAAAGACAATCAGACTAATCTTGCAATATCTCGAAACTAATGATTTCTACAGGTCTGTAATAGAGGTAGAAAAAGACACAAAAATAAGGCTGAGAAAATACGGAAAAGAAATCGACTTTTTTTATGATCTCATCACAGATGGCCGCTTTGATGATGCAGAAATTTTTATTACCCCTCTGCAAGAGCGAAGCATCAAAGACTACGAAAAAGTTTTATTTTCAATTAAAAAAAGCAAGTTTTTAGAGACACTTGAGACTTCTATAGATCCAAAGCTTGATGATCTGACAAAATTAATTAAGGATATTGAAACCATTTCAAGTAAAGAAGATTTTGATCATTTATGCCAAATACTAAGCATGAATAAGTTAGCAGACCACCCAGATTATGCTGATTGGGATATTTGAAAAGGGAGGCTAAATTGTTTTAATGAATGCTTATTAAATTTATCTGAAATTTATCCAATTTTGCTAGACGAGCTACCTAAAACTACACTCATAGAGCTGCTTGGGAATTTAGAAGACGAACAAGTCTCTGAGGAATGTGCAAGTGTCAGAATTTCTAAAGAAAGTGAAAGCCAAGAGACAGCAAGCTATAAAACGTCACAGAATATTTTAGAAAAAATGAGTGGGAAGCCAGAGCTCGCTCTTGCAATTTCAATCAATAGCCCTGTATCTCGAAAAAAAAGCAAAAAAGTTTCTTTTGTCGCTGTCGCAGACAATGATGAGAATTCTGAAGATGAATCTAAAAAATTTATTATTGATGAACTTGACCCTGATTCTCCAGGCGATGAACATTCACTTAGCGAGTACTCCCCAGAGCCTGCTAAAAACACTGCACAAGATTTAATGAACAATTTTAGCCCAGCTTCATTAAAAGAAGTAGCAAGAATTGAAGACTCGAAACCAATTCGATGCTCAGTCTTTAATGTGACAGGGGATTATTTTGCATTGGGAACGAATACAAACTCTATAAGGGTTTGCTCAATGCATAATATTGTAGATGGGCTTATGTATGATGAACACCAAGGCAGAGAACAATACATAGATGTCGTTTTCGAGCTAAGGCGGCCATTTATAGGCTCAGTGTATTGTATTGATTGGTCTCGATCAGAATCACAAATAGCTGCAGGCTATAGTGATAAAAAAATATATATTTAATACAACAAAATTAAAAATAAGCATCAATTTTCTGTATTATTCTATGAGAATATTAGGATTATCATAAAAATATTTATATTTCTATTCGTTTTACTAGGTATAAGAATTTTGCATTGTCCAGACTTTTTAACTCTTCAGGAAACTCAATCACAGACAGTTTTATATGAAGAAGGTAAATTTTTGACTGGAGATGGCGAATTACCAGAAATAAGAGAAACGCTATTGCAGGGCCACCAAGATATAGTAAGGACTGTATGCTTTAATCCTACTGACGATTCAATTCTTTTAAGTGGAGGAAATAATGAAGGGGATATTAAAATATGGAACACAGAAACCTCACAATGTATTCAACGACTGCAAGGCCATAAAGGCTCAATTTTTCAAATTGCGGCTGAAGGAAAAGGGTCGTATTTTGTATCTGTGGGTACAGACAGAACTTTAAAGCTATGAGATATCAGAAGCAATAAATGCCAAATGAGTATTCTGGGAGAGTCATATGCAGAAATGACTTCAGTTGCCCTTATAAATTCAACAGCACAGCTAAGGACTGAAACTAAAGATAAAATTGCTAATATATGCTATATTTAGTTTAAAATTATAATAATGATTTATATGAAAAATAAAAGTTTTATACAGTTTTCAAGACAATATTTTTAAAAAGGAGTACCAATACAACTCCTCAAGCTCCAAAACAAAATTTAGCAGCTGTTGGACATGCAGATGGGATGGTTACACTTTGGGATATAAATGCTGGGAAGCTGTTTAATAAATACAGCTACCACTTAGCTGAGTGCCGAGGGGTTGATTTTTCAGCTGATAGAAAATGGCTTGTATCATGCTCTTTTGATAGAAGCATAAAAGTCCTTGACATGGCAAATGGAACAACTTATCGGCTGGAGTATCATGATGACAGAGTTGTATCAGTCCGTTGGCATCCTTATTTGCCAATTTTAGTTTCTACTTCTGCTGATAAAACTGCAAGAATATTTTGTCCTTAATGTTTATTAATGAAGTTTTTTGCCTTAAGTTCTTAATTAATGCAAAGGAAATTATATGTTTATTTGTGGAAAAAATATTTTGTTCATAATAAATAGAAATTTATCTATAAATTTAGGGTTTGGCTTTTATAATAAAATATTCAATTATGACATATATTATATAAAAATGGTTTATGTAACCAAAAGTTTTGGCTATATAATCCAAGCGCTGCTGATTTTTATGATCCATTTGATGGTTTACTACGAAACAAATGTAATTTAAATTCAGCCCATCAAAGAAATGCTTGACGAATTTTCTGACTACGAAAACCTATTTAATTACATCACAGGGTGGCCGATTTATATTTTTGTCATGATTAACTACATATTAGCCTGCACAATGCACCCGGGAAAAATTAGAGAAAACTGGGAATTATGCTATAATTATCCTAAATCTCAAGTTACTTATTGTGAAGCCTGCAAGGTAGTAAAACCTCCAAGATCATGGCATTGTGTAAGATGCGGGTTTTGTGTTGTAAAAAGAGATCATCACTGCGATTTTACTAACCAATGTGTGGGGTATGGGAATATTAAGCCTTTTACCTTTTTTTGCATTTTTGGCTTTATTGGATGTGCACAATTTTTGGTGAGAAGTCTCCAATACTCTTATCATTGGATAAATGATGATTTATATTTATTAAAAAAATATGATTTATTGCATTAGCAATTATCTTCAATTTTCTATAAAATAAAAGAATTAATTTAATTAGAAAGGTAAAGAGTCTATTTAAGTGGATATAGAATGTGTAAAAGCTTATTCAAAGACTTATATGATTTTTCTTTGGTTTCTTATGTATGTTGTATTAGCGTTTGCTTTGTTTTTAACATAGATAAAATGGCATTCGGTTCGAGAGAAATTAGCTCTGCTAATTTTCTCTCCCTCATGGAATTTTATTTATAGGGTTAGGCTTTCGCTCGAAGACTTCTGGACAGCAATAGCGGTTTAACTCTGGAGATAACCAGAGGAACCACTCCTCAGTCCACTCAAGATTTCGGGCTTTTACCTCTCAGCACATCCCCATGGGAGGATGACCCTTAGGCGGAACACGCGCAGGAGCTGAGTCGAGCGACAAGGGCGACGGCAACGCGCCGGGTGAGACGTGCAGCAAGGCCGGTGAAGCAGGAGTTGATAGAAGGCTTGGACGGGGCTGACCCGTGCCAAGATGGCTCGCCTACGTCATCAGTTTTGCCATAGGCCCTTTTGGGCTGCGGCACTAGAGACACCTTAAACACCAGATAATTAAGTCAGTAAGTAAGCTTTGTTTTTAACTACTATTACAAAGCGAATAATTATGAATGTGTTGTATAACACAACAACACTTGAGCAAATGGTCATAGCAGATGGAGCATTAAGACCATGTGAATTTATAACAGTAGAAAACAATGCTTTTGATTTAGGAGAAATTCCAAATTGGGTGCAAAGCTTCGGCATAAATCCATTGCTGTGGTTTTGGCCTATATCTCCAAGCCGAAATGGAGTTACTCTGGGGCCGTTTTTCAATTATTTAGAGGCGCTATTTGATGCTAAATATCATATGAAAATGATTTAGATAGGATTTGGCAAAACACAGTCTAATTAATTAAAAATAAAAAGAAATAATTATTGACTCACCCAATTTAAATTGGAAGAAAAATCTTGTTCAAAAAAATTATATTTAAAATTTTCTACAAATGTTTTTAAAAATCTTAAAAAAATAAATTGAATTCACTTTGAATTTAATTTATTTTATGAAGAATAATTAAAAAATTATCAATTATTTTGAAAAACTTTTTAAATAAAATTCTACTTGCATTTATCAGATCAAAACTAATTTTATAAAAAATTAGTTTTTCATCGTTAAAATTTACTTATTAAAAAAAAAAATTTTCCAATTAAAGTGGCAAAAAACGCTGTTTTGTTCCAATTTAAACGAAGGGCGAGTGAGTAAATTAAATTAAAATTTTCATGGATTTTGTGTTTATTTTTCTTAATTGCAAAGAAATGCTTTTGAAGATTCATGCTTCATTTAATCTAGCTCTAAACTTAGATTTTTCTACCTCGTGATTGCTTCTTTAGTTTCAGCTATTTCTTATCTATATTAACTATTTGTATATTTATCAGGACTGCAGAAATGTTTTTTATAGCAGTTATTAAGATGAAAAATAAGCGGATATGTAACTGCGATGGTTTGCAATTTTTTATTAGATATAAGTATCTTGAAAGCATTATTTCAAGATTGAGCTCTGAATTAAAATCCAATAATTTACAGATTGAATTAATTTTTAATAATTTCTTATTATTAATTAATAACGATTTATTACTTAATATAATTTAAATGGTAAGATACCATTTTATTTTTTTTTTGCCTTTTTGATTAGTCATTTCCTTATTAAGAATATGCAAAGTTTTTATTTTTCCAAAGATTCTATTTCTATGCTCCTCTAAATATGTCAGAATAATATAGAAATATATCTTGTACTGCGCATTTTTCTCTAATATTTTGTGTGAAATTAAGATTGAGTTTAAATAATAATTCTTGCTTTAAATTCGTAATCTTTTATGCTTCATAAATATGCTTTCTTATGTCAAGATAGAATATTTTGCATGAAGAGTTGAATTTTTAGCAGGCCATAATGCTATTTCTTTAATTGGGATGTAGAAAGGAACCCAAATCTTATCAAAAAATTCAACAATTTTTAATTTAAGATTGGTTTCATTAAGCATTATGCTAGATTATAGATAAGCTCACTGATAGGTACCCTTATTGAATCTTATAACTTTCCAATGATTCCTCGCTTACTTGCCAATTCGTATTGTACAGCATCGCGAAGGTTCATCCTATAGTGAAGGCCTACATCATAAACGACAACCAATAGGGTTGTGTCATAGTGCTAGCGTCTAATATAAAATTTAAAGGTTGAATTTTCTCGCCAGCAGTCGAAAAATAGAAAACTTGAGATATTGAGCTAAAAACTTTCTCTATTGGCCAAGGTGCATCCTCTGACACTGCTCAAAGCTCCATTTCCAGCCTTATGTCCCATTTCCTCATCAGGAAAAAACCGTTCCAAAAATGAGTCCTAGCAGATCATTAACATTACTTTATTGAGTAGCTCCAGGTTATCCCCCTCCACCATAATTCATGACTGCTTGCAGTCTGGCTATTGGCTATGCTTCTCCAGAAATGGGCTCGCACACTAAATGCCTTGCCTCACACTTGACTTGGGTTGACCTTCTAGAAATTTCGAAAAACGAAATTTCTGGCCATGTGTGACCAAAATGGAGTTCGTTGCACAGGTGCAATTCCGGTATCACGCTAGGAAATTCCCCAATTTATCTTAAAGACTTTCCTGGCTTTTCCCTTTCTGACATCTGCATCCATCTTCCCCAGAGGAAAAAAACCTTGACCTGGAATGAGCTTACGGTCGACCTAATCCGACATTGCACTACACCAAGCCAAGTAAAGCCTGGCCTGATATCCATTAGTGAACACCATCCTCTCTTCTGCAAGGGTCCCTGGATCGCACCAACTATAGGTGGCCCTGCCTGATCTGCTCAGCATTACTTCTCCATCTGCACTAGTTAAGCTTTGCAGAATCGAGACCTCAGATACTATCCTCTCTTCCTCAAGGTCCTAGGTCTCATCAAGTACAGTTACAGGAGCTAAGAGAGCGGTCGCCATTTTAATGATGGCTTCATTAAGCAGCTATTCAATAAGGCTAATAAGATTTTTATTAATTCCAAAATGATTAACTCACCTTCTCCATTTTAGTTAAAACAATTTAATATCACTATTTTCTAAAATGTTTTAGAATATAGTTGATAAGCATTATAATTAAAATTTGCTCATTCCTATTTAATTTTAGCATCTTAGATTTTAAAATGCCTTATACTTAGACTTAATTAGATTATAGAAAAGCTTCCTGTCAGGATCCGAAGACCTTATTCCCTGTGAAGCCCCTTCCCACTTCCGGCCCATCTCCCTCTGAGATAAAAACTTTGCATTGGAGTAAAGCCCGATGGAAATTAAAAATTAATAGAGACTATAAGAATCGCATTTATTATGATTTTTTTGCAATGCAGTATTATATAAGTTTTAAAGCACAAAATTTATAATTCGATTGGTGATACAATATTAATTTCAACATAAAACTTTTTAAATTTCCTAGCCAAGAATTTATATCCTTATTAATTTTCAAATAAAAAATGGATTATCAATTTATCTTTCCTTCTAATTCAAAAAAACCATCTATTTATTAACTCTCCCTGTCAAAATCTGCTTATATCATCATTAAATATCCATTCATTTTTATCAATCAAAACAAGGAGAAGCCAAGAATCCTTAATTTACCCAAAATGAATTAAATTAATCACAAAAAAAACTTTAACTTAAGTACAAAAACTTGAAAAAATCGATTATTCATATCGAATTTCCGTTTTAATTCCTTCACTAGTTTTTTTATATGAATCTTGTGATAATTCTTGGTCTTCTTCTAGACTGGATTGGTCATGCTTTTCTGCGTTCACAACGATTCTGTATATATTATTTAGAGTTTTCAGTTTCGCAATGACTCTTGAGTCCTCAGAAAGGTTACCTTTTGACTGAGCATGTTTTGACTCTTCACAAAGGGAGTGGTCTTTTTCTACCGATTCTGTCGTTTCTGGGCACAATTTTACTTTAATTTTTCCGCTCTTCGAACCAAAGCAACCCATTTATTTATATTTGTGGAAAAGATATTAGAAGTTATTTAGATCAACCAAAAGCCATAAAGAAAAGATTAGTTCATTATGAGAAAATGAATTAAATAAGCGCTATTAGTACATTTTAGGTATTTAAATTTTAGAAGTTTCTAGTGGCTTTGAATTGATAATAATTCATATATAGCTGAGTCTTGCTTTGGCTCTGGCTATACCAATATCTCCTGATGTCACTCAGGAATTAGAAAACCTACATTTTTTGCAAAGCCTTACTGGAGATTTGGCATCTTAGGTTACTTTACCAATAAATGTGGTCTGTCAACTCCCTAAGTGACATCAGGAGATATCGGTATAGCATAAGCCAAAAAGACGCTCGAGCTATATATAAATATGACAACACATAGATTTGATAATTATGACTTTGAGAATTCTGCAGACTGGATGAATTTTAAGAGTATATATCCAATACAAGAACAAGGCGTAAGGGCTAAGGAGCTCAAGATGAAATGATATAAACTGAGAATCGACCCAAATTTCAATATATTAGCACAGTCATGTGATTGCCTTACAATATTCCAAGTCATACAAATTTCTTTATTTTTTCTATCCATTCTAGGACTGCCCTTTGGGAATTTTGTGGGATTTTTATTAATTTTCCATTTCATTGAGATTTTCACCCTTCATGGTATCCCAAAACTACAAATTGACTATTTAAAAAGAGTAATTTTTGACGACAACACTCATTATTTTTTATATTTACTTGTATTTTGGGTTGTGAATTATGGGATTTTATGAATAATCCCTGCTTATATAGGATCATATATTTATTTTATCCACATTTTGATGGAAAATCCTTTGGTTCCCAACTCAATAAAGCAAATTATAAGACCCCATTTTGCCATTGAGGACAGTCTTTTTGATTTAAAAATTGACTACGAGGTAAATTTAGGGTTGCATATCAAATTATCATTTATTTTCTGATAGTACGACATTTCTTAACTCCCCCCCTCCGTGAGTGAACAAAAAAATTTTGTTCACTCACGGAGGAAGGTTAAATTTTTTTTTTTTAAAAAAAGTTATATATTAATTTTTTAAAAATTTTTTTTTTCGAAATTTAAAAAAATTCCTAATTCGCAAAAAATTGGAAAGCAAATATTAATTTAATTTATAAAATTTATGTTTAAAAAGCAATTCATTTAAAATTAATCAGAATTAGCTCTAGATTTCATTATATTAATTATCATTTATATATCAAATTTTTTTTTTCCATAAAAATTTTTCTATTAATAAAATTTTTGTTCACTCACGGAGGGTGGGTTTTTGGGCAAAAAATAGGGATTTTTCTAATGGTTTTGTTCACTCACGGAGGGGGGGAGTAAGGAAAATTTGTTCAATTTTTTTTGATAGTGAGACATTTGACAGAAAAAAACTCTAAATTTCGAACAAATTGTCTTCAATGAAATGCACATTATCAAAAGTAAACGATCATTGGACCTACACCCAAATTTAGGCTATGCTTTAATTTTTTTATATATTACTCATAATGCTCGATATGTCATTTTATATTGGCTTTATCTGAAAATGCGATATATATTGAACAGACGTATGCAGCTGAAATTTGCATCAGACCATAATAATTATGGAATTCTTTTAAATGTTTTACCTCGGGCCTTTCAAGACTTTTTTCGAAATTTAGGGTCAATTTGTGACTGGCTTATAGAAATATCATCACATAATTAATTTCTTATATAACCTACTTAAACCCCTATAATTCCCATACTTATAACTTCTAAACTAATATTATCTGACCTAAAATAATGATAAATATCCCAGCAACTGAAAATCTTCCAGCAGCCTTTGAATCTTATCGCACAGAAGATCCTTATATTTTATCAGAAGAAGAAAGGCTCAATCTTTTACGCAAGTTTCATATATATGAGCAACTTATTGAAGAATTCCCAGTTTCAATAGGAAAAGAAGCGTCTAGAAAAGAAAGAGATACAAGGGTCGATATTTTACAGTCAGAAAGCACTTTAACCTATGGAGAAGTTGAGTTTATTTCAATGGGAGAAGTCTTTGAGACTATAAAAGCAAGATATGGAGGAATCCCTGAAGGAGGCTGCTTTTATGATTTAGGGTCTGGAACAGGGAAAGGAGTGCTTACTGCAGCGCTGTTGCATAGTTTTAATCAGTGCAAAGGTATTGAAATTCTACAAGGGCTGTATCAGATTTCAAGCCAGATTAAGGAAAAATATGACTTGGAGTTTCTTCATTTTGTGCAGGAAAATCCTGATTTGTGGACAAAGGCTCCAGAAATTACATTTTATTGTGGGGATTTTTTTGAAAATAATTTGTCTGATGCCAGTTTTATTTTTGCGAATTCGACTTGCTTTAGTATGGATATGATGAGGAGGATAGGAAGTTTTCCATTTAAACCAGGTACAATTGGCGTTACTTTTACTAAAAGTTTGCCAGCAGAATCGTGGGAAATTTTGGAAAGTATAAAAAAGAATATGAGTTGGGGTGAGGCTACTGTTTATATTCACCGTAAAAAATAACTATAAATTTGGATAAATACTTTCTATGATTTTTTTAAAATCTTAATAATATAGATAAAATTCCTTTTTGTTTATTGATTTGATGTTTAAATAAATTGTCCATTTAAAATTTATAAAAAATCCTTAATGAGAATACATATTTTTAAAAAAAAAAATCATAGGAATATTCTATGTCCATTTTTTATTTCTTTCATAAATTAAATCGATTCATACTTTTGATTGGAATTTTTTGAGTGTGAGGCAGAAATCTGAGAAATTTAGTCGGATTTTTCCTGTAAAATATTCGATCTAACATTTTTTTTAAGTAAATAACTAAATCAAATTTTACCGACGTAATGATTTTCTCAAAATGTTTAATAAAATGGCAGCCAAATTAAATATCCCGCCTATGGAATCTAATTGCATGTTTCACTCTTTTGAGGTCGCTCCTGACTTAGAACCTGGACATCGTTCAAGCCTATTTTCTTACAAAGGCTACGCAGACGATTCTCATGAAATTGGCCTACGAAAATCAGAAACAAGATACCACGGTAGAGAGCCATCAATTTTTGATGTAAAAATTTCTCTGCCTTCCCCAGTATCAAAAGAAGGCTTTTCAGTTGACGCAATCATGCCTTCACCTCCATTAAACCGTACAAGACGAAGTGTCGGCAGAATTCTCACATATTCAGCCTATGAAAATCCTCATTCCAAGCATTTTCGTACACTAAAAAGGCCAAAAACCCACAAAAGAAGCCCAAGTTCTTATGCAAACTCAGAGGTAACTTCTAAAGAAATTCTTGCAGCTTTGCCAAAGCCAAGATTTATGACAAGAAATTCACATGGGCATATAAGGGAAATTAGTGATGTTAGTAACGTCGTGATTACGAGTCAAGATTCAGATATTTTTGAAACTTTGCATACAAGGAGTGATAAAAGCAGCCATAAAAAAAGCGTTTTAAGCCAGCTTTCGACTGACTTTAGCATGGGGCCAAGCTCATGTATGACGTTTTGCTCTAATTGCAAGACTTTGGTGTATTCACAGATTTCATATGAAGGAAATGGCTTGGGGTCGTCAATATTTAGAGCTTTTCAGAAGATTTGTTGTAAGGCTCCTGAATTCATTAGAAATCAAGTTGTGCATAAGTGTCCTGAATGTGGTAGTGTATTAGGGAATTAACATTTATATTAATTATAGATTAGGGCTCTTCTTCTTTTTAAGTTTCACCCTAGTCTTTGTAGAAGGCTTGTTCAGCTGCTAGATAACCTCTAGGGTATGTAAGCATTTCCACCAGAGATAAATCTCCTCCAGCTTTCGGCCTGGTTCTTAATGCTGTCTTGGAACCTTGAGGGAGGCAAAACCAAACTAGGGTAGTGTATTAGGAAAAATTTAATTTATATATAATATAAAAATTTATTATTCCAAGAAAAATATCTGAAATTTAAAATAATTGGTGAAAGACTTTATTAGAAGATATCACTGTTTTAAACACACCATTCTTAAGAAAATTTAATTCTTCATAATAATATTTACAATTCTGTTCATTTATGAGTGGTATATTGCAAATTTGTTCAAAAATTGATATATTTTTATATAATCTAGCAGCATACTAACATTGCATACTCTGGAATACATAAAAATGGCCTGGCGAAACAACCCAAAATGCTAACACCTGCAGCTAGGGAGGCCGTGGGAATTTGTGTAAGGGAGTATTTGGCGTTCGGTATGCATATCAGGTCAGGCTTTGCTTGGTTTGGTAGAGTGCAATATCCTTGTTGACGGACAGCAAGTTCACATCCAGGCCAAGGTTTTACCTCGTAGGAAGATGAAGTTCATAGCTGGAAAGAATGTCCCAGCAATACCAAATGAGATTTTTCCTGGTCGATTTGGGACGTTCCCAGCGCGGTGGCCGACAGGTGACTAGAAAATTCATTTTTTCCATTTTTCTAGAAGCCAAAACTTGTTGGCATAAATCAAGGTGACCTAAACTTTCCGGCTACCAGGGAGCATATGCAGGCCTATGTCTTTTAAGAGCAAGATTTTAAAATCGTGAGACGGTTGTCTTCAAAGCAGACGATTGAAGCATTACTGAAGGAAGCAAGATCTTAGAATCACAACAGGGAGCTTTTCTATAAATCTACTAAATATAAGCACATACTCTTGAAATCAATTAATTTTTTTTCATAAAAATAAGGCACTCCTCCATTCTTCTGATATCAGATCTACACAAATGCACTATAAATTACCATATTTTTTTTTATATATAATAAATATTATGAGTAGCAGCAGAAAGGAAGCATTTGTCCCATACAACTTTATATCCGGCCGCAAATGAAGATGCACAATTTGCAATAAAGAATTTGATCAATCCTGCCTCCAAGCTCATGACAGCCTACACATGAAGAACTTGCCAAGCCCCACGCCAAATGCTCCATCATACTCAACACAGCCTTATCCTCACAACCCCCAGCAAGAGAATCATTATCCATACAAAAGTAACCTCGAAAAGCCCCCATCTGAAATTCCCTTAAAAGATGACAAACTATCAAGCATAATCTCCAAAAGCATACAAGAAAAAGCTGATCAAGATCCCCAGAAATCTAAAAGTTATTTAAAAGGGCTTATAAATCAGCAATCTGGGCCAATAGGCAAAAAACCTCTCCCAAATTTTATACTAAACCAAGCTGAATTTTCTAATAATTTAGAATACCAAGATGAAGAATTTGAGCTGACATCTGCAAATCCTGCTATAACTGATATGCTTTCTAATATGGAAAACATAGAGAATCTTGCCTATAAACAAAAGAATTTTGCAGTCTCAAAGGCTCCTACAAAGCCTGAAATCGTAAATAAACAAAAAATCGAAAAAATTGATAACAATGGAGAAAATATCCAAGCTGTAGAAAAAGGGAAAAGCATTGCGAAAAAATCAGCTAATGAGCCGCCAATGCCGAAAAAAAGGCCAAGAAAAGAAGATTTTTCAGTTATGGGTGCTATTAAAAAAATCCAAAAAGTTGAAGCATGCTTCAGTGCTATGAATATGATACTCGATATTAAGCTACGCTTGCGCAAGAAAAAGTTATTTAAAATGTTCAAGAATTATTAATTTAAATTTAATGTTTAGGTGAATTTTTCATATAAATTTTTATAGTAAATTATTATGGACTTCTTCTACATGTCTTCTAGTGTCAACTCTTCTCATTTGGTTATCATCATCACATTCTTCACATTTATAAAGCATGTTGTTTTTCTCAAGCCTATTCTGCCCTTGCACAAGCTTAAATAAAATCGTTTTTCCGTTTCCTTCATTGGTCAATCCTAGTCTAGTTGGAGCTTGTTTGCTATTTTCATACATAACAATATTTGGAGGTAAAGGCTTCCCATGGGTTGCAATATCATGAATATTTTTTAGCCTCATCAGAATTTCTGCTGTATCTTTAGAGCCTAAGCCAATTTCATCGAAAATGGAAAAAATGTCTTTTACGACGATAAATAACGAATCTAGGTCATATCCAAGTTCTTCTAGCCTCGCCAGCTGCTGAGTGTCGTTTTCCAAAATAAAGTTTAAATCCATTATAAGGGGGTTATTTAAATTTTTTAAATCCCCCATTTCTTATAATAAATATAATGGATTTCAATTACCTTGTAGCAAATGACCCAAAACAAGTAAGAAGACTTGAAGAACTCGGATTCGATTTGGACTCACTTTTCTTTATGACCAAAGACCTCTTCTCTATATTTGATGACCTAGAACTCCCTGCTAGAGAAATCGAAGAATTCTGCACAAGGCTCAAAAATGTATATGATGTCTATGAAGGCAAGCCTTTCCCTACAAATATTGTGCTTTATGAAAACAGTAGAACTCTTCCTACAAGACTTTGTGTAGAAAATAAAGATACAGGAAAAACAGTATTTTTCAGGCTGGTCCCAGGACAAGGAAAACTAGAAAAATGCAATGTTCTCTACAGATGTGAAGTCTGCCGCAATGATGTTCCAATAAAAAGATGTGATACTAAAAGACATATAGCTTCAAAACATAATAATTTACTTTAAAATGTATCTTTATTAAAAAATAATTAAACAGCAAAAAATCATTATTTTATCATTAAAATTTTGTATTTTGCTCTCGCAAAGCTGCAACTCTTTTGCTTCTCTCGATTCTACTGCATTCTTTTAGCTGGTTGCTTACATTATTTAAGATCTCCACATATGGCTCTAAATTATCAATTCCTTCACAGAGACTTGTTAAATTAGGAACTTTATCGATTTGGAATTCTTCCACATTTTCAACTAAAAATGGGACACAAACATTTCCAGTTTTGGGGTGAATAGAAAAAGGAGACTTCAATAAATGGTTCATTGCCATGGAGACATGGACATCTAATCTTGGATATAAGTATATTTTGCAAAATAAAATCAAACTTTTGGCATATCTATAATATTTAGACCATAATTTTTGATAAATTTAATTAAATTCAGCATATTTAAAACAAATTTTTTGCTTGATTTGATCAATTACTATTGAGTCAGGCTGAGAATTAATAAACTCACTGACTTCTGCCCAAGTTTCCTCACTTGTTGATTTCGCTACAAACTGCATCTTAGCTCCAAGCTGATTATTAATAATTTCGACACATTCGTTCAGTCTTTCCTGGTTTTCAAACAATTTCTGTTCCCTCACAATAATTTCTTCAAATCGAGGTCTCAAAACTTCTCTGTAAATCTGGAGAAAAGGTGTATGAGACTTTGGCCCTGAATTAAGGAATTCTATTAATGATTTTCTTCGAAAATCATTTAAACGCCTTGCGGATGGGTCAGAAACCCAGCAATGGACACCTCTTCTGCCAGAATATACCCACAAATTGACTGTGTACCCAAATGATTCTTTTAATGCAATATCCATTGATTTGCAAGCGACCACTAAGAATTTCCAGCAAAGCTGGCAGACTACAGCGCCAGAGCAGCATGTTCTGACTTTGTCATAATCAGTCATATCAATATCAATGACAAACTCTCTTTCGATAGTCTCATAGCGGATTTTATTAAGCATTGAGTCTTTTCTTTTAGGAGGGACTGTTCATATAGCTCCAATATCAAATTTTTCTGGCTTGTCGTGGATTAGCTGATTTTTGAACTCATCTGCGGAGCTGAAACTTTGATGGCGGCAATATATACGGTATAATTATTAAATTACTTTTTTACGAAAATAAAATAATTTTATTTTTCAAAAATTAATTGGTTTGAGTTAGTGTATCTCCCGGCAAAGTGAAAGAAAATTCTCTTCTTTCAAAGTAAGTTTTGTCGTAATGAGGATCTTGTGTTTCAAGCTCAACTCCTGCATTGAGCCATCTGCAAAGGGCATTGCAAGGGAAATAATTTCTATAGTAATTTTCTAAAGTTTGTGGGTCCATTTATCTTCCCGCTATTAATTAATATATACAAAAATAGGAATTTAATGCCAAAAGAACTAGATTTGATAGAAGCCAAATTATATTTATAATAAATGTCAAGGTTTATGCTTATTTTGTTTGATTATTTTTATTTCTTCTAATAACGCACAGCCCTTCACATCCAGTCCTTTCTGTAAGCAAATTAATGCCTCCAAACTGCCCATTTTCTTCTTCATAAAGTAAATAAAGCACTCCATTTTCACTCAAAATCCCATCAACAACCCTTAACAATTCATCAATAAACTCTCTTCCATTTTCCCCTCCAGGGCAGCTACTTGAAATATCCCTATTATTTTGGCACTCTAAGTACTCTTCTCTAGTAGAAGTTACATATGGAGGATTACATATAACAACATCTACTTTATTTCTCAAATTTAGTCCTTTTAATATATCAATCCCTACCACATCAGCCATTTCTATCCTATTTTCGCAAAAAGTTCTCTGTGTAAGCTTAACTGCATCTATATTTATATCAAACCCTAAAAAGAATGCATTGTCTAAATTTAGTGCAAGTGAGGAAATTACAGCCCCAGAACCTACTCCAATCTCTAAGACAATTGTAGGATTTAGTGCCTTTATATACTCTTACTTACTTAATTATTAAGCACGCTTAACGTCCAATACCACATTCCCTGCACAGGTATCCGTCCTGCTTCTGGGTTTCCCCGCTCCACCAAAATGTCGTACACCACCTGACTTCAAGGTCCCTTCGGCGTTCGGATTTCAAAGGCCCTTGGGCAAAACCAACTTGGGTCTGTCAGGGACTCTAAAGGTCCCAGTCTCCACCGTCTGGGGTTGGTGACATCCTTCCAGAAAGTTCGAATCCCTAAGGGACAGGAGTCCTGCGTCGCGCACCACAGGCACTTGAAGCCCTGTCATCGCCGGGATAAATTCGCTGGGGAAAGCCAAACCTCATAATCAAAAAATTGAGGAGAAAATTTTCGGTCGGGAGACCAGAAAATTCGAATCACGCCATTTTTTGATTATGCCTTTATATACTCAATATCATTTAAAATCGCATCTATCAATATAAAAGTGTCTTGAGAAGGCGGATACACCTTTTTTCTGTCATCTTTCTTTATATGCGACAATTTTACTTCTTTTATATTCATTAATTATAAGGTTATTTATAGCTATTTATTAAAATAATGTACAACTGCACGACACATTGTCGTTTGGCGCATTTGTTGGTTCCCTAATTGCAAGGATTCGGCTGTAAATTTCAAGTTGCCTTAAAAAGCCTTTGTTTGGCCTGGCATCTGGGTGAAGGTATTGCACAAAAAGCTTTGCTTTTCTGAGACTCCAGCGTCTTTGTTTCATTATGTAAGCTATAACTAATGATGTACTTCTAGAAACTCCTAATAGGCAGTGTACCATGACCCTTCCTCCGCTATTGATAGCATCTTCAATGAATTCAGCCGCTTCATCGAAGTACTTCAAGATATCAAATGATGGAGAGTCCAGAATTGGAAATTGCTTATATCCTATTTATGCAATATATATAAAACAATAATAAGACCTATTTATAAATTAAAACAAAAATATGGGCACTGGCGAAGCCAGTGCTAAAATAATATAAAATACTAGGAGTAAACAAATCGTGTAGGGAAGTAAGGCTCAAGACCGGAACCTGTCCCAGCTATTAGGATATGCGTTATTTTGTATTGGAATAGGAGATTTAATTGAGATGCTTGCTCTTTACTTCCTAGATAAAGGCCTTCTTCTATTTCATCCAATAAGTACATATTAATTATTAGCCAGCTTTTTAACTGGATATCGAGGCGAATTTAATTCCTTATTAATGCTTATTTGACAAGAAGCTCCTAAAGTAAGCTCTTAGAAAACCATCCATTATTTAAATTTAGAATATATAGGCAATGAAAATGGAAATTAATCAGCACAAACCTGAAAGACAAAAGCATATAATTTGAAACTGATGCTATCAGAATAATAAAGCGATAAAAGTAATAAAATTTGAATTCGAAACGTTGGTAATGCTTTTAGAGATTTAAGTCTTTTCATTTATTTGATTTTCTGGTAAATTTTTAAAGCAAGAGCTTATTTTTTGTATGGGAGAAAATTTTACCATGTGAAGCCATTTATTTATAATTCTCTTAAAATTAAAATGAGACAATTCATTTTAAAGATGCTCTAATTTAGCTTAAATATAAAACTAACTAAAGTGAAAAAATTCTTAAAAAAATTAAAATCACTTAACAGTCTCTAATCGAGTATATCCCTCAATGAAGGTAAAAGAAAGTTTGAAAACCTCCTAATAGCCCAAAAGTGGAAATTTCTAGTAACTAAAAATATATTTATAATAATTTTAATATGTTAAATAAAAATAAAAATCATTATTTCCAATCACAAATTATTTTTGTTAAAATTCTTATTTTGGAGCTCTTTTTGACACAGAAGCATCATTGTTATTTCTCTTCCTTTTAAGCGAAGCTGGGGTGGCTTCATATTCCACATTTCTCACTACTTCCATCGGACTTGAAAGTCTAGCTTTATTTTCTGTTCTTTTCACAAAATACGTGCTTGGGATCAGAATTTTTCTCTGCTCGTTCTCTGCATTTTCTCCATTCGCATAGTTTTTCACTAAATGATCCATCATGGTTTCACAAATTTCTTCTAATTCTTGGCCAATTTTATTAGAATTTTTGTCAGTTTTTATTTCATGCTTTGGCTGAGTCCCTACCAGTTTGAATTTTTTCAGCTGTTTTAATAGATAAATTAAATAATCTGTATCAATGTCTTTATGACTTTTATATAAAGCTTCTAAATAAGCAGCTATAAGTTTAAAAGCCATTTTACTGTCAAGTGACAGCTGAGCGATCACATAAATGAAATAAGGGGTGTAGCTTTCTGGCTGCAACATTAAAAGCCTGTTTTGATCTTGCTGCTGAAGAGCTCCTGCTTTCATACCTTTAAATACTTGTAGCAAAGCTTCTCTGTATATTTTTGATTTGTGAGAATCAGACAAAAGTATCCCTAAAACTGATAAAAGTGGTGGAAGAAGCTTGGACCTTTGATATATATTTTTCAGCATTATATCTCCCAACATATCACGATACGCAGGATTTTCACTAAAAACCAGCTCAGAAATCAGCAGCAAATGTTTCGCTTTCAAAAAATGCTTGTTTTCGCTCCTTCTTATAACTGAAAAAATTCCTTTCAAAGCCTGTATCCTATACGCATCTTCTTCAGCTTTGCTAAACAAATGTTTCAGCTTAAACTCCCCAGGGTTAACAATAAAACTTCTTATATATTTTTCCAGCTTAAAGCACAATTTTATCAAAATTTTATAAATATCCTGCGCATTCATCACCCCTGGCCCATCAAATTTCCCATGTACAGCCCATGCTACCAGAAGTCTTATCCCTTCAATTTTCGCCTGGGCTATTTCTGATATAATTTCGTCATCTTTTCCTGAGGGAGAATGCATTACAAGCAGCTCATTTATTGTGAATTTTAAAGCGGTGTTACTATAGTCAGAAAATCCGTCTGGGCAATTTAAAATAATTTCTCTTAAAGCTGCTAAGTGGGTGATAAGCAATGATGGGTTTTCTGAGGTAACAAGTAACTTAGGGACTATAGAATCAAGCAAAGCGACCTGAATAAAATTGTTAGGCATTGAAGTAGCTGCAAGCTTGCTAGCGGCTTTGGCTTCTTCTACGGTGCCTCTTACACACATTTGGCGTAATATAAGCTGCAGGTCGCTTTTTTGCTTTTGGGTGAGTCTGATATTCCCTAAAATGCTGCATAGTAAATCTAGGAGTGGAGATTTATCAGCACATTCGTCTAAAAGTTCGAGGATTTGAGGAATAAATGGAATCACGATATCTGCGTAGGCTTGGCCGATATTTCTTAAAAGCTGCAAATTGTCTGGGTCATTGTTTATCAACATAGATAATCCATATTATTGTGAATTTTTACCTAATTTTTTTTAAATTTTTACTTTACATAAAAATTTGCTTTTTTATATTAAATATTATACATAATTAGCACAAATTATTGTGTCTCCACATTTTGCTCTTAATTGATTGATTAACCCTTGTATACTCTCGCTTTGTTTTTCTGCTAATTTTTTTAAATTAACCATTGCATTTAATTTTGTTGAATTATCAGCTGGAGCACATAAGACTTTAAAACAGTCAGAAATTTCTTCATTTTTCAATAAGTTGCTTAATGCTGAACTATGCTGAATTTTGTTTTCTTTTATTAAGGTTGAGCTCAGCGGATCTTTAATGTGTCCATTAAAAATTCCAATTAATTCTTCAATTTCTGCTGGATTTTGGGAATGTAGGATGACTGCAAGTTTGTTTCCTCAAAATTGCTTTGACTGAATAATGCTGCTGAATATAGGCCGAGTCTCAAAACTTAAATCTTTATAAAGCCCAACAAGAGCTAAAAAATGGTTATCCTTTAGTGTAGATAAAGGAAGAATTATGTCTTCAATTGTATTAACAATAATAACTTGATCTTCTTCAGTGCCTATATCTTTATAAGCTTTTATAATATGGTTTGGGATAATAGAATAAACACTTTCTTTTCATGGGCTTAACGCATAGTGAAAAACTGCTTCATTATAATATATATTAGCTAAATATTTTATTGCTAAATTTCTGATTTGTTCTTTTTTGTCTTTAATTCGTTCACATATTCTTTCCAATACTTTTTTAGGCAGAATTATATATTTAGAGCATTCACAAATAATTTTTACGGCTAGCTTTCTGACTTTGTCACTTTTATCTCGTAGACGGTCTCCTGTGCATTTTAAAATTAAGTCAATTAAATCTTGTTTATCTCGATTATTTTTTACAAATTTTGGGACTGCATTTATAACGATTTCTCTAGCATTTTCAGTTTGATCATCGAATTTTTTTAAGTATTCTTTAAATAAATGAGAATGCAAGGTAGGGAGGACTGATTTTTTGGCTGATGCTAGTTTTCCAACCAGTTCAATAACTTTGTTTCCAATTTTTGCATCATTCATAAGCTCTGATAAAGAGCTTAGTAAGGTCAAAATGAAATCTGAATTAATTTTAAATAGTCTGTAGGCTATTGAAAATTTATTGCTTCCTATCATTTGTGCAGTTTTGCATTCTTTTGATGAAATAAACAGTTTATATATATAATCATTTACAGCTTGTTTTATTTCTGATGGTAAATTTTGCAGAGCCATTTTGACTACCTTCATTCTTGGCTTTTTAGAATAAGAGTCAGCTAGTGAGGAAATGACTGGGTATATTTGATTTTCTTTTACATCGTGAATTTCGTCAAACGTTGTAATGATTATCATGCTTATAGCAATTTCTTCAGAATGCCCGATTTCTTTAGGGATATTTTCAAGCAATGATTGGATTAGTTTGATGGCTATGTCTATGCATTTTGATTTTATTGCAATTGCCATTGCCCCTGTTTCTCCAATTACAGATATCATATGCATAATTTGTGCAAAAGTGGGCTCATTATGGTCTTTTAAAAATTTTGCCACTCTTTCAAACAGCTCAAAAGCTTTTTTCACTTGTTTTTCTTTATAAATTGGACTTGGTGCAACAATTCTTAAAATATCAGCTATACAGCAACCTATTATTAGCTGAAGTTCACTGTATTCTATTTCAGAAATCTCAATAAGTTTGTTCGCTAAATTTTTAAATCCATTGACACTTGTGGGGCTTTGTGGAGACTCCGCCAAAGCTTTACTCAGATTTTTCAGCCTAATAGTGAGTTCATCAGTCTCTAGATCTTTACTTAAGTACTGCCCGCTTAAATATGATTCATCAATATCCATTTTAAATTTACCTCCTTTAAGTTTAACTATTTATAATACTCTATATATTTTAATCTGGCGAAGGCTTATATCTAAATTATAATAAAAATTTTTACAGACTGAGCTTATAGGTATAGCTTATTAAAATATTTCACATTTAGATTTCTTTTTTTCCTGCACTTTATTTTCTGCAGTTTTCGACCTTTCAATTGGCTTAGGCTCGGCTTTCTCTAAATCTGTTTTTCCAAATGTTTGGGCCCGATTATTAATTGGGTTGTGTTTTGTTTCTTCTACTTGTGGTCTTTTAGGGACTTTTGAATGCAAATTATGAGCATTTCAATCGAAAAAATAGTCGTATTCGAAGCCTTCTTGTAAAAATAGGTCTCTGAATAGCCTTCGTAGGTAAGCATAGTCAGGTGCTTCTTCAAATTTCAAGTTTCTGCAATAACTTATATAAATAGAAAATTCTCTAGGAAACCCTTCACATAGCACTTCTATTGACGTGCTCATTTTACTTTCTTTTATTTTCTGGTATTTTTCTTCTTTTCCTCTTGCCGAAATCCCTTGCCACGGCAATGCCCCTCTCAAAAAATACATAATTACATATCCAATAGCCTCCAAATCATCTCTTCTGCTTTGTTCAATTCCTACATGTGCATTAATAGACGCATATCTTGCAGTCCCAGTCAAACTTTTTCCTTCCACATATGGGATATGTTTTTGTGTCTTAAAGTCTCGGTATTTTTTTGCCAGCCCAAAATCAATGATATGGACAATACTATTTCTCTTGCCAAGTCCAATTAAAAAATTATCGGGCTTTATATCTCTGTGTATAAAGCTTTTTGAATGGACGTATTCTACTCGACAAATAAGCTGATCTGCTAGCATAAGCACAGTTTTCAAGCTAAATCTGCGGTTGCAGAGGCTGAAAAGATCTTCTAAACTTGGCCCTAGAAGGTCCATCACCATGACGTTGTAGTTTGCTTCTGCTCCATATCATAAAACCCCTGGGAGACCTGGGCCTCCTTGTAATAGCTTTATAAGCTTGCTTTCGTAAATTAATTGAGGGTGCCGAGTATTCATGTTTTCAAGCTTGATGGCGACTTCGCTATTTGTCTGGATATCAGTTCCTATGAAAATTTCGCCGAATGAGCCACTGCCGATTTTTTTGCCGATTTGATACCTGCCTCCTATACGAATGTCATGCATATTTAATTTCTTTTCTGCTATATTTTTGACTATTTAAGCATTTAATTGAGATCACTTTATGGTATTTTTGAAAAAGATTAGATTAGAGCTATTTGGCTGAAAGAGAGCCAGTGGATGCTGATAATATATATATATATAAATATGTATCTTATTAAGTTATCCTGAAAATAATATCAGATTTTTACAACATTATAGGCATTTCTCACTAAGAATCTCTTATCACACACCTTGGGACCTTATGAAAAAGGCGATCTCTTCTCTATTCGCAGCCACTACATAATTTTTTTTTCACTTTTTATATGATAATCTGTGAATTTGGAATAATAAATAGGCAAATATATAAAATAAGAAAATAATGCTAATTAGATTTTAGAAACCAAGCTAATTTCCTCTTGATGGAATTTTAATAGATAAATAAATATTATGTTTAATAATTGCTATTAAAGAGTGATTAATTAAATCCAAGCATGCACCAGTACATATTTAAATGAATTATTATCTTGCCAGCTATAGACAGTCAGCTGCAAAAAATGCTCCCAGCGAGGCTCGAACTCGCGACCTTTGGCTCATAAGACCAATGCTCTAACCAACTGAGCTACGGGAGCTTCCACAAGAGTGCTGAAACAGCCGATATTTATGGTGATTTAAAATTAATTATGGTACAATAATTTCAATTATTAAAAAGACCTATAAATTTTTATTAATTTCTGATAGGCGTCCTAGTTAACTTAAAATTTTTATTTATTTTTATTTTCAGTTTTTCTTTATATTGATAAAGTTTAATTATATAATAACGATTCCTCTTATTATTCTATGCAAATAATTTAAATATATGAGCCATCACACACAAGTGCTGAAAGAAAATTTTTTAAAAAATAAATAATAGTTCAGATTATCATTAATTACTTAAATTTAAGTTTTAATTATTTTTATATTAATAAATTTAAAATAAATTTGATATGCATTCAAGAGCAGAACAAAAAAGATCAAAAGAAGGAACTCCACTTAGCTACTCTATTTGATCGTTTAGTCAATTGTAAATTCTATTATAGAGATGAAGCCAAAAGAGGTGGAACAGCTCCAGGTCCTTCAGAAAAGAATTTCTCTTACCCAAAAAAACTTCCAGCCAGCTCTCACAAGTTTACAGTGAATTCTATAAACTCTCCAATCCTCCCACAAAGTAGCAAATTTTCTATGCGAGGGTCTGGCTGAAACTCCTCAGATATCCGAGCCCCTGTAAAATTGCTAACCATAAGGCGAGAAAATCCTAAACTCAGCACTTTAAAACCCCCAGAAGATCTAAAAAGGCCATTAACTATCAGTTACCAAGTCCCAGAAATTACAAAACTTAATGAAAACAAAAAGCATAGGCCTCCTCCAAAACACAAAACCCCTCCAAAAGCGCTTAATTTATATCTGCCAGCTGGCAGCTGTACCCCACCTGAAGAAATTGCTACAAAAGACATGTTTGAAAAAACATGGTCTATCTGCCCAAAAGAGCCAGAACACAATGAGCCACAATATTCCGACCGAAAAACGACAGAATCCCCTACATTTAAGCATGCCTGAGATGAAGGTGTAACAAGGCCAAAAACCCAAAACGAAAAAACAAGGAGAATGCGCCTTTTAGCAGCTCAAGAAAAAGTGCAGCCATTATTCGGAAACGACATAATAAAAAATCCTGACAAATTATACGAAGTTCCTATCATTTTAAATAGAGACGAAAAATACACCCGACGAATTTTTAGCGCCCACATAATAGAAACAAACAGTCCAAAATCCAAGCCAGCTTCTTATAAAACCGTGAAAGCTGCTTTTCAATCATCTTTAGATGGTGATTTTTTAAACCTTTTTGAGTCAACATCATAAAAAATGCAATAATAATTTGATGTAGATATTTAATAAATATTATTCCTCCTTATTGAAGAATTTAAAAATCTAGCATCATTTAAAATGTGTAGCCTGCAAGTCCACACCAGAACATGATGAATCCCATGATACCAATCAAGGTCATTATTATCATCACAGCCCAACAGATGAACAAGTCAGGCCTGGTCCATTTACCGGGCTTGGCTTTCATGTAGAACATGCATGGCAAAATAAAGCAGATGATTGGATTGGACACTGACCCCAAAAGTGTAAGGACAAGCGCGATATTTGGAATAATCAATGCAAGTCCCATTCCAGAAAACACCAAAATTGTGACAAGGATTAAGTAATTTCTCTTTGGGTACTCTTTACCCTTATAAATCAACGACAACGTCGCATCCCTACACGGATGCATCAACAAAGGTGCTCCACAAAGCACTGTTATAAACATCGTAAACGAGCTCTATATAGATCTTACAATGATAACTGGGACATTTCCATGAGGATATTTGGCACTCAATATATTGCTGGGAAAGTTATCTAACCCATGATACTCCTTATAGAAAGTTAAAAACCCAAAAACCCCGACTATGATATAAATTATCATCACAGTCACCAACCCTCTCATTAAGAACTTGTAGCCTCGACCAGGGGTCCTTCTTTGCAGCTCTGTATAAATAAGCAACACATTGGGGTGACAAGTGTAAGCAAAGACCACCAATGGACAAACCTCAAAAATGCTGTAGGCAGTAAACTCTGCCGGTGAAGCGTCTTCAAATCGATTGCCGATTTCATTTCGTCTGAGATCAAAAAACTCTGCTGTAACTACTATTGATAAATAAATGCAGGCTCCACAACTTAAAACTGATGTAAACCTAAGGACTGAAATCTTCTTAGCGATTGAAAGGGGGAAGACGATTGCCGTAGTAATTATGATTCCTCAAGCGTAATCACTGTCAAGAAGCCCTTCATTAATTCCTAATAATCGAAATGCGTGTGGTCCTAGGCTCTTAAGCAAAACGACATAAGCTATATAAGTTCCGTAATTGTTAATAATCATATTAATTTCTGAAAACGTCCTCATCTTAGGGCCGTATAAGTGCTCACCAACACCTTCATATGTAGGAACTTTTGTTAAGTCTGATACTATAACTAACAATTGGCATGTATAAAGACTCACAATAAACCCTGCAATAAAAAGAAAGATACCCATATATAGCCCAGCTAAATTTATTGCATAAGGCAGGGTCAAAATTCCTGCTCCAATAGTGGAAGCTATGATTGTGAAAACGCTGCCCTTTAGAGATCCAGGGCTGAATTTCTTTTCTATTAATCTTTTCGGAGCTCCAAAGACTCTGGCGATTTTTTGCCGTGGAGACATTGGACCAATTGAGTCCATTTCTCTCGTAGTCTCGTTGTCTCTCATACTTAAATGCTCTAATTGTTTTTGGTCTTCTTCTAATAAGAACACTTCACCCATCTTAATTATTTCACCATGAGAAATAACACTCAATTACGTCATAGCATTAGGGGTTTTAATGCATTTGATACAAAAAAAGAGTTATTTATCTTTCGCTTTTAATAGGACTTATGCCTTGGGTTGCGGTGAAGCTAACATAATTTTTAAGAAAAAATAAGGATAATTTTTATCAGGCCGGATCAGAACGTTATAATCTAGATTAAATTTAAACCAAATACAAGAAAATCAAAATATTTACATTAAAAAAACAGAAATAATGCTCTTTTTGGTTTAAAAGTTTGCCGCGGACAGTTTTTATTCATATCACCATTTTAATTATTTCAATGAATAAAAGAACCGGAGTTGACACTTCAGTCAACTTGGACGAAACTACTAATGAAACCCAAGACTTAAGACCTCCAGAAAACCCAAATAATAGAAGAAGATCACGTATCTCTCAAATGCATATTGATACAAGGAGACATTCAAAGCTTTCAACCACTTCAGTATCATCAATCGGTGAAAATCTGAAAAATAGTAAATCCTATACAGATAACCCTGTCCTTAAGAAAAAGAACAACTCAATGCCTACTATTATTTTACTGAAACTAACAGGCTCAATCTTCCAAGCAATTTTAACTGTTTTTGCTTGTATAGTTTATGTTATGAGCACATATATAGGAGATGAGCAAACAATGTTTTTTAACTCACTAGAGCTCGCAATTGCAATATTATTTACAATAGATTATATCCTTGGGTTTATTACTGCAATAGATAAAAAGAAATTTATGCTGAAACCTCTTAATATCATTGACATTGTTATTATTCTCCCAGTTTACATCACTCTTTTAAGTGTAAAACACATTTAGCCTTCATCACATAGCTCTTTGACGTTTACTAGGTTTATCCGTGTCGTTAGAGTTATCAGAATCTTAAGATTATACAGACTTTTTGCAGTAAAATTTATTTAGTTATCAAAAGCTGAAGACCAGCCACAAGGAGGCTTTGTGATACAGTCTTCAGAAGTAGCCAGACAAATAATGATAGCGATTTTAACAGTTTTTACCTTGATTTTTATATCTGCAGGAGTAGTGCTGGCACTACAAAATACCAATGATTTTCAGATCACTTTGCCAGTTCCAGGTGAAACTATGACTTTTGAAAAGGCATTATATTTTATTATAATTACAACTTCAACTGTCGGGTATGGAGATATGAGTCCATCTACTAAGCTTGCTAGAGCTATCATAGGTCTTTATATCATTATTGCTGTCATCATTATGACTCAACAAACTTCAAAGCTCGGCGAGCTCATGAAAAATAGTTCTCCTTACAAAAATCCTTATAAAACAGAACCAGGCAAGCACATTGTAGTAACTGGAAAGTTCAATGCTACCACCCTTTATAGGTTCTTAAAAGAGCTTTACCACCCTGATCATGACATGCCAATGACCGAATGCAAAGTTTTAATTGTAAACTCAGAGCCTCCAAGCAAAGATATTTTAGCTATCTTAAACCATCCTATGTATGAAGAAGCTGTAAAATACCTAGAAGCTGATTTTATGGGCGAAGAAACGTTAAAGAGTGCAGCAATTGATATAAGTCGAGGAGTTGTAGTCCTGACAAACCAATATGAAGACGAAATCGCTAATCAAGACGTCAATGCTATATTAGCGTCTAGTGCTGTTAAAGAATTTTCAGCTGAAACTCCAGTCTTTCTTCAGCTTGTCAGACCTGATTTGCTTATGCATCACTATTGGGCAGGTTGGGAAACTGGATTCAGCACTTGGAAATTTAAACTTTCTATGCTGTCTGCCAATGCATTTACACCTGGCTTTAGCACTTTGCTATCAAATTTAATGATTTCTTCCTCTGGGATAATGAAAAAAGAATGCTTTGGAAATCATTGGGTAACTGAATACATTGCAGGGCTCTCTAACGAAGTTTACTACTACAAATTTCCAAAGCATTTAATAGGAGCAAAATACACAGACGTCGTCAAAGCATTTTATTTCAAAAATGGCTCATTGATTATAGGCATCCAAACTAAATTAAATGACGCTACAGAAATTTTATTGAACCCTGTGGATTATTATATCAAAAAAAGTGACAGAGCTTTTATGATCGCTGAAGGCATTGAAGATGCAAAAGAAATTGAAGAACTTGATATACATGAAATTGGAGTAGAGCCGGTTAAATTTGAAATGTTTGAGCAATTAAGACAGATGAAAACGCCACCACCGATAAAAAGTGTATATAAACCTATTGAAGAAAGACATTTACTTATGTGGGGAACGGATTTGAGAGGGTCTGTATGGGATCATATTATTGTGTTTGGGAGACTTGAGCATTTAGAAATTTTATTGGAGACTTTTGCGAAAACTATAAAATTAAAAATAAATAGATAAATATTTTTAATGGAAAAAATATGTGAATATTTACTTGAAGGAGAATAGTAATCAATTGGTTTGTTATGTGTCTGATCAGCCTCCTGATAATAAATGAAAAAGAATTTCACAAACATATAGAGACGCTCTGTACTTAGAATGCTCTTTTTCTGATGTAGAAGAGCTTTCACACACTGCAATAAGTTTTGCTTATCACACAATTTTATTACCTCCCCCCCATTAAATTGAACAGTAAAACCTGCTCAAAGTTAAAATTTTTTTTTTCAAAAAAATTATATACGAATTTTATTTTATTTATAATTAATGAAGAAATTAAACGATTCAATGTAAAAATTGCTTAGATTAGATTACGATAGGTATTTATAGTCCCCACTTCCTGAAGTGCCGTGCGTTCGGTAGGTGTGTGCCTGCGGGGCGGGCTCCCTCAAGTCACTTTGGGCCAGGGCCGAAATCCCCGGTTTTTCGATAGATCCATTTTCAGAACTACCCCACCCTGGGTAGTTTATGCCCAGATCGTCCCATTGAGGAGCCCTTAGAACTGGAGAAACTAGCCCTGAAAATTTTGTCTGATCTGTCTTCCACTTTTTCTCCGGATCATCTCCGAAGAAAAACAAACGCGGTTGCGTAGATTCGGGACAGGCACGAAGCAGCTGAGGCAGATGAGTCGCCCTGCCTCTATCGGACACCCGTTCTGGAGCTGGACGCTGCTAATAAAAAAGATGAAAAAACTGCTGTTCGAGCCAGGCCACTAGTCAGTGGAAATAGTGCTGGGCCTCTCACTTCGATACTAAACCGACCCTTGGGCAGTTCTTTGTATCAAAAAAACGTGTCCGAATATGCATAAGGACACCCCAGCAGGAAGGGCAGGTCGCTTGTCACCGGCCATTTTATATATATGTGAAAACTGTTTAAATAATATTCTATTTACATTTTCCATTTTGGTCAACATCTATTCCATAAAATTATTATTTTTCACCTATTAAATTTTTCCATTAAAAATAACAATTTAAATGGGTTGAAAGTACCCAAAAAATGAAAATTTTGCTGATATTTTGCTCCAATTTAAAAGAGGGAGTAAGCAATAGAATTGAAGGTTCCACAATGGAAGATTCTGGTCTATTGCCACTTGTAGGCTTAATTGAAAAGAATTTTACTTGTAAATTCACTGTTGAATTAGTCGATGAAATTTAAGATTTAAGATTACGATAACACTCTGTCGACCCCCACTTAGCTTAGGATCTGACAAACAAGCCCTTCCTTCCTGAATTCCATCACTGGCAAACAGCTCTGAACAACGGTAGGTGGAATCGGCCTAAACCGTAGAACCGTTACAGTTGCCTATGACCTAGACGAGTCTCTCTTTCTTTCTTGATGTTGATTCAAGCACACAAGGAACTGCCGAAGCAGTTCCAGCGCTAATATCCTTCAGAAAGTCTGAACTTCCCTCACTAGGATGACCTTAGGGTACAAGGACCCTAATTCATGCGCTCCATTTTTAATTGTCGATGAAATTAATTTGAAATATTTAGATAAAAAGCCACGATCCGAGCTTGAAAATTTGCCATTTGTGGTGTGGCCAAGATATGCAGCATCTCATGTGTTTTTTTCGAGCGCTTTGGATTATATTATAGCTCAAGCTTTTCATAATAACATTTTAATCGATTTAGTGCAGCGCCTGATTGTATACGAAGATATGTTTGCAGAGCTTGGAATTGATGAAAATTATAGGATAAATTCAATAGAGCTGCCAGAAAATTTATATGGTAAAATTACTTTTGGCGAAGTATTCAATTATTTACTCTAACTATTTAATAATTTTTTAATAAAAATATATATTAATCCAAAAAAATATTAATTTCTCTATAAGAAGTAAAAAGTTAATAAGTCTTCAAAGACCTCTAGTCGCTTTAGGAATATACCGCAACACAGGAATATTAAATAATGAAACCCCTTATGTCTACACAAAACCAGATGCAAACACCCCAATTTTCCTTGGCGATAAAATATTTGTAATGGGAGAGCTAGAAGACAGGGAGTCAAGTCCATACTTAAAAGACGTAAAAAATGTCAAAAGAAAAACAACTGTTATAGACTTCAGCAGAAAAAAATCAATCACAAAAAGAACGTCTTCTTTAACTATAAGGAAAAAAACAGTTGCCCAATCAGCCGTTCAGGTAGTTGAAGACGAGGTAAGAGACGAAACTCAACCTTTTACTGATGAAGAAATTATTAATATGGTGAGAAACCTTTTAGAAAAAACCAAAAAAGAAAGAGATATTATAAACGTAATTTTTATGCAGAGACAAAACGAAACTTTAATTAATTTAACAAGCGAGTACAACACCGTTCAGCAAATGCTGCAGGGGATGGATTTAGAGGAGGATGAAAATATAAGTTCATAATAAATGCTTTAATAATGATTTAAGGTAAAAAAAATATTTATTTATAATAATTAATTTTTTCTGATAAAAATGACAATTATTTGATGATTTGCTTATTTATTTTTCTAATACTTAAATTCATGGATGACTTACTAATCGCAGTAAAAAAATAATCAAATTAGAATAAATTCGCAGAAAATCGATATTTAGTTATATATTTTAGAAGAAAATATAAAATGGAGCGCTCAGATATAAATCCTTTAGAAGAAATAAAAGTTGTCGAATATATTAAAGAAGATGTAATAGAAAATAATGAACAGGAAATTCAGCCAACTTATCCTTCTATGGGAAAAATAGAAGTTAAATACCCAAGAGTTTCTAGTAATATTGGGAACTATGAGGAAGAAAAATCTGATTCGCGTATAAAAATATCTATCGTTGAGCATACCATTAAATCAGAGCTTCTATTAAAAGGTGTCTATTTTATTGTTAAAGGTCAAGACAGCTCAGGTACTTTTGAAAGTTCTAGAAAGTTCAAAGATTTCAGACTCTTAAGAGAGCATTTATCTAATTCATGGCCAGGGTGTTATATCCCTCCAGTCCCTCACAAGAAAAACTTGGTATTTTATATATAGGGCACAACACAACCCGAATTCATTGAGCATAGGAAAAAATTACTTATAACTATTTAATAAAAGTTCATGCAATGGCATATTATATCAATAATTCTTTTTGATAAGGAAATAAGATATCTAAAGCAAAATATTAATGAAAAAATTAATTTTAATAGCAATAACTGATTTTTAGCTAAAATTTCGTCAATGAGTTATTTGTATGAGTCTCCTGAATTTCAAGAATTTATTCGAGGGAATTCAGAATATAGAAAAGTGGAATGAAAGAAAAGCAGCTATGACGAAATTTCTCAAAAATGTCAGAAAATATTTAAAGAATTTTCATCAGGCGAATATAATGAAAATCATGAAGCTATTATTGAAGAAGCAAATAATTATTTTAAGTCTGGAAAAAATATATTAGAGAGGTTTGAACAAATTTGTAAAGCAAACACTGATTATTTTTACTATTTTGGAGCTTCTTTTTCACAGCTTTTTAGTGGATTTGTTGAAGTTGGCGGATTTTATACAGAAGCTTATGGAAGTCATCCATTGCATATTCATGTAAAAGAAAAGCCAGCAAATCCTTTTACTATGTTATTAGATTGAGTGAGATGGGAAATAATTGATCTTGAAGCTATAATGGAAGCCATTTCCCGAGTAAAAGACCTTGAAAAAACCAAAATAAAATCCCAAGGAAAGCTTCAAAGCGAGCTCGTCCAATACCAAAAATTGCAAGCAGGCAGAAAATCAATTTCCCAAATTTTATCAATAAAATCTAAAGAACAAAATTTAAAAAACCTCCAAGGCAGCACCATCAACCTAGAAGCAGAAATCGACGCTTTATCAGTCCTCCAAAAAATCTGCACCTCAAGATTTGTTTCTGTAGATCTCCCTGCATTTAAAAAGCAAAAATCAAAAAAATACGAGCTCATCTTGCGATCATTTACAAAATCTTCAGTCAGTGAATTCCAACAAATTATCCTACAAACAAAAGAAATTGAAGATAATTTAAATAGTTAAAAATTAAAAAAAATATTTTCTTATAAAATTTCATAATTGGGGGCCAAAAATAATTTCGCAAATGAATGAGAATTTTATAGTAGAGCAAATAGATATCTCTGAGTCGCAACAGAATAATACTAATACAAGCGAAAAGAACCCAAGCGATTTAATCAATGAATTATTAATGTCAGAAATGTTTGATGAAATGTATACAGGAGACAATTTTCTTATTAATCAGACTTTGTGTGACCGATGTAAAGAATCAATTGAAAAAAATAGGAAAATTACTTATGAAAAAGAAATACAGACTGATATAGAGCTGCCTCAGAAAAGAGCTAGGGAAGAGATACCGTGTGAGAGACTGAATAAAGATATTGTTGAGATAGGGGGTAGAAATGGAGAGGTTTTTGATATAACAAGTGTGCCAGTCGCAAGGACGCTTGTTAGACCACCTCCAGCTGCTTTGCAATCTTTTTCGATGATGCCCCCAACGCTGAATTATATGCCTTATAACCCTTTGAATCGCCCTTATATGCCAACTATTCCACTTCAGCAAAGGCCGACGTTTTCTACAAAATATCCAGAAAAGCATGTACCTCTTCGAGGTGATATTCTTAATCCTGACTATAGTTATTTTCCCTAAAGTATTTAAAATAATTGCTTTAAAAATAAGTAGCTTAATTAATTTTACTTTTTAATTAACAATATTTCAATTTGAGGAAAATGAATTTACCGTATTATACTAAATCCTTTATATAGACTGAAATTGCCTAATAAGAAAAAATTTAAATATTGGTTAAAAAATTACCTATATAAAATTTTTTTAATTAATTATTCAAAGGGAAAATGCAAAGTGATATAGGCATATACCCTTTTAGTTCTCCATAGGGCTGATTTCAGACTGTCAGATCTTATCTGGCAGGCTTTAGATGATCCCAATGGAGATCAAACTGTATTCTTTAGGTATAAAATGTGGTGAAATAATATAATATAAAAATTTCAATTTGATAAATATTCTTTTTTATAAATCAATTGGTGAAGGCCATATAAAGAAGATATGAGTTCATAAATTATTTAATTATTATAATAATTTGTCTCATTATTGAATGATTTATGTCCTCTTTTTATTTGTTTCTGCTTCACAAGCTTTACACCTTAAAAAGAGCTTAGGAGATATCTATCTTTCTCAAAACGAAGTGCATGAGCTTGCCTTATCCGACTTCTTTGTTGGCAACAACCTAACATATCAAATTCTGTCAACAAATTCAGAAAAAGACGAAATATATTTGGAAAATAAGATGAATTTAGAATTATTATCATTTAGCCCATACCCTCCTCAACGGAATCAAAACTTAACCACCTCCCCAAGTCAAAAATCATATACAGTTTTAACTTATTTCTCCCACCAAATTTTGTGTGATTTTTATGAAAATAATATTTACCTATATAATTTCTCAGAATGCTCCAACGATTTTTCGCTTATTTGGTATGGAGAGATAAAAACTGAATATAAATTTTCACAAATAAAAAGTGTCCTAGGTATATGTCAGAGTTTTAAAACTAAATACCTTCTTCTTATTCAATTGCAGCAGCAAGAAATAATTGATGGTAACTCAGTATGGAGAAATGATTTTTATATAATGGATTTGACCGATATTTTAAAAATTTCAGAACCCCTTTTAATAAATTTGAGCGATTTGACTTATGCAAATAATATAATCATGACTGCACCAGAGAATAGGCAAATAGTTAGTATTTATGCTGAATTTCCAGATAATAAAAACGCAATATTATTTTATAATTTTACATAGCTAATTATAATGATTATGTCCGGGTATATTTTTTAAATATCATTTTAATTTGCAATTAAATAATAGATACAAGCTTAATTTAGAATAATATAAATCCTTATAATCCTATTTGCATTCAAAATATCACTCAATATTTTACTACACCCAAAGAAATTCAGACTCTATCAGTTAAAAGTATATTGGCTTCTCAAATTCATTTTTTTGTTCTCGATTCAAATATTGGCCTTATAATTTATTCATGCAGGTCTCGTAGTCAATGCATCGAAAAATCTTTTATTGATCTTCGATCTGCAGGAGATATAAAATCAATGTGATATCTGTGTGGTCCTTCTAAAAGCAATGAAGCTATTAATATTATGACTAATAAAGGAAATATTTTGATTGCTTTAATTGGAGATATAAAACACTGAGTCCCAGCATATAAAAATAATGGATTTGTTTATAGTCCTACTTTTGCTCAATATGTAGATAATTTTTATTTTATTCAATATGGGATATCAGACAAGTCGATTTTTAATATTTATAAAAATAGCAATTTTGAGAATGCGCTATATCAGGTTGATATAGGAAAAATGATTGGAAAATATTATAATCAAAATGGTTCTTGGATGGTAACTCAAAGACCTATTAGTAAATTGATAGCATACTTTAGGTCTGATTTTGACGGGATAAGAGTCTTCGAATTAAAGATTAGTCCTTATTCTCTTAAAGTAAAAGGAAATTCCAATTTTAAAGCAGAAATCATTGCATATGAAAATAATAATGGAAGCTTAAATTCAGTTTCAAGTATTATAAATGTGATTTCAATCCCTGAAAATGCAAATGAAATTTATTTATTAAATGATTATAGACCTGCTACAATTTCACCTATAAATGTGCTTGTGGATAGACATAAATCAGAAATATTTTTATATCCAGTTAATTATTTTTCTGGGCCAAACCTAAATTTCAAAGTAACAACTCCAGATTCTAAATTTTTTACCTTTGAGGCAAGTCAAATTGAAAAGTTATTCTTTTAATATTAGTTTTTAAAAAAATTATTTTTCTTTAAATTATTTCATTCATTCATTATAAAACAAAATAAAATATATCGATAATCAAACACTCCCTAACTCCCCCTTTTAAATTGGAACAAAAATACTGTTCTAAATTTATCCTTACTCCCCCCCCCCCCTCCGTGAGCGAACAAAACCATTAGAAAAATCGCCATTTTTTGACCAAAAACCCACCCTCCGTGAGTGAACAAAAATTTTTTTAATAGAAAAAATTTTAATGGAAAAAAATTTTGATATATAAGTGATAATTATTATCGTGAAATATCTAGCTAATTCTGTTTAATTTTAAACAAATTGCGTTTTAAAACATAAATTTTGCAAATTAAATTAATATTTGCTTCCCAATTTTTGCAAATTAGGATTTTTTTAAATTTCGAAAAAAATATTTTTTATAAAATTTATATATAAATTTTTTTTTAAAAAAAAAATTAACCCCCCTCCGTGAGCGAACAAAATTTTTTTGTTCGCTCACGGAGGGGGGGGGGGGGGAGTTAATCAAATTTTCAAAAATCAGAAAAATAGGAATTGGGTGTTCTTGAATTTAAATTATTTTTATCAAAAAATTTATGCTCAAATAACATTGCACTTTTTCCATAAAATTATATAAAAACTAATTTTTCTAAAATTTAATATTTACTATGCAAAAAAAAATGGTTACAATTAAATAGGGTTAAAGTACCAAAAAAAAGAAATATTACTATATTTTGTTCCAATTTAAACGGGAAAGGGAAGTAAAGATATTGAGAAGGTTGAGATCAGTAACGACTTAGTATATTTTTTTAAAGATCACATAGATGTTAGATCTTTAATCATTAATGTTACAAATCCAATAAAAGTTTTTGAAGATGGAAGCGGGGCTATTATTTATTGAAAGACAGAAGAATTTACTCCTATGATAACATATTATAGCTATTCTCAGTTTATAATTATCCAGACATGGGAGCCAGCAGCTGAGTGCAAAATTTTTAAAAAGAAAAAGATGGTTAATCAATTGATATGCTCTGATGGAGAAATAATAGATATTTATTATGAAAATCAAGAACTTTGGGAAAGACGAATTCTGTTATCAGGAAACGATTTCGAAGGGAATTTTACATGAAATTTGAGCGATATAGAAATGTGCTCATTTGCACCAAATGAGCAGATTAATAATTATCTGTATTTAGCTGACAAAGACAAAGGGCTCCTTGTTATCGATCTTTGGGGATTATCAAGCTTGCCATTTCCTTATTTTATTTCAGATATCTCTTTGACTGGCATTTTGAAAATGTTTTCTACCTTAGAAGATATTATTTTTATTCGAGAAAATTACTCAATAAACATTTTTGCAGGTCCATTAAGCTATAAAAGAAAAATTCAGATAGAAAATAGCGGAACTTTTACTAGAGCTGAAATATATAGGAATATAATTCTGTTGCAACTTGATGAAACATTATTTGCTATTAATATAGATGCCCCAGTGCAGAATGCCCTCTATTTTGAAAAGAAAATTAAGCCTCAAAGTTATATTTTATTAAATAGTAACTGGAGGCCTGAAAAAACTCTTGATAAGCAATTTCTACATTTATTTTATTTAAACTCAACTGAAAAATATTATGAAACTTATTTGATGCATTGTCCAGGTGAAGCACAAGATCTCTTAAACACAAAGCTTAGTAATGAGATATCAATTCAAGTTAAAAATCCTCAAACATTAGTTAAGCAGATTTATTCTGCTGAGATTACCTTAGCTGCAGATAATAGCTTCAAACACTCAAGTATTAATTTGCCATTGAATTTAATAGTAAATGGAGCATTTGCGTGGTTTGAGCCACATAATTGAAATATTAAACGAACAGTAAACTATGATGATCATTATGAAATTGACTTAAATAATGCATTTTTTGGTCAAAATCTGGATTTTAGCTTAAATATTAATGGGCAATACATAAATAATTCTCAATCTAGCACTTTCCCTGCCACTATTACTCAAAAAATTGAGATGATTGATTTTTATAGTTCACAGACTACTTTATTCCATCAAGCTTTAATTCCAAATACTAGCATAAGAATTTTCACATCAGCTGAAGGATTTATTATTTTAAATTCCTTAGGTTTCCAAAGATCTCTTAATTTTTCAAATTACTCCTTCAATAATCTAAAATGCAGTTTAATAGACGTATTAAATTTCACAAAAAACAATACTGCACTTCTTGCGACTTCTTGCACTTCTCAAACTAATGATTTTTCAAATACTGAAGATAGCCCATCAAAGATAAATTTATTGGTTTTATGAGAATTTGACTATATTTCTTCTTCTATGAACATATTTACTTTTTTACAAATTTCATATAATCCGTGGTATCTTAAAATAATTCCTTTAAATAAAACAGACTTTGAAATAATGACTGTTCAGAAATATTCATATTATCAAATAACGCAGATGCTACATTTTCGTGGAAAGTGAACTGCTGATAGAATTGATATTAAGCAAATTGGATCAATTGATGCCATTTCATTGAATTTGCCTTCTTTTACCTCTATATTTTTTGATGGATTTTCTGAAAATTCAGAAAATACAGTATGGTTTATTCTTGACAACAGCTATGGGATAAGAATTTTGAAAGCATCAAGCAAAGGCTTAGAAATCATAGATGGAATTTCTCATGACCAAACCGGCAATTATTTTTCCATTGGACTGTGTGGTGATTATTTATATGCATTAAAATTATCTAATACTTTACAGAAAATTTTGATAAAAGACTTAACCAATTTGAAAATAATAGAAACATTCTATTATGATAATAAATACTTACCACAGCACACCCGCATATCTTGCTCAGAGGATGGAAAATATATAAGCTCTATTCACAACCTTGATGGTTCTACCCAAATCCTTAGAATTTATGACACATCTGCAAAAAGTAGCTCTTTTATTTTAGCAGATATAAAAATATGCAATTGTCGCCAATCTTTATATGTGCCAGAATATATTTTTTTGAATTCGAATTCCATTTCAATTATTGAATGCGCTCCTGGGAGAAATGTTGCAACATTTAAAATAAATCCAAGTGTCCTAAAAATACCAAAACTGAATTCAAGTGAATATGAAACAATTATTGATGAGTGAGGAACAAATAGTTTTGATATTTTTATTACTGCAAAAAATGATAATAATGAGGTCAATTCTTCAACAGTAAGAATTGAGAGGGGAATTGCAGAGAAATATAAAGAAAGCCAAAATAAAGAGATGTGGTTGATTTGGCTGATTGTTGCTACTGCAGTTACGCTGACAGGTGCTATGAGCTTCATTTTTATGAAAAATTTGATACTAAAAACGAAGCATAAAACTTTAGAAAATCAAGCTTTGGTTTTGATGACTATAAAAGAAAATCAGGTATAAGAATAATTCTTCAATATTTAGATTAAGTTTTTTCTAATTTTCATTAACATTATTAAATATCATAGTCTTTTCAATGCCAACTATAAATTTCTCTGCATATTTCTTTACATTTTGTGTTTATTGATATTAACCTGCCAGCGTTTTTAAAACAATTCTAATAAAATATTGTACCTTGTATGATATCACCAGTAGAATTCGCATAATGGTGATCAAAAATGTGAAAGGCACAATAATAGAAATTAGTCATTAATTTCTATACAAATAACAGTAATTTTTGACAAAAACTAATCAAAATTATTTTGTAAAGTAATTTTTTAATGGAAGACGAATATAAGAACGACGACGAAATTCCATGCACAGAAGGATTCTTTTCATCAATTTGGAATTATGCTTTTTATTGGATGATTCGGCCAAGCTTTAGAGGAATCATATTTGGTTTAGGACTCTTTTTTGCATTAAAAGTTTGTTGCCCTTATCTATGCAATCGGTATAAAATCTCTTACAATTTGCAAAGCACATTAACCAAGGATATCTAATAAAAACACTAACTAGCCTCGCTTATAGATAATTTAGTTAGCTTGAATTTGTGGCTAATTTTTCCATAAATTAAATTTCCTTAAAATTCCACAGAGTAAGGAAATTCTTTTATAATTCAATCTAATTCTTAAATAATCTTTCTTTATAAAAACATTGAAATGGTTTCACAGGTAACTCTCAACTCAGGCCAAAAAGACAGATTACACACAAAACCTTATCCTCTGCATTGAAGAGCTAAAAACAAACCGTGACTGTTTTAATAAGCAAATCGAAGAAATTTCCAATGAAAAACTTGAAATAGAAAAAGAGCTTGAAAGACTTAATCGAGAACTTGACAAAGTTAACGGTAAGAAATATTAAAGAAGGTTTAAGCAAAAAAATTGAAGCAAAAAGTGGGTTTGATAAAGCAATTGAAGAGACTGAAAGCGCTTATAAGAAAATTTTAGAGACTTCGCAGACATTGCTACATGTGCTAAAAAGAGAAAAAATGTCACTAAAAAGTGAGCAGGATTAGCATAAATATATCATAAATTATTTAAATCTTGTTTATGATTAGATTAATTAATATAAAAATATTAGAATATAAATATAGCTAAAAATAAAACACCTATTTTTGATATAAAAATGTCAAGAAAATTGGCAGAAGTAACCTCAAAGAAAGCTCCTCAAAAGCCTGTAGTTGAGATTCGTATGACAGAAGATGAAATAAAAGACTGTAAAGAAGCTTTTGATATTTTTGATAGTGATATCTCAGGCACGATCTACTATTTGTTATGTACTTAATTTCTGATAGGAATTCTGGCCTGAATACTGATCAGAACGATAGCTCACACTATAACGTCACCAGCTGACATCTTAGCTACTTAGGGACTTGCTGTCCGGTTCCATCCTCGATCTTCCAGGTTTCAGAGTCTTTCTCTTCAGTTGTTGCCGATGGCATGTGGAAGCTCATGCCGTTAGAGTACGTAGGTTTGCGACTTGCTCACCACTTGCTTCATCTCAGCCTTCACTGATTCTACTCCAGCGTTTTGTCTTGACCCTCTGCATGACACCTGTTGCCAGATGCTGCGGTAGGAAAAAGCCCTTTTACTCAGGCACTATCAACCCGAAAGAAGTCCAAGCTGCTATAAATTCACTTGGAGATGATCGAACCAATACCATTTTCAGACTTTTAGCTGGAATTGAAGAATTGGGTGCAGAAATTGATTTTGATGCATTTCTGGCTCATATTAATGAGAGACTAGGCCATAGGAATTCAAAAGAAGGAATTCAAAGAATTATGGATCTTTTTGATTCTGAAGGAACTGGGACAATTACAGTTAAAAATCTTGCAAGAGTTTCAAGGGAGCTGGGGGAAAGCATGACTGTTGAGGAGCTGACTGAAGCTATTGAAAAAGTCTCAACAAAGGGAGCAGAGCTCACCTTTGATGACTTTTATAAAGTTATGACTAAGAAAATATATGGATAATTATTAAATGGAAAAAAATTATTAATTTTATATACTAAAATATAAATTTATTATTATTTCCGCTGATTAGCGAGCAAAGTCTTTTGGAAAACCTACATTTAAGAAATTATTTCATGTAAAATAATATATAATTATAGCTCTTCAGCTATTTTTTTACATTAGATCCTAAAAATTATTATTTTATCTCAAAAATTTATTATAAAAATATACCTCTGTCTAGCGAGCGAAAAAAATCTTGCTTGTTAACCAAGAGGAAGCTACTAAAAACTGCAGCTAAATATTTTAAATATAATTCTTATAAAGCTATTAATTATTTAAATAATCTTCTTCTCTATTCTATATGGGTTTGGATTCTGCTTATCAATCTCTGATAAAACAAGTATCTTATATTATTGATTTCATTTGACACATCTTGAGGGATATCTACTTTTGGATCAAAAAACTGCATTCCAATAAAATGAGTCATAGACTTATTATTAAATATTGGGCGTGCTAAATGAATTCCTTGCTTTAAATTGCCTCTTTGGTATCTTGACTGTGGGATATGGGCATAATCTTCTGCATTGGTGATTCCCATAGCCCAAGCTCCATCAGTTAATTCAAATCTTGTGATAAAATTTAATATTTCTCTTGGCTGCTCAGCTGGGTAGAAATTTGTTATTTCAGATATTAGTCTAGCATTGCTATTATAAGTTCTGACTGTATTTGAGGATAAAATTAAGCTTCCCATGTCACAGTGTAACTCGCTTCAATTTTCATAAATATAATCTATTACTTGCTTACTCCTTCGAAAAAAAAATTTTATTCTACTTAAATTCTTTTTAAAAAATTTATATATGTAAATATTGTTTTTTGAAATTTAAAAAATCGCAAGCAAAATTAATTTATTTTAGAAAAATTTATGCTTTAAAATGCAAGTTTTTTAAAATCAACAGAATTATCTAGAGATTTCGTGATGGTAATTATCATTTATATATAAAAATATTTTTTCATAACAAATTTTTTAATCGCTCAAGAGGGGTGGCTTTTTACCCAAAAATTGAGAATTTTTATAGCTTTGCCTGCTTATGGTGGTGGAGATAGGGGATTTTTCAATAAATCCTTCAACCTTATACGCATCTATTGGATGGACTTTTTTATTATAAGCTACACATCTGCCTGAGTTATGTACACCATCCCAAGCTGATGGATCATCGATTAAATCGATAGCTTCTACACAAGCATGACAGGCTACACTTGTAAGGGTTAAAAATTCTTTTTCCATATAAAATGTTTATAATGAAATTCGTATGGGCGAAAATAACATAGCCTTTTTAAAAGCTCTTGCTTGTTTTAGCATTCATTGAATATTTATATAAATCTTTATTTAATTTAAATAAAAATATAATAGAAGAAGATCAATCTAAGCAGAAATAGAAACAAAAGCAAAGTAATTGCCCTTTTTATACTGAAAGCTATCAGAAACTATGTCGAATTATGATAAGTAAATTGGACAAATGAGGTCCTAAAAAAATTTGTTTTTCCTATAAAAAAAACTAGAAAAATGGACAAATGATAAAAGTTATAATAGAAAGAGAACAATTTCTAGAGTAATTAAAAGTTAATTTTCAAAAAATATAAATTTATATATTCCGATACTAATTACAGTTAATTTTAAGGCTCAAGTGATTTTTTGAACGACTAATTTATCGACTTTTAGGGAAATATTGCAGCAATATCCCAGCATTTTTATTTTTAGCTTTTGGGCATCTCAAAGATCGGCAAGTTCAGTACCATGCTGTCAAAAAAACACCTAAAATCCCCATAATCAAGCAGCTGTTTGCAAATCCGCTTATTTCTACAAAAATTCCTGCTACAAGTGGGCCAATTATTTCTCCCAGGCTTACACTCATGTTAAAAAGTCCTGATAAAGCATCATAAATATTTGTTTTTTCTGCAATTTTAATATCATCAGCTTCATCTAGCATAAAAGGTAGCGGGGTAACATATCCTAATGATCCACCAAAAGCAATTAAGCACATTCCAATAATAGGTAAAATTGAAGCTGACCCTAAAATCCATTCCCACGGTCCAATCATCAGCAGACCGATAATAGTTGTAAAAATACTTGCAATCATCAAATATAGTATTTTCCTTAGACTACCCAATTTCCATTTTAAGCCATATGTAACGAAAAAATTATATGAACATATATATAATATTTTATTTCAATTTAAAATTTTTATAAAATTATAACTCCCCCTCCCAATAAAGCCATTGGAAAAATCCTTATTTCTTGCCCAAAAATCCACACTCCGTGAGCGTTAAAAAATTATTTAAATTAATCCCTCTCCTTGAGCGAACAAATTTTTTTTCTCACATAGGGGGAGTAAATAATTATTATAATTTTATTGTATTTTTGACAAATTAATTCTATTCATCATAAAATTTGTTTGATCGTTCTAATATAAAAACTAACCAAAAGCTTCCCAAAGTATAAGCAAAGGTTGAAACTATAAAAACGTAACCAATTGCTGTCTCTGAGTATCCTTCAGATTTTAAAAACGGGCCAAGTGTAGGGTCGAAAAAATTATAAACAATCGTAGAATATAATGCTACAGAAATATCCAGCAAAATATTTTTCCTTTTCAGTAAACTTCTGCTTTTGAAATCTTCCTCAATTTCTGACAAGGTATTTTTATTAGATATAAAATACCATGCTCCTGGGATAGGGGTTAATAGCAACCCTGCAGATGCTATAAATATCCCAGAAAATCCAAATAAACTAAAACAAATCGACCCAAATGCAGGACCAAGCATCAGCCCAAGTCCTGAAAAAACCTCAAAAATCGAGATGTTTCGTTCCCTATCTTTTTCATAATCATTTGCAATGATGGAGAAGCCTGCAATATAAACTGCCGACATCCCAATTCCTCCAATAGCTCTAGAGATTAAGCTTCATATAGTGAAGAGTTTTATATCAAAATTGGGAATAAATGCAAGGATAATAAGAGATAAGGCCTATATAAAAATTACTCCTAAGATTATGCCACCGATTAGTGTGTTTTTTCTGCCAATAAATGAGAGGTTTTCTCCAATAGTAGTTGTAAAAAGGCAGCCACTGACTGGCATCATTGTGAAAACTATTCCAAGCATTCAATTGGACATACCTTTGTCTTCTGCTATTATAGGGTAAAATGGAGCTATTACTGTGTATATCAAATTAATTGCAAGTCCTGACGAAAAGATAGTAAGTAAAGCATAGTCAAAAGCCATCTTTTGGGTCAAGATTTTTTTATTAGATGTCTTGTATATTATAATAAGAATAAATTTAGATCCATTTAAAACTCTCCTTTGGGATAAAATAGCCAGAGTAGTCATAGAAGTGACTAATCATGTGAAATTTAAAGAAGCTGATAATTTACTTTGTAATTAAAATGGTGTCATATATATTTAATTCTATCAATTAAGTTTTAACAGTTAGGAAGACGAAGCAAAATTATGTAAGCTATTATGGAGCGTTTAGAGCTTATCAAGCTTATTTTCAAGGTTGTACCTTATCGGATAGATGGGAAAAGGAGTTGGAAGGGTCAAATAAGCAGTTCCTTGGACACCCAATAGTTAAATAGGATATTTTTCAAGAGAGACACTAGGCATTATGCTCTGAGATTTCATCTTAGCCAAAAGTTGGCCATCAAATTTTTAATTGGAAGCCACTGACATAATACGATTACTTAAGGGAGGAATGAATGCTTTTATCAAGAGTAAGCTATGTTTAATACTGGATAGAGAAGCTTATCGCACTAGCCCACGCAGGTTTACAGGGCCAGAATTTCTTCTGGTAACTTGATTCGTGAGATCAAACCTTAAGCCTAAATGAAAAGGAATTTCCAGTGAAAATCGATATATATTACAGTTCAGAGAAAAATTGAATATAAATTGAAATAATATTATGAATTTTAAAAGACCCCAATAGTAACTTCTCGAAAACCTGACTAAATGAGGATAATTTACTTAGCACTTATAGAACTTCTCTAGCTGTCATGGGCTTTCTTGACAATATTTTTGCAATTAAATCTGACACTTCACTGTCTTGCACGAGTTTATTTTTTCTTGAGCATCCCCTAGAACTTCTACTTATATTTTCTTTTAAATAGCTCCTTCTCTGCTCTTCTTCATTCCATTTTTCAATTGAATACGCACTTTCAGCTCTTTTTAGCCTTTTAAAAAACGTCTAATTGGTTTTTACTTTATTTTCGCTAGAAATTCGGTTTAAATTTCTATTCCTCCTAGCTGAATTTGAGCTATTCACTCTAGCAGTTTTAGGTAAGCAGTTTATTGGGTTTAAAGCCGAAGGCTTACTATAAGCAATGCCTTTCAGTAGTGCGCTAAGCGCCCGAGACTTCCCGACGAAGTCTGGGCGGTGGTTTGACCAGCTGATGTTGGTCAAACCAGCATCCAATTTGACAAATCTTCTATATGAGAAGAATTTGTCATTTTGGATGTTGGTTTGACCAACATCAGCTGGTCAAACCACCGCCCAGACTTCGTCGGGAAGCCTCGGGCGCTAGCGCGCTACTCAAAGGCATTGCCTATATCAATTTTGTACATTTTATCCAGGAGAATCTGATTTTGATGCTCAATTTCGTCATTTCGGTCCTTAAGAATATGAAGCCGTTTAGAATTGAATTGAAGGCGAGGTACATCTTTAGGAGGTTTATGTGTGCTGATAACAGATTTCACGCTAGTAAGGGAACGATGATACCTCTGTGATTCTTTTTCCCTCAGAAAGTTTCCATGTGCCGTTTTTTGGGTCAACAAATTCCACATATAAAAGCAATAATTAAAATTTCAAGCAAGAGATGATAAATAATCGTCAGTTAAATTATGAAAAATAATTTAAATATTTTCGAAATTTATTCCTATTAATAATTTAAGCTAAATATTATAGGAAAAAGTTTCTCTTTTATTTATTTAAATAACTTTTAGTAAACTGTTTACATTTTAGCTTTAAAAACTGATAGCATACGTAAATAATAAGGTCCTCACTGATCCCAATATTTTCAAATCATGGCAACTAAGTCGAGCAGAAATCTGGAGGAACCTGAATCAAGCACTACAGTTGAAGAAAAAGTAGTTAAAGTAAACGGCGAAGTTGCTATCAGACGCTACAATAAAGGCAGATTTCTAGGTAAAGGTGGCTTTGCAAGATGTTATGAGTTCACAAACCTCGAAACCCGAAAAATTACAGCAGCCAAAATAGTTTCAAAAGAATCCCTTAAAAAATCCCGTGCGAAACAAAAACTCATGTCCGAAATCAAAATCCACCGTGCCCTTCACCATGCAAATATTGTCGGATTTGAGCATTTCTTCGAAGACAATGAAAATGTGTACATTTTATTAGAACTCTGCACAAACCAAACCACAAATGAGCTGCTAAGGCGCAGAAAAAGACTGACCGAGCTAGAGGTGCAGTGCTATCTGCATCAAGTTATATCTGCTTTGAAATATCTTCACTCACATAGGGTGATCCATAGAGACTTAAAATTGGGAAATTTCTTCTTATCAGACAAAATGGAAATAAAAATCGGAGATTTTGGCTTGGCGACGAAGCTTGAGTTTGATGGGGAAAGAAAAAGGACGATTTGTGGGACACCTAACTATATAGCTCCAGAAGTATTGGATGGTAAACAAGGCCACTCATATGAAGTCGATATTTGGTCACTTGGAGTTATTGCGTATATAGTGAAATGCCTTAATTTTGAATGATGGAAAATATAAAAAAATTTTTGGGCAAAAAATGGTAAAATCTAATACTTTATTGGTAGGAAAGCCACCATTTGAGACATCTGATGTAAAAACTACTTATAGAAGAATCAGAATGAACGCTTATTCTTTCCCAGATCATGTACCTCTTAGCGAGCCTAGCAAAAGTTTAATTACAAGAATCCTCGTCAATGACCCAGCAAAGCGTCCGTCACTTGATGAAATTTTGGCTCATGAATTTTTCCATCAAGGCAACTCTATCCCCAAATTAATGCCACCTTCTACATTAGCTTGTCCTCCAAGCGCTTCTTTTTTACGTCAGTTTACTTCACCTTCTGTAAGTGGCGGCTTATCTCAATCTTCTAATAGACTTACTGAAACAGTCCCTTCAGTCGCCTTAAAAAATACATCAGCAAGATCAGCTAGGCAAGAGCTTGTAAATACCGAAAGGGCCTCAAAAATCCGTGAAGAGACAAAACAGATGCCTCCACTTACGAATGCTCCTGAACAAGGCATAGGAGCAGCTGGGCCTGAAGTTTGGGTTAAAAAATGGGTAGATTATTCGTCAAAATATGGTCTTGGATATTTATTATCAAATGGGTCAACTGGGGTGTTTTTTAATGACGCTACAAAAATTATTTTAAGTCCTGCAGGGAATGCTTTTGAGTATATGGAAAGAAAAGGACCTGAAAAACAAGATGTAATTACGACGCATACGCTGACAGAATATCCAAAAGAACTTCAAAAAAAGGTTACTTTGTTGCAGCATTTTAGAAGCTATTTGGAAGGAGACGTTAAACAAGAAACGGGGATTGAAGGCGAAAATATGCCAGTTAGCAGGGTTTATGTGAAGAAATGAATGAGGACGAGACATGCGATTATGTTTAGGCTTTCTAATAAAATTGTACAAGTAAATTTCGGCTTTGGGAAATTTTTTATTTTTTTTATTATTTTTAAGAAAATTTATAATTTTTTTTTTAAATTTCCAAGATCATACTGAAATAATTTTGTCAAGTGAAACAAGAGTGGTAACTTATGTTAATAAAAGAGGAGAAAGAACAACCTATCCGCTAGCTACAGCACAAGAAAGTAGCAATCATGAAATGACTAAAAGGCTGAAATACACGAAAGATATTTTGACTCATATGCTAAATGCTCCGAATAGGCAAGGAGAAGAGCCGCCATTGGATAACTAATAATTCCTAATATTTACTAAATATAAAATTTACCTAAGATTGGAAAATAAAAATTTCTAATATTAATTAAATATAAAATTTATCTAACGTTTGCAAATTTTTTATTAGATATAGATATTGGTGAAATAAAATAGTGAAATTTGGTTCCTTTAAAGCTCTTAAAAAATATTTCTTAAAGCTTTGATTTATTAAATTATATTTTAATTATATAGCTAAGTTTAATTTTCGTCTTCATTGTGCAAAAAACTTTTTAATTAAAAAAATTATAAGACTTAAACTTTATGTACAGTTAAAGCATTTAATGTTATTTTATTTTATTATTTCTTTAGAATTTCAGAAAGTGTAAATCCTAAAATTTTTAAATATATTTTGCTGTCTTTTATCTTTCTTTTTAAAAACCTTCAGATGAGGAAATTCCATATTGTTTTTATCTTTTGGATACTGAAACTAACCCTCACGACAAAAAGTTTTAAAAAAAATCACTTATAAATAAAAATTATCTAAAAATTCAATATAGTAATAAAGCAAGGAGAAAGTATCTTTTAAACTGATCTTTCTAGACTACCTATAATTATAATTTATGAGTTCAAAATTCGCGCTCATCAGCAAAAATATAATTTCTTCCGAGTATCCTTTACATAGCTTTCAACTCCCTATCCATGGTGCTATAATAATTGAAGATGGACTTATCTTAGACATAATGCCCTATAGCAAAAGCATAGAAAATTATTTACAGCAGACTTGCATAGTTGAAGACCTAGGCGAGCTTTTCATATCGCCAGGCATCATAGATTTAAACGTCTCATTTGGCTATGATGGGCAATTAATTACAACAAAATCCGCTTTATCAGGCGGGGTCACTTGTATAGCATCTTGCGAAAAAATAATAGAGGATATCTATACAGATATCGCTCCTCTAGTCTATCTTTCTGATGAAAATTTGCAAGATCTCCCAAATTTAATTTCCAGCGGAATTTTTGGCTTCAAAGCTGTAATGGTCCCCCAAAACTACAATTTTCCTATAATAAATTCCCATATAGAAGAAGCTTTAAAGATCATAGGGAATTCTCTTCCTATTTTCGTCCATCCTGAGTTTTTTACTGTAAAATCTCTTATGGAGATCGCCCCACACCGATGCATTATTCCTGAAGAATTCCCATCAACCCCTTCAGACTGTAAAATAGGCGAACATCCTGATACAGAAGAAAGATTTTCGTCTGAGGACGAAATTTTGCCTTTTTCTTATTCTCCAAATAGCACTCCGACCACTAAAGATATTGGAGGGATAAGGAGGACTTCTTTTAAGATCCCAACGATTATTCATCCATTTGAAATGAGTCCACCTAAAAGCCCAGATAAGAAAAGAGGCAGTTTGCCTTGTGTTTTAAGTGTAATTGAAGAGAAAAATAAAAATGAGGAGCAAGAAGAGCATAAAAAGTCCCCAAAAATATCAGAAAGACACTCGATTTTGTGTACAGTAGAGGGTTATTCAAAACCAATGCCAATACAGGATTTAAAGTGCATTAAAAAAGAAGCTAATTTTGATTATAATTTGCAGCATGTAGAAAGCTTTCCTGTGGAATGAGAAATTGAAGCTGTAAATAGAATACTGAACCATGCAACTATGGAGGCAAAAATCCACTTTTTAAATGTCAGCTCAAGCACTGCTATTGAGCTTATTAAAAGCAATAAAACATCTTATAGTCACTTAACTTGTGAAACTTCTACACCCTATTTGTATTTTGATACATCCAGCATCAAGCAGAGGGATGGTAGATATAAGGTAAATCCTCCTATTCGGGACGCCAAAAACAACAGTTTGTTATGAAATTTATTAATGAGCCAGACTATTGACTCTCTATCAAGCTACCACCAGCAATTTCCTCCATTACAAAAATTAGGGGAATTTAATGAAGCATCTAATGGAATTTCTTCAATTGGGTACTTATTACCGGCAGTTTGGACCAAGCTAAAAAGAATTGTCCCAGCAGAATTTGAAAAGGAAGCCCTTGTAAAGCTATCTAATTGGCTTTCTAGCCTCCCATATTTAAATTGGAGCAAAATATCGCTAAAATTTTCATTTTTTTATACTTTCACTCCTTTTTAAACTGGAACAAAATTTGTTTTTCAATATGAAAATTTTATCGATGGAAAATTAGTTTTGGCCTAATTTAATAGAAAAAAATGAAGTAGAATTTATTTAAGACACTTAATTTTTTTTATAAAAATAAATTAAAATTCAAGAAAGATTTTTTAAAATAAAGATTAACACCACTTTAAATTGACAACAGGATTTTTTTGTTTTAATTTAAAGGTGGGGAGTAATAATCCTGCGAATATTTTGGGGATTAATAGAAAAGGGTGCATTAGGCGTGGAAAGCATGCAGATTTAGTTGTTTGGGATCCTTATGAGAAATTTACTGTAGAAAAGAGTGAAAATTCTTTGGATGTTTCACCATTTGTGGGGGAAGAACTTTATGGAGTTGTGCTCAGGACTTATGCGAGGGGAAAGTTAGCTTTCAGTAAGTGTACTAACTCCCTCCTTTAAATTGTAACCAAAAATCCTGTTCAAATTTAAAGGGGTATGATTTGAATTATATTTATTTTTGTTAGGAAATAATTAAAAAAATTAATCGATTTAATATGAAAATGTTTTAAAGAGCCAAAATTAATTTTATAAAAATTAATAATTTCATATTTCATTTTTTGTAATACAATACTTTGAATTTTATCAGTGTATAATTTATTTAAATAACATTCTACTTGCATTTTATCTATTAAATTGGGTTAAAACTAATTTTATAAAAATTATTTTTTTTAATCATTAATGTTTTTTATAAAAATATAAATTGAGCACAATGCTTTTAATTTTTAATAATTTTATGAAGAATTAAATAAAAATTAATCGATTCAGTATGAAAAATGTTTAAATAGCATTCTAAAAAAATTTTTATTTTCAGCTTTAATATTTTTTAAAATAAATTAAGTCAAAAACTAATTTTATAAAACATAGCATTCCTATTGAAAACAAATTTGTTCCAATTTAAGATGATTAAAGTACCCAAAATACAAATTTTGCCGAAGTATTTCCAATTTAAAGGATGGGAGTAAGCTATCATTTCCAATTGGAAAAGTGTTGAAAAAAGATTAAATTTAAAATTTTAATGTAAAAATGAATTTTTACATAATAAGCTAATATTTTTACCTAAAATGAAGTACTAACTGATTACTCAGCTGCATAATATTCATATTTTGGTTGTTTAGCTATCTCTTATATATCCTAGACTGACAAATCTTAGGCTCATTCTTACAATATTTCTATTTCATAATCTTTTTCCTACAAATTATACACTTTTCTTAATCCTACATACAATTCCACCAAATTCAGCCTAAAATTTGCTTATATCATTCAAAATCCCCAGCCTTATTTTCTATTTCCTAATCCCTATTAAGATACTCTGGATATGTATCCTTTCAGTCCGAATTTTGGATCGGGCAATAATAATAAAATCGATGAGTTCCAGGCTCGCACTTATAAGCAAAAATATCATATGTGAAGGGTAAATCCTATTTAGCTCCCGTCAGCCCTATCATGGATTTATCTTGGTCGAAGACGGTACAATTTCCCAAATCCTCCCTTATAATAAAGATACTTATGATACTCTTATGGAAGAGTACCTCGTAGAGGATCTAGGCGATCTTTTCATATCTCCCGGGCTGATAGATTTAAATGCATCTTTTGGCTGTGAAGGGGTCTCAGTCACAACCAAGGCTGGGCTTAGTGGAGGAGTTACATGCATTTCAACGACTGACAAACTTGACGGTGAAATTTACACTGATATAGCACCTTTGGTACAAATTTCAGACGATAAGATCGAAGAAATTCCTAGCCTTATTAATGGTAATGCTTTTGGGTTGAAAGCATTTTTAGTCCCACAAGGCCCAGAAACGCAAATTTTGACAAAAATTGAAGAAGTCTTGAGGGCGGCTGGGGAAAATTTCCCGATCTTTATACACCCGGAGTTTACAAGTCATAAGGAGCTGCTGGAGAATACACCGTTTAGAATGGTGGAACCTGAAGAAAGAGGTAGAATGCCATCAGAATTTAAGATTGAGGAGTTTCCGGAAAGTGAGGAATCAAGCTCTAGCAGTGATGAAAAAAAATCCTAACTCCCCCCCCTCCGTGAGCGAACAAAACCATTAGAAAAATCGCCATTTTTTGACCAAAAACCCACCCTCCGTGAGTGAACAAAAATTTTTTTAATAGAAAAAATTTTAATGGAAAAAAATTTTGATATATAAGTGATAATTAGTATAATGAAATCTAGAGCTAATTCTGTTTAATTTTAAACAAATTGCGTTTTAAAACATAAATTTTGCAAATTAAATTAATATTTGCTTCCCAATTTTTGCAAATTAGGATTTTTTTAAATTTCGAAAAAAAAATATTTTTTATAAAATTTATATATAAATTTTTTTTTAAAAAAAAAAAATTAACCCCCCTCCGTGAGCGAACAAAATTTTTTTGTTCGCTCACGGAGGGGGGGGGGGAGTAAAGTTTATTTAAATGATTAAAAAAGCATTTTTATAGAAGCTTTTTCGATGAAATTTGAGCCAAAGCATAAGTTTGCAAAAGGCAGAGTCATTAAAATAAGTTTTTTAAATTGTGATAAGACAAAAATAAATCCATAAATCTATAATGAATCAATTTTGTCTTATAAGAGAAGAAAATATCAATGCAGTATATCAAATAAAGCAGGTGATTTAGCGCCGCATAAAAATACTCAATAGTTTAATTTAGATTAGATGAAGAAATTCAGCCTTTTGATTATACCCCTGATGAAAGCCCTACAACCAAAGATGCAGGCGGAATCCGCAGAACTTCATTTAAAATTCCTGTCGTAATTTCTCCATTTGAACTTTCTCCAAGAAAAAGCCCTGACAAAAAGCGTGGATCTTTGCCTAACGTTTTAAGTATCATCCAAAATCGACATCCAGCTGAAGAAATAAAAATCACTCCAAATAAAACAAAAGAAAAAAGGCACTCAATTTTGTGTACTTTAGGGACAAAAAATAAGCCAATTCCTCCACAGGATTTGCCGTTTATGAAAAGAGGCAGCATTAGCTCAGAGTCTTATAAATATCATATTATATAAAAATTACCTATAAACTTCCAATTTGTCTATTATTTTATTTTTTTTATAGAAAATGACTAATAAATCCCTAGTAAAAATCTTGAAAATCCTAAAATTTTATATCAAAACCTTTCCAGAAAACTGGGAAACGGACGCTGTCGAAAAAGTCTTAAGCTTAAATATCAAGGCAAAAATTCATTTTTCTAACGTCTGCTCTAACAAAGCTATAGAGCTTATTAGAACCTACAGAGACTCCTACCCACACCTTACTTGTGAGTCTTCTTTACCTTATTTATATTTTTCAAATGAAGACGTAAAGCCAGGAGATACACGCTACAAGCTAAACCCACCAATAAGGGACAGCAAGAATTTCAAGCTTTTATGGGACTCTTTAAAACTCCGCTATATAGACTCTATATCAAGCTACCATCAGCCTGTGTCTCCTCCTCAAAAATTTTTAGGGGATTTTAGAAGAGCTGTTAATGGAGTATCAAGTATGGGCTATTTGCTACAAGGTATATGGACAAAACTCAAAGCTGATGTAAGGGAGGATAATGAAAAATCATTTTTAGTTTTAATGTCTCAGTGGGTTTCTCAGGTTCCTGCAGAAATTTTAGGATTGAAAAATAAAGGATCAATTTCTGCTGGAAATGGAGTACTTTTTTGATAGGAACATTTTGATAGATAAATTTTTCCCAAGAAATTTGATTGAATTTTTATCCTCTTAAGATATTTGATCGAAATTTAATCATTTTTTCAGAAAAATTTCGAAAAAAAATACCCGAGAAATCACACTGCCTAAACATTCGGATAAATGGCATGCAGCCGCTGGAAAAGATGCTGATTTTGTTGTATGGGACCCTTATCAGAAATTTGAAGTAAAATCAACTGAAAATATCCCTTCAGAGATGTCACCACTGATAGGAGAAGAACTTTATGGAAAAGTGATGAGGACTTATATTAGAGGTAAATTAGCATTTAATGAAAATACAAGGATGGTTTGTGCAGTTGGAGAGGTGCTGAGGAGAAACGATAAATAGTTAATTTGGATATAATAAATGCTTATAGCTTATAAGTATAAAGTAGATAATGAATATGGACTTAGAAATCTATTGTATTTGCAAAATCAGAAATTAATTTTTGTATAATTGGCGATTAAAATGGAAATTGGCAATAAGTGCGAACTTTATGGACCTTGTGACCTTCCAGTAAAAATTAAGTGCTTTTGCACTAAACCAGAGCTATATATCTGTATTAAGCATATCGGATATCATATGATGGAGCCAGGATTGCACAACTTTGAAAATCTTTATACTAGGATAAATATGCAAACTAAAATCGAAGTTTTCAAATACCTTTCTAAGCAAATAAAAGAGCTAGAAGATCTAAAATCTGATATAATTAGAAAAGTTTTTTTATCTATCAAAGAAATACATCTGCAATTAGAAAAATTTGTAAAAGATGTAGATTGCCATATAAAATGATCAAGAGATGTAATTCGAAAAGTTAGCTACTTAGAAGAATTGCCAAAAGCAGATTATACATTCGAGTATTTTAAGCTGACTCTTGATAAAGCATTAGAGTATCTGCAAGCAAATAATCCATTGAAAATTCTTTTGCCTGGGAAAATATTAAATCAGATATATAATCCTGTGTTTGAATATAACTGTGAGAAAATTGATTTAGTAAAAGAAGTGTATAAAGCTAAAGAGAGAGAGAGAAATCTTTATTACTTAAAGGCCTTTACTTTCCGAATCTTCCATTAAAATAAAAGTAAAGCTAGAGAAGAAGCAAAAAAAGAAAAGGAAGAATTACAAAAAATGAAAGATATAGCAAAAAAAGCAACGAAAAAAGTAAATGAGTTATATGAAGATTACGAATATTTGCAAAAAAATCTTAGGAATTCAGAAGAGCTTGTTAAAGATGTATATTTAATCATGAAAAAATGTCCCAAATGCTATCGAAGACTTAAAAAAGATGATTATATAACTCAATTAGAAAGCTATTTAGAATCATCAGAATGCTAATTAATATATTGCTTTTAGTCAAGAAATGAGTTTAGATTAAATATGTTCAATGGTAATTTATCATTGATTTAGAGATATAAGACAATATGCAATTTTAATTAATTATAAATTTATTGTTAAACAATTCTGAGAGAATTTCTGCCAAATTCGCTTATTCGTAAACCCTCTTTCCTCAAAAATTTTTGCATACAATTTTAATGCAATAAATTCCTTATTGTTCAACTATCATTCTGAATCTCTGTACCCCTCTTTCATAAACGCATTACTGATGCAAAAATTCTAGCTAAATTATAAGCCATTAAAAATCCTTATCAGCATGCACTTTCCATAATTATTGCAAATGCTGTCAAACTTTTCCCGTCGATTCTTAAGAGTCGGACAAAAAGTCCCCAAATCCAAAGCTGTTCTTGTCGTCAAGAAAGACGGAAAATTCCAAATTGATAAAGACGCAGATGTAGCAAGATTGCTTGAAAGGAAAAAAGCTGTGATTATTGGATATCCAGGAGCTTTTACACCCGTGTGTACCTCAAGACATCTCCCAGGGTTCATAAACATGCTGACTGAATTCCATAATAAAGGCTGCGACGTTTATGCATTGTCAATTAATGATCCATTGGGATATAAAATTAATTGATAAAATAAGCATGTACTGCAAAAAATTAATTATAATAATTAACTAGATCCATGGGTCGTCAAAGCTTATGCTGAAAGCCTTGGAGGAGAGCTGAAATATATTGCAGATGCTGTAGGAGATTTAACACAGTTAATAGAAGGAGGGTTTGATTTTGGAGACGAACTTGGATATAGGACCAGAAGATTTTCTGTAGTCATTGAAAACGGGGAAATTAAAGAAATTAATGATGAGCAAGGAGGAGAGTTAACAGATAAAGCTACAGCAGAAAATACCATAAAACAAGTTTAAACTAAGATGATTTCGATTTTAAAGAATTTCATTTAATTATAAGTTTCTGGATTTTTCTTTGTTATAAGCAAAAATTAATGATTTTTTTGAAATTTTAAAGATGCATTTATCAATCTAGTAAAAAATCAAAAAATATTTAACTTTTAATATGCCGCATTGAATTGTCTTTAAATAATTTTATAGAATAAAAATATAAATTCATTGGACTTGTCAAAATACTTAAAAATTTTTTCATCACTTTTGGCAAAGAACTCCAATTTTATATACTTAAAAACTTCAGGGAAATATGGTGAAACTCAATCCCTGGTACAATTATATGGGGATTCCTTCACTTTTGAGCAAATCCCGACGCGCAGCTGCATATTCATTTCAGAGAAAAAGGTTATGATCAATTCTATCTACGCATATCTATATAACCTAGAGTGCTTAACGTCCGATGCAGGAGCCACCTTAAAAATCGCTCTCTTTTCCCCCCTGCCACCAAATTGGGACCAACTTTGTATAGATTAGATGAGAACGCCAGTCTTGAAGTCTGGCTTAAAGCTTAGTTAGTTCCTTCATGCAACCTAAAGGTCCCAACTTTTGCCTCCTAGGGTTCATGGTACTTTTTTGGTTATAGACTCAATAAGTGAAGAGTCCAGCGAATCACCCATGGGCTTTGCTTCACTACCTAAGCCGGCTAAATTCACTAGGTGAATCGAGCCTTAATTAATTATCCAAGAGAAGAATTTTTGTTTGGAGACCAGAAAATTCGAACAATGTATATTTTTATTATATATCTATACATATCATTTTAATTCTTTTTTATACTAATTTTAGGATTTTAATTTCTGTTCTATGCATTTTAATTTTAAACTTATTATCTCGTATTTTCCGAATAATTGCTTTAGAAAGTTGCTTCGTATTTTTGTTTACAATTTTTAAAACTTAATTGGAAATTAAGTCTAAATTTAAAAATTTTTAATAATCATTTTTAAAATTTTTCAAACAAAGAAGATATATAAATTTTAAATATTATTTATTCTGCTTCTTTTTAGCGTTATTGCCTATTTTAGAAAATACTTTATAAATAGCAAAGTTAATTAGGCCAAATTATACATTTTTTTAAGTTTATATTACTGATTTTATGACCCCTGAATAATAGCAGCTCCTGACCCTACAGGAATATCTTCATAATAATGATACAACACTGATGAAGGCACTGTAGTTTTAGTAATCGATGAAGATTCCCACTGAAAATGAATATAAGAGTCTCCCTCCACATTATAATACTTTATTTGAATTTCCACCACTTGGTTTGCTTTTAAGCTGGCCGAATATGAACTTTGTTGGTTTGTATCAATAACAACTTCATTATTAAATGAAAGCGATGCCCAATCACTAGCATTTAAATAAAAAGTATAATAAGTGTCGCTGCTAGAAACCAAAGCTCCATCCCATATCACACTTATATCGCTACTTGACCCTCAATCAAAATCAATATTTCCATCAATAACATTTTCTGAAATAGGTTCTTCAAAATCAGAATTATACTTTATAAGGAGAATTTTTAGATTAAATCTTCTAATTCTTACCTATTTTTAATAAAAAAACTATTGTTTATTCCCTGTCTCTATATTTATAGTATTTTTGATAGTATACTATAATAAAGCCCATTTAACCCTTGCACAAGTGTATATGCATATAATTGCAAATTTGTCTTAAAATCACATAAATAGCTTGCACTCGTTGAGGATGATCCACAGAAGCTATTTAAATCTAATTTAGACGTATCATAAACAGCACTAGCGCTATATTGCCCTGATGATGAATCTATAGCAGTAACAGTAAATTCCAAAGGGCTAAAATTAGGGTTGTCTTCTTTATCTAAATATACATCTCATATTGGTGAACTTGTATAAGCATTATTATAAAGGTCTTTTAAATATAAATCTACAAGAATTGTGCTGCCAGAAGTAGCTGTTGATGGAGCTGCTAATTGAGATAGGCTCATTGATAGTAAAGCTGGAGTAATAGTTATTTGAAAGGTTTTTCCTGTATCTTCACTGTCAATTGTTGCAGAAACTGTATAGGTTCCTGTAAGATAAATAATATAATTTGCTATATAATATTCATTATGATAATTCTTTATAGATATTTGGCTTGAAGAGACAGTGCTAGTTCCAGACATAGAAATAGAGACCACATCATTAGAAGAAACTTCGAAGTTTCCATATGTGTCATAGGTAAGTATATAAATTGAGCCTTGACCTCCTGCAGTGCAGCTGCTTAAACCAATAATTTGAGTTTTAGTAGGATCAGTGATCCCAGCTATTACTTTTATTGAAATACTCGTCACCAAACTTTCAACAGAATTTACCTGCAAATAAATAGTCATATTATAAATTCCTGCAATTTGAGGTAAAAATGATAAGGTATAATATCCTGCTGACTGATTTTGTATAGTAACAGTCACTGTTGTTGAGTCCATAACTAAACTTGCACTGAAAACATCAGTTGTGGTTACTTGAATATTCCCATATTTATCTCTTGCTTCAATTGTAATCATTTTTTCTATCCCTGCTTCAGCTTGATTTATAGGCAAACTATCCCCAGAATACTGATAAATTTTGCAGCTGGATGGATCTGTGCTTGCTGGTACCAACTGGAACCCATAATTCGTCAATAATTTATAGTCAGCTTGGTAGCATTGAGAATTAATCCCATCAAAATTATAATACAAATTTTCAGCCAAAAAATCCAAAGTATCTTGCTTAGCTTGATATCATAGCAATACCAAGCTATATGCCCCACTTTGTGTTAAAAATGATAAATCAAGGTAAAATTTATTATCATTTATAGTCGCAATTTTGTCAATATTTTGTACCCCAGTGATTCTTCCATAGAAATACTGAGAAGATGTGTCGATTGAGCTTATATTTGATATAAGATTTCCATATAAATCATAAGAAGAGATATAAAGGGTAAAGCTTGCCACTGTAGACGTTGAGGAATAAGAGCTGATTGTGGCTGCTGATGCGCAGACTTGGCTGTGAATTGTGGTAAATTTTACGCTGGAGCCAGAAATTTCAGCACTATTTAAATAGACTTTTACTGTATAAGTATCAACGGTTTTTGGGGTAAAAATCAATGAATATATCCCATTACCGTTATTTACTAAGGTAGGACTGATGGCAGCTCCAGTTAAGCCTGTAATTGTAGCTGTAAAGGTATCTGAGGAGTCTATTCTTATATTAGAATATTGGTCTTTTGAAGTAATAGTACCTGTTGTTTGGTTTCCAGCAAAAATCTGGGTAGGAATCCCTGATAGTGTTGTGGTGGATGAGCTTGAGGTTAATGCAGGCAAAATGGTAAAAGTGCTTGAAGAAGGTAACGAGGAACCGTTTATTGTTCCAGATATTGAGTAGGTTAGGCTATTAAAATCAGGCATTAGCCATATTTGTGAATTAGTCACCAAAGATCTCCCGTTCAGGAGGTTCAACTACTTTTCGACTCCAACCCAGAGGGTCTTTCCCTGAAGGTGGATGCCACTCTCGGTACCTTCTGTCTCCACCTTGCGGTTGCAGTCTTGATGCTTATGGACTTCTATAGCCCACCTACACAGTTGGAGCAGCTTGATTCCAAGGATCAACTCCTTGAAGTCTATCGGTTGTAAATGTGCCTTCCTTCGAAAGCTACAGGAAAAAGACTGCTCAATGTGGCCTGGGCCGAAACCCTCTGCTCATCTGTTGAGGAATGCCAATGGGTCCTCGGATCCACAGGGCATTGTTGGGCACCTCCATTCCAACCACATTAAAGCAGCAAAAATCTTCTCGCCAAGATATTGAGTAAACCCCACTTTTTGTTATTGTAAAACTAATTGTAAAAACACCTGGAGAATAGTTTATAAAAGTGGCAGTGACTGTAGAAGCTCCTATAGCTTGAATTTGATATGAAGAAACTGAAGTAATTAAAAGATTGTTATAATACACATCCCGAGCCTGAAAATAAACTGAAAACACCGTTCCTGCATATCCTTGATATGAAGAAAATTGAATCGCAGAGTGTTCTACATTAAGGCTATTAGGCTGTACTTTCAAATTCATAGGAAAATCTTTCATTAGCCCTTGGTTTATATAAATATTTGCCTGATAATTCCCAGCCCTGAATATCTGGAAAGTGATATCAGGGTAATTATAAGTCCCAGAATAATTTTCCCCATACACTTCAGTCCAGTTACTCGGCTGAGCAACACCAATAGAGCTTGTATAGTCATTATTATCAACAAAAGTGATTTGCAGGTCCAAAATATCATTGCTGCTTGTAATTGTATTTAAATAAGCATCTATTGCAACAAAAGTGGATATATATTTATCTCCAGCTGTAAGGGTGGATGAAATTATTGAAGAAAAATCCGTATAGGAGTTATCGATACTTATGGGGCCAGGATTTACAGTAACAGATATTGGAGAATTTTTTATTTGGCTGCCATAAAGTGTGATTTTTAAGGTATAGGTTCCAGATGTAGTTAAAATATAGTTAGCGATAGATTTTCCATTTCCACTATACACACTTTGGAAATTCAATGTAGCTGGCCCTGAAAAGGAAACTGAGTAGACATCATTTGTATTATCAAGCAAATTCCCATCTGCGTCAGCTGAATAAATCGATATCTTATTAGTAATTCCCGCATTTACTGTATTTTCAGCCTCAAAATAACAATACTGTGGAGAGCTAGTCCCTATCCCTATTTCTTGTAGCCAAGGTGACCCATTCACCCTTATTGGATAATAAAAAGCATTTGACGGGATCGTTTCTGAAGCTTGTGACTGGCTGCTTCACCCCAGCCAAATATTCGCTGACCCTTCAATTTGTTTAAATTCCAATTGTATATAAGTATAAACTCCTTTTGTAAATGTATAGTTTACTGATGAATTTTTTACGGCATTGCTCCAGTTGTCAATCATAAGGTCGTTATCTATATAAAGTCTGGCAAAATCGTCAGAAAATAAGTAAATAGTGTATTCTTCGCTATAATCAGCCAATAAAAAGCCAAACCATTTAATAGTGATAAAGTTGGAGGCGTCTGGAGTGATAAGGGTACCTAATGGTCAGGACATATTGAGATAAGAGTCCTCTCTTTCCATTGTAGGGCTTTGGTAAAACCAGATATTTTGCCAATAGTCACCTAAAATTCCATATTCAGTTAGCTGTAAGACTGACATTGTGTAGGGGCCGGGCAAGATAGGGGTATAGCTAGCTGTCATTGTCCCGTCTGTATTGTCGCTAAATACTACATAAGCTGGTTTTTCTAATAAATCACTAACATAATTTGGATCAGTTGAGTTCACTCTTATGCATTCATATCCATAATTAACACTACAAACATCTCTGACTTCTAATAAAAGGATTGCAGGATTTATGACTACATTTCCACCAGAATCTAATAGATTTACAGTGACAGATAGAGAAGATTGGGAAACTGGGTTTTTTGAGACACTTATTGTGGAAACAGCTGGATCAGCTACTTGAGTTAGAAAAACAGTGATATATAAGCTCCCTGGAGAAGATCCTACTGAATTATAGCTTTGGACTATATAAATATATGCTCTACCTTATAAAACGCTTTTTATATGCAATTTTTCTAATATAAAATATTTTCCTTTATAAATAGAAGTATTTAAATACCTTAAATATAAGAAATTCCATATTCCACAGTATCTGTATAGTTCGTAATTGTTGGGTCTGTGATTGATGCAATTAATTCTCATACATCACTTTTTCTGTTAATAGAATAGCCTATAATAGCTGATCCACCGTTATCTATTCCTGCTGCATCTCATAGCAATGTGACCTGCTTAAGCTTATGTGTATAAGTTAGAGAATTCACGTCAGCAGGTGTTCCTGCACAAAGTAAAGTAACACTGGTGGAGTTTTCTGAATTTTGGCCTCCTTCTATTGCGTAGTAATAAGCTTTTAAGCTACTCCCATCATTTGTGCTGCATTTTATTTGGCCTTGAGTCTTACTCCCCTTCCAAGTTGAAGCAAAACATAGGTAAAATTTTTGCAGTTTTTGGATACTTAACCCCCCTTAAATTGGAACAATTTTTCAATGGGAAAAATTTTATAGGTAAAAAAAATACTAATTTTTATATAAGCCGAATATTATTTAAACAGTTTTCACATGAATTGATTTAATTCATAATAAAATAAAATTAAAATCCTAAAAGATTGTTTTTAAAAAAAATATTGACCCCCTTTAAATTGGGATAGGATTTTTTGCTTCAATTTAAAAGGATAGGGAATTAGATGTCATGGGCAAAAAATAAGTTTTACCTTGATAAAATAATATTATATAAGTTTTACCATTATATCATAAAGAAATTAAGAAAAATTATGTTTTAAATAATTATTTTTGAAATAAATTTAGCATAAAATGGTATAATCATACATAACTTGATACTTTGGAGATGATCCTGAATAAGCAGATCAGGTAAACTCAATGATATTATTTGTGCGATCATATGAGCTTCAAGTTATAGGTGAAGGTGATGCTGTTTAAAAATTACAAGCTTTTGAAATACCCAAAATAGTGAAAAAGAAAAGCAAAATCATATTTAATTAATATTTTTAGAAGTAGCTTATCCTTGAGGTAATAGAGTGTGATTTTTTATAAGAAACTTCATTAATTGCAAGAGAAAATTCGGGCATTAAATTAATTAATTAATTAAATAATTATTGTGAAACAGAATAATGCTTTATATTACTTATAAGAAAATTGTTAAATTCAACACTAAGTTGGAAGGTTTTTGATATAGGCTATAAAGTCTAATTAAAATATATTTTATTTCACAGTATATAAAATCAGTACTACTTCCTTACTTTTTAGCTTTAAAATAATTGAAAACACTATAAATTTTTTATTTTTTACTTATAATTTATTCTATGCTCTTAAAAATACCAATTATTTAGCATAATAGATACGCAGAATCTGTAGCCTATTTTCTAATAAAATTTCTTATTCCCATCATATTTTCTTACTCTTTATAAAATCTGCATAATATTTCCAATAATTTTCCTTAATAGTTATTAACCTGATTTTTCTATTATAATTTCTAATTCAAATGGGTTCATCTTGTTCATGCGTTGACTCCCACGTATCTACGAATCAAGAAATAGGAATAATGAATGAAGAGTCAATACTAATAAAAAAGAATACAGAAAAAGTTTCAACTGAAAATCAATTTACAACTTACACCAGTTTAACCATAACATTGCCAGAGTTACCTTCGCCAGTAAGGACTCAAGCTGTTTTTCGTGGCTATATGGCTAGAAATTATGTATTCTTTTTAAATGCACTATTATTAATTTATTTATTAATAAAAATGTATTAAAAACAGTTAAAAAGGCATAAAAAATCTTTTTGAAGACCAAAAATCAAATATCACGAAAAGTCTTAAACGGGAAGCCCTTCAAGAGCTCCAAGGCGAAATTCCTGACTATTCAAATTCTGCCACAATGGCTGCTTTGCACAAATTTGGGCCTTTTAAATATGACACTCCTGCTCAGGAATACACTCGAACTCCTAAAAAAGGCCCAGTTTTGCTTGAAAATGGTGAAATTTATATTGGAGAATGGAATGAAAAGAACGAAAGGCACGGAAAAGGCCAGCAGCTGCTAAAAGATGGATCAGTTTACGAAGGATACTGGAAAAATGACATGGCAAATGGCCAAGGAAGGCTTATTCATGGTGACGGAGACGTATATGAAGGCTCCTGGCTTAATGACAAAGCCCACGGCTACGGAACTTACACCCATATTGATGGCGCCCAATATGCAGGAACCTGGGAAGAAGACAAACAGCACGGCAGTGGCTTAGAAACCTGGCCAGACGGCGCAAAATATGAGGGGAGCTACTCACATGGAAAAAAGCACGGAAAAGGCAAATTTTATTGCGCAGACGGAAATTTATATGAAGGGGATTTCCAGGACAATAATTTGCATGGGTTTGGGACTTTTACCTGGAATGACGGAAGAAGATATGTAGGGGAGTGAAAAAGCAATCGGATGAATGGAAAAGGAACATTCACGTGGCCTGATGGAAGGTGCTATGAGGGGGATTATGTTGATGATAAAAAACAAGGGTATGGAATTTTTAAATGGCCTGATGGAAGAGTGTATGAAGGAGCTTGGTTTAATGGGAAACAGCATGGAAGAGGGACTTATCAAGCTTCGGTGAGGGGTGAAAAGAAAGAAGGGGAGTGGAAAGAAGGGAAAAGGCTAAAAGATCCTTCTGAAAGTTAAATGTTAATCCATCAATTTTAGACCCTTGTTTTTGAATAGCAATATAAAAACTAAAAATCTCTTATTAAATGGATTGCTATGAAGAAATAAATTAACTTTAAATGCTGGATGTGCTTTCTTAAGGATTGAAGAGTTATACGGATTAATATAAATAATAAAAAAAATATAATTTCATATGATATTCTAGTCAATTTTGAAACTCTAGCTCTATCTATTCCATATCGTTTCGATTCAATTAAAGCTGGGCATAAAGATACTTCTTCTTGGACTATGGAAGTGGTTAATGCTAACTCCCCCACTCCGTGAGCAAAAAAAAAACCATTTGCAAAATCATTATTTTTGGATAAGATCCCACCCTCCGTGAGCGAGCAAAAAGCGATTTTAATATAAAATTTTTTTGATATATAAATGATTTATTATAATGAAATCTCTGGCTAATTCTGTTTAATTTTAAACAGCTTGCATTTGTAAAAATAAATTTTCAAATTAAAATAACTTTAGCTTTCCAATTTTCTCAAATTGAGATGTTTTAAATTCGAAAATTTATATAGAATTTTTTTGAAAAAATAAAAAAATAAATCTCATCTGTGAGCGAAAAAATTTTTTTTGTTCATTACGGGAGTAGGCAATAAAAAATTAAGACAATGATGGGCTGTCCCTGACCGATCTTCCTATTGAAACAAGTTTAAGCCAAACTAACTAATTTTCATTCTTTCATCATAATACCATATATATTTATATAACAAATTCTATAAAAATAATCTATAAATACAAAAAGCTTTAATGAATAGGCAAATTCTTTATCTGATGCACTCAGATAGAAAACCAATTTTTTTCGAAATAAATTAAAGTATATTTTCAATATATTCAAAAGATTTCTGCTATCACTATTAAGATAATATTTTTTTCTCAAACTAGTTATATTTTAAACTTCCATCATAATTTAGTAAAAATTGAAAAATATGGACTCTTCCCTCCAAGATATCCTAAAACTTGCTTTCAACGAGCTTATAAAGGATGACCTAAATAAGCTAGCTAAGCAGCAGATAGAGCTTTTAAATCTCCAAAACGAAGAAATAGCAAGCCATCTACAATCTGAGCTAAGAAAAGTAGGAAATAATAAAAGAAAGCAAACCCTAGTAGACTGTCTTACAAGCACAGTCCTTTGGAGATTGTATCACTCTTTTAACTAATTTTGTAGCATTTATCAATATTATTAAAATCACATTAAGCTTTCTGCCTTTTTAATAGTTCCTGGAGTCTTGCTAATCTTGCATCAATGTCACTTACATCAGCTCCGTTGGCTTTAGGTGATTTTTTTCTTATAGGTTTTTCCTCCTCTGTTGTTCTGTTGTTTCTTCGAGCTCCAGCATTTGGGGAATATTGCAAAGCAGGTGATGATTTTGGGCATAATAAAAATTAAAATAATTTTTTAATTTATAAAATTTCAATAAAAATAATTGATTAACGATTTTCTATGCCTTTATTCATAAATAGTTTATTAAAATTAGCTAATTTAAGTGAAAATAGATAGATTATTACTAGCTTTTTGTGGATTATTCATAGTTATATGCCTATTTCCTGGAGAATCTCTTCGGCCAGGAGGAGTTCTTTGCTGATTTCCTGGAGAATTTATCCTTCTATTAATAGAAGATGCAGGAGACGCCCCTGGAGATCGATTTCTATAACCTGGAGAATTTCTTTGTGCAACTCTATCAGATCCAGGCCTTGAGTTACTCCTGGAAGATCCTTGTGAACTTTTTGGAGAAAATCGTCCAGCACTCCCAGGGCTTCTGGATGCTGGAGATCTATTTAATCTGTTATTGACTCCATATGTTTTAGAAGGAACTGGACTAGATCCTCTAGAACTTCTGGCTCTCAGCACACTTTGCAGCTCATTTTCTAATTCTTTTATCCTCATTTTCTGTTTTCTATCACTTTCTTTTAATTTATCTAGCTCTTCCTGGCTTTGAAAAAGTGTTTCTTTAGCTTGATTTTCTTGAATTTTGGCTTTTTCTAGTTCTTCTTCTAAATTTTCTACCTTTATTTTATACTCTTTTATAATAAATTCAATTCTAAACATCCATTTTAACCCCATTTTCTATAAAATTTACATTTTTTCCTGATTTAAAATCTATAAAATTCTACCTCTCCCCTCATAATATTTCTGATCTCTAATTTTTCTTCATTTTCTTCTTCCAGCTGAGAAATAATAATTTCCATTTCACTCTTAATCCTATCAAACTCTACTTGCAAATCCTCATTCTTTTTCCTCAAAATCTTCGCTTCCTTGCTCCCTTCCAGCTTCAAAATATCATTTTCCTCTTCAAGCGCTTTTGATTCCTTTATCAGCGTATCTATTTCTACAGCCCCTTTTCTAGGCACTGCTGCCAGAGCTTGATTATGCTCGATTTTTTTTATTTTTTGCTTGATTTCTTGGTTTTCCTCAATTATTTTTAATAAATCTCCTTCAGGAAGATTTTGCTTATATTGGTCAATCTCATTACGAAGCCGAATAATAGTCCTTTGTAGAGCGTCTATATCAGGGGCTTCCTGATACAATAGAGGTAAAGGATAATGAACTTTGTCGAATTCTACCAAATAAGTTAGGATCATATATCGCTTCATGCTTAATTTTGGGTCAATTGGCGCTTGGTTTCCTTGAGGTCTTCTGCTATTTTTTAATATATCGAGTTCTTGGACTGTGTATATGTCAAGCATCACTGATTCACTGTTTTTCTCAAGGGCTGATATAAGCATTTTTACAAATGTAGGGAATTTCTTAAAATTATTGGTTTTCTGTGTCATTGTTTCGATATATTGAGCTGTAAAGTCTCCAAGCCATTTCTTAGCTGTCTCTTTTTCTTCAAATTCTACTTTTAAAGTGTCGTCACCAATATATAGACAAAATAAAAAATTATTCCCTCTCGCGCTAAACTCTCCACGTTTTTCCATTTAAATTATGAAAAATATTCTTGATTTTATTAATACTTTATAGCAAAATTAATTAAAATTTTTTAATTTTATAGGAAAATGCTTTTATTTGGAAAAAAAAATATAATAAAAAATGTTTAATTTTGAATATTTTAATTAATGATAAAGCAAAAGCTGTTTTATTATCTAATATTTATGTTTTTTAATGGATTCATTAGCCATTATTGTTAATAAACAGTCTATTATTAGTTTTCTAACGGAGGCGCTGACGGTGCAAAACGTACAGCCGGCATAAAAACCGGTTTCCACTTCTTTGGCTTTGGGTGTTGTGTTTTTGTCACCTTTGGCTTTATTTCAGTCCAAATTTCTACTTCAGATTCAGGCCCTGCACAGCCTGAATCCATAACTGTTCTTACATGAGCAGAATATGAACAATTTATTAACTGTCCTTTAGTCGTGCATTTTTCTTTAATTTCACTTTCTAAATTAGCAAGCGCAAAAGGGATCCTAAGTCCTTCGTTTATTAGCAAAGAATTTCTAGTCCTTGCTCTCACACTTTTCTGTGATATTCTTTCCTTCAAAATCTTTTGTGAGCCGTCATTGCTTCTTAAAAGCATAGATCTAAATAATGTGACTTCAATAATCCCTACATTTATTGAGCATTTTGCATGGTCAATATCTACAATTATACCATGAGATATCTTATAGCATTTCCTTAATCTCCAAATGACTCAAAATTGAGCCAACCATTAGCTCTATATTGGCAAGCCAAAATGCACTGTCCCTTACCTATAGCCATTTGAATGCTATAAGCCTTCCTGAGGTATACACCTAAAATATCATCAGTCGCATATGAAGTTTTATCAAATCTTGCCCTGAGGAATAAAACTCCATAATTAAGCATGCAGCAGCCAGTTATAGCTGTAGATACACAGCCAACACTTAGATCGCTATTATGCTCTATATGAGGCTGTATTAGTTTAATTTCTTGTGTAAGCGAATATGGCTCAGGGGTAGAAATTAGTGTCGCAGTCAAATAGTATTTAATTGAAGCCTTTATCATAGAAGCTTCATAGCTAAAACTCCCAGGCATAGAATTTGGCAGAATTATAGTAAAAGGGAACACATATTGGCCTTTTTTCCCTAAACACTGTGACCATATGTAAACAGTTAAGGCTTTTTCTATTATCACATTTTTGGCTTGGTGTGTTGCAATAGCAGCTTTTTCTTCCCCAGAGAAATCTTCTCAATGAACAGACTCGACCCCAAAAAGCTGCAAAATCAAGCTTTCGACCCTCATGGCTGATGGTATTTTTAAACAAATATCGCCTTGTATATAATCGCCTGGGCTATAAGCTGAATCGTCAAGTTTTATATAAAGCGAAAGATTTTTGTTTCCCATAATAAATTTTCATATAAAAAATGCTGGGAAGATTTATTGTAAAATACAATAAATTTTTGATAAAAAATAATTAAGATTAAGATTAAGATTACGCTGGGTATTTAAGGTCCCTACTACGTCCGAGGTCGCATGCCACGGTTTCCCGTGTGGTGGCAGAGCGTTCACCAAGCCCGGGCCGAAACCCCCGGTTTCTCGGTAGAGGTATTGTCAAGGGCCGTCTCATACCGGCTTTGCTGACCGCCTCCATTTCCAACTTGGATCGTCGCCTAAGTTTACGCCAACTCCGCTTCGTCGTCCGCCAGATCTGCCAATTGAAGGGCACCTTTTCAACTGGAGAGACCCCCGTTTAGTTGTCTAACTCGCCTTCCCCTCTCTTTCCGGTCATCCCGAGAAAGAACTCAACAGCTTTCGCCATTCGGGGCGAGCCACTAAAGCAGCTTAGGCAGGTAAGTCGCCCTGCCTCATTTCGGGCACTCACTGGGCTGAGCGCTGCTGGGCAAAAAGAAGTCACGAGTAACTGCCCATGGGTCTGGTCGCAAAAACAGCGGCTCTCGCGCTTAGGCCTCTCGCTTCGAGGTCCCAGACGTTGTTGGACTAACTCCTGGCTCCAAAAACCATGCCCGGATATACATGGGTAACCACCACTGAGAGGGTGGGTCGGTCGCCATACGCCATTTTATGTATATGATAAAAAATAATAAATAAAAAAAAATAATATTAATTTGAGAAAGTATACAAGAGGCTTACTTAAACGGTCTTTTGCAGAACGTACCTATGGCGGCCTAAAAGACCAAGACCGTATCTTCACAAATGTCTACAAAGACAGTGACCCTATGCTAAAAGGTGCCTTAAAACGAGGCGACTGGCACCAAACTAAAGATATCTTATCAATGGGCCCAGATTGGCTAATCCAAGAAATCAAAGACAGCGGGCTTCGTGGGCGTGGTGGAGCTGGTTTTCCTTCAGGCTTAAAATACTCATTTATGCCTAAGAAATCTGACGGCCGCACTTCTTATTTAGTCGTCAACGCTGATGAGTCAGAGCCTGGGACTTGTAAAGATCGCGAAATCCTTCGTCACGATCCTCACAAGCTGCTAGAAGGAATGCTTATTGTAGGGACCTCTATGAGGGCTAGAGCTGGCTATATCTATATGAGAGGCGAGTTTTGGCATGAAGCCAATATCATCCAAGCTGCAATTGATGAAGCCTACGCTGGCGGATTTTTAGGGAAAAATGCATGTGGCTCTGGTATTGATTATGATATTTATCTACACAGAGGAGCTGGGGCTTATATTTGTGGAGAAGAAAGCGCATTATTAGAAAGCTTAGAAGGAAAACAAGGAAAACCCAGGATGAAGCCACCATTCCCAGCAAATATGGGGCTCTATGGGTGTCCGACAACTGTGACGAACGTAGAAACGGTATCAGTGGTACCAACAATTATGAGGAGAGGGGCGAGTTGGTTTAGCTCATTTGGGAGAAAAGGAAATGCAGGGACTAAACTGTTTTGTATTTCAGGGCATGTAAATAATCCTTGTACGGTAGAAGAAGAAATGTCGATTCCACTGAAAGAGCTTATTGATAGACATTGTGGAGGGGTAAAAGGAGGATGGGATAATTTGTTAGGGATTATTCCAGGTGGATCGTCAGTGCCAATTTTGCCTAAAAAAATATGTGAAACTGTGCTAATGGATTATGATGCTTTAAGAGAGGTTCAGTCTGGGCTTGGGACTGCTGCTGTTATTGTAATTGATAAATCTGTAGACATTATTGACTGCATTTTACGCTTATCTAAGTTTTATAAGCACGAGTCCTGTGGGCAATGTACACCTTGCAGAGAAGGAACGACCTGGCTAGTTGATATTTTAACAAGAATTAAGTATGGAAATGCCGATTTTGCAGAAATTGATATGCTGGAAGAACTTACAAGGCAAATTGAAGGACATACAATTTGTGCATTAGGAGACGCAGCAGCTTGGCCTGTCCAAGGATTGATTAAGAATTTCCGAGCTGAAATGGAAGACAGGATCAATAAATATTGGGCTGAACATCCTGCAGCTCGCAAAAACCCAGTGGAGTCTGTTAGAAATATCGAAACTTTAGAAGGATACCAAAGAGTGCTTGCGCAAAAGCATTAATAGTAATAAAACCTTGATTTAATTAGGGAGAAAATTTTTGAATAGAAAAATATGAATTTAAAGCTATCGACTATTTGGATTAGCTAACTTCACCCCTCCGTGAGTGAACAAAACCATTAGAAAAATCGCTATTTTTTTTGCCCAAAAATGAACAAAAAATCTTTTTAATAAAAAAATTTTTATAAAAAAAAAAATTTGATATATAAATGATAATTATTATAATGAAATCTAGAACTAATTCTGTTTAATTTTAAACAAAATGCTTTTTAAAACATAAATTTTATAAATTAAATTAATATTCGCTTTCCAATTTTTGCTAATTAGGATTTTTTTAAATTTATTCTTTATAAAATTTATATATAAATCTTTTAAAAAAAAAAATAACCCCCATCCATGAGTGAACAGTGTTCACTCACGGAGAGGGGGAGAGTAAAGAAATTTTACAGCAGACGAGAGAAGTTATTTAAAATATTAGCCTTTAAGTTCTCTTACAAAATTTTCTTCATTTCATGACTGAGTTGGTCTCTTTTTATATTTGCTTTCACTATCTAACATTTTAGAAATGCTAAATGTTTGTTACCTTTTGCATACAACCTCGCTTTCGTCTAAAATATGTCTCAAACTGCTATTCCCAGTGCTTGAATTTTTATCAAAATTTATTCTTCTAACTTTTTTAAAATTTTATTTTTTTTTAAAAACAATAAAATTTAATAAATAAAATTGAAAAAAAATAAAAATAAATAATGTAAGCACTCTTTGGCTGAAAGGCTCATTTACATTTTTTGAATTTTTTGATGTTTGTCCTGTCATCAATTCTTTTAAATTTATTTTTACTCTGACAGGAGCTCTTATTTGTCTAGTGCATTGTAGCTGGGTAGCTTCCACATAACTATTGTAAAGTTTCACAAAGTCATTTCTTGTAATTTCAAAATTTTTATAATCGAAAATATAGTTCGAAAGCACCTGCTTGACAAAAAATACTTGGGAAGGCTCTATAAGCCTTAATAATGCTTTTAAATTCTCAAGATACAGGATTCCTGTATTTTCTATATCCATTTGGTCAAAAAGGCTTTCAGCAGAAAAATCAGTTTGATTTTCTGATACCATAAAGATACTTGACATTTATAATTGAATAATGAATTGCCCTCATGGAGCAATAAGAAAAATTAAAGCAATTTATATAAATTTCTAGTATTAACAGACAAATTAAAATTTGTCTAAATTTTCATTTATATGATTTTATCAGCCAAATTTGTATTTGAAGCAGTTGAATTCTTGCAAAAATTTCATTTTAAATCAATAAACGATAACCTTAAATTTAAAATCTGCACTGTTTTGGAAGTTTCAGCCTTAAGCCTGATGTTGATTTTCTCTACAAAAACTTTGTTTCAAGATTAAATTCTTTATATTAAATATAAAAAATCTAAAATCTCTATATAAATGCTACAATTAACCCAAAAAGTATATTTTCTATTCCTTCTGAAACGCAAATTTGTTATATACAAAGGTATTTACATTATTTATCATATGTACATTTAAGAAGGGTGTTTACTGATATGCTTGGTAAGCATATACTTGTTGTAAACAGTCAAGCCGCATATTTCACAATTCACTCGAGTAACCTTTTGGTGCACTTGTCTATCATGGAAAGTGAGAGCATGCTGGTGTTTGAACGTCTTGTGGCATATGCTGCAGATTACTCCTTTCTCTTTATTAGAGTGAGCTTTTCCTATGTGTTGTTGGAGTCCTTTATGGTTTTTATAAAACTTCCCACAGGTTGGGCACTCAACTTCGTCGCATTCTGACTCTACTGTTGAGCAAGAATAAGGAGATTTTGGGGTTTCTAGTGATTTAGGAGAGTATTTTGTCTCGTAATCTAAGCCTTTTTTATATGAAATCAAGATAGGGATATGCTAATTGAGATAATTATAGAGAAAAAGGATAATCCCAACCTGAATTGCAAAAAGGAGATCGAATCGTGGTCAAGCTCGAAATCTTGGATCAAATGGTCTCTAAACTGATGAGGAGAATCAAACCCAACTCCGCATAGCTCGCAGCAATATTCAGAATGCTGTGGAGAAGCTATGCATTGGAATTTTGGGATGAGCGTTGCTGACATTTAGCTATTTATTTAATTATAAGGCATCAATGAATATGGTAGATTTATATGCTTAAGTTAAATGGATAGTTTCTTTCAGTCAAATTAATTTTATTAGGCTCCATATTTCAGATTACGAGTTCTGGTGAGCTGAACGCCATATTATCTTGCATCAGTTGCAATAATATAAGCTGCAAAATAAACTTCTAATAAGTTTCTTATAGTTAAGCACAGTCTTTCTTTCTATATTAGACTTTAATTTATAATTATTTTTATTATTAATAATTAATTCAATTTTAATTATAGAAGTAGCACGATTACATGCATAAGCTATATATTAAGATGTTTTTATAAATTTTAGAAAATTATTTGAAATTGTGCAAAAATTAATTATCTATTAATGATAATAATTTTTAAAAAGGATATATAATAATATGTCTTTACAATGTGAGCAAAAGCAATGCAAAACTATTCCGAGTTTTATATGTGCATGCTCATTGAAAGGGCATTTATTTTGTAAGGTGCATATTACTGAGCATATAGAAAGCATTCCAGGCCTTCAACATAAAGGGGTGTCCTTATTTTTTGGTAACTCTACTAAAAATATTTGCAAATTTGAGGACATCCTACCTAGAAAAGGCAGCATTTATATCAAGATAGATGATAATATCGATCGATCTTTAAATTCTGCCATCAATTATGTTGGAATTATTATTCAATCTCTGAATGTTTACAATCGAAAATTCCCTTCAGCCTATTCACCAACTCTAGAGTCACAGAATTTATTCCCAAGTACTCAATTCCCATCCCCATCTCTTAGCCCTACTTTCCAAGATCTTTTCTATAAAATTTCTATAGTTCTCGCTACTCATATTCTTCGAATAGGAGATATTTCTTCCCTCAAAGCAAGCTATATCAATAAAATCAATTTTATAAACCAGAAAGAAATTTTAAAATACTTTAAAAGCTTAGGAACTGAAGAATTACAAGATAAACTACTTATCATTACTTTAGAGTCAAGAGAGCATAAAAGCATAAAATATGCTTCCAGTAACGCAATAACAATTTTGAATTATTCCAAATATAAATTCATTGATAAAGATTTGCATGGCATCAAAATTAAAGGCGCAGATCTCTCAGAAGCACTCATAATAAATTCTAATTTCCAAGGAAGCAATCTTAAAAGAGTAGATTTTTCTTTCGCAAATATTTATGATACAAATTTCAAGGACTGCAATTTAACAGATGTATGATTCGGGCAGTATCCTCCATTTAAAAATAAAATAACTGACTGGAATACCACTTTTGCCTGAAATAAGGACTACTTGGCTTCTATTGATAATAATGCTGTATTTTTGCAAGATATTAAGACTGGGTGTGTTTTTAAAGAATTCAAACATAAAGAAATCATAAAAATAGTTGCTTTATCAGAGAACGGATCGCTGCTTGCAATTGCTGATAAATGTAATATACTTCACATATGGGACATTATGAATGATAATAAATTAGCAGAGCTACAAGAACCAACACATTGAGTGACTTCTATTGCATTTTCTCCGAAAGGAGGTTTAGTCGCTGCTGGAAGTCGTGATGGCTTCTTAAGAATATGAAATATTGCTACAAGTTCAATGATAAGTTCATTCACCTATTATTCTGTTTTATTTTCAGTTGAATATTCTGCTTGTGGCAAATACATTGTTCTTGGCACTATCTCTTTAGTGCTAGTTGTATATGCTGAAGATATAAAAATAACTAAATGCAGATTCAATCATCCTCGAACTGCAACAGTTGCCTCATTTTCTCCATGCACTAGATATGTAATAACTGATTGAATGATTTAAAATTCAGAATGTGAGATATAGAAACAGGAGAACTTATAAAATCAATTAAAACGAGTTTTTCCTGACCTGATAGCAATTTTGGCCTCGCATTACCATATGTTTGTTTCGAAATACAAACCATACCACTTTTGAAATGCTTAGCAAAAAATGGGCAAATAGAAATAAAGTGGTTCAATGAGGCATTATTCAATAAGCACCATTTATCATTTTCTCCTGATGGAAATTATGTAGCTACAAAGAAAAGAAAAGATTATATAGATATTTGAGATGCAAAAGCTTTAGAAAGTCATTCTTTTCCTTATAAAGAAATTACCTCTATATCTTTTTCCTATGATGGGAAATATATGGCATATACAGATGCTTCAAAATCAATAAAAATCCAAAATATCGAAAAAAATATAAATATTGTAAAGCTTAAAGGTCACCAAGCTATAGTTTGGTATGTGATTTTTTCTAAAATATCGTATTTTTTGGTTTCTTTATATGTGGATAACATAGTGATTATCTGAGACACTTTAAATCAATATCCTTTAAGCAAGATTGAAATTAAAGACCAAGTACGAGCTCTTGATCTATCTTTTGAAAACAATTTTATTGGGGTTGGACTATTAAATGGAAATATTAAGGTATGAAATACAAACAATCTATCAGATAGTTTTTCTTTAATGCACAAAGGAGCGATTATTTGTATAAAATTTTCACCATGTGAAAATTTTATTGCAGCTGCCAGTAAAGATGGGAAATTTATATTGTGGAGAATTAATAAAAAAAACTTTGTGAGTTTTGGTAGAAAACGCATGAAAGAGGTTTCTTACATATGTTTTGCTAAATCAAGAAATTATTTGGTTTCAGCTCATATAAATGGTGATATTATTTTTTGAGACATTAATTATCAACAGCAAGTTATGAAAGTGGAAACAAATGGAGAGATTATAAGATCAATAGCATTATCTCCATGTGAAAATTACTTGGTTGCTGGGTATTTTGATGGCTTTGTAAGAGTGCTGAGTACTTTGCAAGGAAATATAATCAAATCGCTCCAATATCATCGTAAATCTGTTTGTTCAGTTGAATTTATAAATAGTGAAAAGCTACTATTTGCATCTGCGAGTATTGATGCTACAATTAACTTTTTGAGAATCTAATATTTAAAATAAAGGATAATATGAATTAATTGGCAATATAAAGCGCTTTTTAAAGTTAATTTTAAAATCTAATGAAACCGAAAATAAAGCCTAAAATTACATTTATTGATTCTAATTAAATTAAATAAAATTTAACTCAATCATAACCTTTTAAAACTTTAATTTAATTTTTTTCTACTTCGTATGCCATATTGAAAATATATTAACTCCCCCCCCCCCTCCGTGAGCGAACAAAACCATTAGAAAAATCGCCATTTTTTTGACCAAAAACCCACCCTCCGTGAGTGAACAAAAATTTTTTTAATAGAAAAAATTTTAATGGAAAAAAATTTTGATATATAAGTGATAATTAGTATAATGAAATCTAGAGCTAATTCTGTTTAATTTTAAACAAATTGCGTTTTAAAACATAAATTTTGCAAATTAAATTAATATTTGCTTCCCAATTTTTGCAAATTAGGATTTTTTTAAATTTCGAAAAAAATATTTTTTTATAAAATTTATATATAATTTTTTTTTAAAAAAAAAAATTAACCCCCCTCCGTGAGCGAACAAAATTTTTTTTGTTCGCTCACGGAGGGGGGGGGGGGAGTAAGATGTTTCCACAAACCCCAGGAAATTATTTGAATTGTGCAATAATTATTCTCGGCTGTTTTAATATATTTAATTATTTGTTGGCATTTTTGGTATTAAAGTGCTAATAAAAATAAATGTAATATTTAATTAAATATTGCATAATTATCTATTAATTATAATAATTTTTAAAAAGGATATATAATAATATGTCTTTGAAATGTGAGCAAAAGCAATGCAAAGTTATTCCAAGTTTTATATGTGCATGCTCATTGAAAGGGCATTTATTTTGTAAGGTGCATATTATTGAGCATATAGAAAGCTTTCCAGGCCTTCAGCATAAAGGGGTGTCTTTATTCTTTGATAATTCTGCTAAAAATATTTGCAAATTTGAGGACATCCGACCTAGAAAAGGCAGCATTTATATAAAGACAGATGATAATATCGATCGATCTTTAAATTCTGCCATCAATTATACTGGAATAATTATTCAATCTCTGAATGTTTACAATCGAAAATTCCCTTTAGGCGATTCAGCAACTCTAGAGTCACAGAATTTATTGCTAAGTACTCAATTCCTATCCCCATCTCCCATAACTACTTTCCAAGACCTTTTCTATAAAATTTCTATAGTTCTCGCTACTCATATTCTTCGAATAGGAGATATTTCTTCCCTCAAAGCAAGCTATATCAATAAAATCAATTTTATAAACCAGAAAGAAATTTTAAAATACTTTAAAAGCTTAGGAACTGAAGAATTACAAGATAAACTACTTAACATTACTTTAGAGTCAAGAGAGCATAAAAGCATAAAATATGCTTCCAGTAACGCAATAACAATCTTAAATTATTCCAAATATAAATTCATTGATAAAGATTTGCATGGCATCAAAATTAAAGGCGCAGATCTCTCAGAAGCACTCATAATAAATTCTAATTTCCAAGGAAGCAATCTCAAAAGGGTGGATTTTTCTTTCGCAAATATTTATGATACAAATTTCAAGGACTGTGATTTGGCAGGTGTGTGATTCGGGCAGTATCCTCCATTTAAAAATAGATAATAATTATAGCTAATGCAAGCATACCTACTGATAACTGCTATTATATTTTTATATAAATAGAATAGCGACTAATTGAAAGAATGCTAATAATCATTCAAATAGATATAATAACTGACTGGAATACCACTTTTGCCTGAAATAAGGACTACTTGGCTTATATTGATGATAATGTTGCATTTTTGCAAGACATTAAGAGCGGGTGTGTTTTTAAAGAATTCGAACATAAAGAAGTGATAAAAGTAGCTGCTTTATCAAAGGACGGATCACTGCTTGCAATTGCTGATAAATGTAATATACTTCACATATGGGACATTATGAATGACAATAAATTAACAGAGCTGCAAGGACCCTCACATTGAGTGACTTCTATTGCATTTTCTCCGAAAGGAGGTTTAGTCGCTGCTGGAAGTCGTGATGGCTTCTTAAGAATATGAAATATTGCTACAAGCTCAATGATGAGTTCATTCAGCTATTATTATGTTATATTTTCAGTTGAATATTCTGCTTGTGGCGAATATATTGTTCTTGGCACTTCTATCTCTTTAGTGCCAGTTGTATATGCTGAAGATATAAAAATAACTAAATGCAGGTTCAATCATCCACGAACTGCAACAGTTGCCTCATTTTCTCCATGCACTAGATATGTAATAACTGATTGTGATGATTTAAAATTCAGAATATGAGATATAGAAACAGGAGACCTTATAAAATCAATTAAAACGAGTTTTTCCTGACCTAATAGCCTTTTTAGCCTCGCATTACCATATGTAGGTTTCGAATTACGAACCATACCACTTTTGAAATGTTTAGCAAAAAATGGGCAAGTAGAAATAAAGTGGTTCAATGAGGCATTATTCAATAAGCACTATTTATCATTTTCTCCCGATGGAAATTATGTAACTACAAAGAAAAGAAAAAATTATATAGAGATTTGAGACGCAAAAGCTTTAGAAAATCATTCTTTTCCTTATAAAGAAATTACCTCTATATCTTTTTCCTATGATGGGAAATATATGGCATATACAGATGCTTCAAAATCAATAAAAATCCAAAATATCGAAAAAAATATAAATATTGTAAAGCTTAAAGGCCACCAAGCTATAGTTTGGTATGTGATTTTTTCTAAAGTATCGTATATTTTGGTTTCTTTATATGTGGATAACATAGTGATTATCTGAGACACTTTAAATCAATATCCTTTAAGCGAAATTGAAATTAAAGATCAAGTGACAGCTCTTGATCTATCTTTTGAAAACAATTTTATTGGGGTTGGGCTATTAAATGGAAATATTAAGGTAATAAATACAAACAATCTATCAGATAGTTTTTCTTTAATGCACAAAGGAGTGATTACTTGTATCAAATTTTCTCCATGTGAAAATTTTATTGCAGCCGCCAGTAATGATAGAAAATTTAATTTGTGGAGAATTAATAAAAAAAACTATGTGAGTTTTGGCAGAAAACGCATGAAGGAGGTTTCTTACATATGTTTTGCTAAATCAAGAAATTATTTGGTTTCAGCTCATATAAATGGTGATATCATTTTTTGAGATATTAATACTCAACAGCAAGTTATGAAAGTGGAAACAAAAGGAGGGATTATAAGATCAATAGCATTATCTCCATGTGAAAATTACTTGGTTGCTGGGTTTTTTGATGGCTTTGTAAGAGTGCTGGGCACTTTGCAAGGAAATATAATCAAATCGCTCCTATATCATCGTAAATCTGTTTGTTCAGTTGAATTTATAAATAGTGAAAAGCTACTATTTGCATCTGCGAGTATTGATGCTACAATTAACTTTTGGAGAATCTAATATTTAAAATAAAGGATAATATGAATTAATTGGCAATATAAAGCGCTTTTTAAAATTAATTTTAAAATCTAATGAAACCGAAAATAAAGCCTAAAATTTATTGATTCTAATTAAATTAAATAAAAATTTAACTCAATCATAACCTTTTAAAACTTAATTTAATTTTTTTCTACTTCGTATGCCATATTGAAAATATATTAAAATGTTTTTATAATAGAAAATTATTTGAAATTGTGCGATAATTATTCTCGGCTGTTTTAATATATTTAATTATTAGTTTGCATTTTTGATCTTATTTAAAGTGCTAATAAAAATAAATGTAATATATTAATTAAATATTGTATAATTATCTATTAATAATTATAATAATTTTTAAAAAGGATATATAATAATATGTCTTTACAATGTGAGCAAAAACAATGCAAAGTTATTCCAAGTTTTATATGTGCATGTTCATTGAAAGGGCATTTATTTTGTAAGGTGCATATTATTGAGCATATAGAAAGCATACCAGGCCTTCTACATAAAGGGGTGTCATTAATCTTTGATAATTCTGCTCAAAATATTTACAAATTTGAGGACATCCGACCTAGAAAAGGCAGCATTTATATAAAGACAGATGATAATATCGATCGATCTTTAAATTCTGCCATGAGCTATGCTGGAATAATTATTCAATCTCTGAATGTTTACAATCGAAAATTCCCTTTAGGCGATTCAGCAACTCTAGAGTCACAGAATTTATTGCTAAGTACTCAATTCCTATCCCCATCTCCCATAACTACTTTCCAAGACCTTTTCTATAAAATTTCTATAGTTCTCGCTACTCATATTCTTCGAATAGGAGATATTTCTTCCCTCAAAGCAAGCTATATCAATAAAATCAATTTTATAAACCAGAAAGAAATTTTAAAATGCTTTAAAGTCTTACTCCCCTTCTTGAAATAGCAAATATTTTTCCCACTTAACGGGGGTTTAATTTTATTTATAATACACTTCTACAAATATATTCGCTTTTAAACATTTAAATGTGAACAGTTCATTATATTTTAAAATTTATTTTTAGTAATGCTATGTAATAATAACCATTTTTTATTAAAATCATTTTTATATATACAAACTTTTTGCTCACTTTGGAAGAGTTTGTTAATTTCTCAAAAAACAAGATTTTCTCAAATTTTATCTTGCTAGAGGGAGATAGCAACTGAAGAATTGCAAGACAAACTACTTAACATTACTTTACAGTCAAGAGAGCATAAAAGCCTAAAACATGCTTCCAGTAACGCAATAACAATCTTGAATTATTCCAAATATAAATTCATCGATAAAGATTTGCATGGCATCAAAATTAAAGGCGCAGATCTCTCAGAAGCACTCATAATAAATTCTAATTTTCAGGGAAGCAATCTTAAAAGGGTGGATTTTTCTTTCGCAAATATTTATGATACAAATTTCAAGGACTGTGATTTAACAGATGTATGTTTCGGGTTGCATCATCCATTTAAAAATAGATAATTATTAATGCAAGCATACCTACTAATAACTGCTATTATATTTTTTATATAAATAGAATAGCGACTAATTGAAAGAATGCTAATATTCATTTAAATAGATTTAATAAGTGACTCGAATATCACTTTTGCCTGAAATAAGGACTACTTGGCTTATATTGATAATAATGTTGCACTTTTGCAAGATATTAAGACTGGGTGTGTTTTTAAAGAATTCAAACATAAAGAAGTGATAATAGTAATCGCTTTATCAGTGGACGGATCGCTGCTTGCAACTGCTGATAACTGTAATATACTTCACATATGGGACATTATGAATGACAATAAATTAACAGAGCTACAAGGACCAAAACATGGTGTGAATTCTATTGCATTTTCTCCGAAAGGAGGTTTTGTCGCTGCTGGAAGTCGTGATGGCTTCTTAAGAATATGAAATATTGCTACAAGTTCAATGATAAGCCCATTCGGCTATTATTCTATTATATTTTCAGTTGAATATTCTGCTTGTGGCAAATATATTGTTTTTAGCACTGGTATGCTTTCCGTGCTAGTTTTATATGCTGAAGATATAAAAATAACTAAATGCAGATTCAATCATCCACGATATGCAACAGTTGCCTCATTTTCTCCATGTACTAGATATGTAATAACTGATTGTGATGATTTAAAAATCAGAATATGAGATATAGAAACAGGAGACCTTATAAAATCAATTAAAGCGAGATTTTCCTGATTTAATAGCCTTTTTAGCATCGCATTTAAATATTTAGGTGTAGAAACACGAACCATACCTCTTTTGAAATCTTTAGCAAAAAATGGGCAAATAGAAATAAATTGGTTCAATGAGGCATTATTCAATAAGCAATATTTATCATTTTCTCCTGATGGAAATTATGTAGCTACAAAGAAAAGAAAAAATTATATAGAGATTTGAGATGCAAAAGCTTTAGAAAGTCATTCTTTTCCTTATAAAGAAATTACCTCTATATCTTTTTCCTATGATGGGAAATATATGGCATATACAGATGATTCAAAATCAATAAAAATCCAAAATATCGAAAAAAATAAAAATATTTTTAGGCTTAAAGGCCACCAAGCTATAGTTTGGTATGTGATTTTTTCTAAAATATCGTATTTTTTGGTTTCTTTATATGTGGATAACATCGTGATTATCTGAGACGCTTTAAATCAATATCCTTTAAGCGAGATTGAAATTAAAGACCAAGTGACAGCTCTTGATCTATCTCCTGAAAACAATTTTATTGGGGTTGGGCTATTAAATGGAAATATTAAGGTAATAAATACAAACAATCTATCAGATAGTTTTTCTTTAATGCACAAAGGAGGGATTACTTGTATAAAATTTTCACCATGTGAAAATTTTATTGCAGTTGCCAGTTACGATAGGAAATTTAATTTGTGGAGAATTAATAAAAAAAACTTTGTGAGTTTTGGTAGAAAACGCATGAAGGGGGTTTCTTACATATGTTTTGCTAAATTAAGAAATTATTTGGTTTCAGCTCATATAAATGGCGATATCATTTTTTGAGATATTAATACTCAACAGCAAGTTATGAAATTAGAAACAAAAGGAGGGATTATAAGATCAATAGCATTATCTCCATGTGAAAATTACTTGGTTGCTGGGTATTTTGATGGCTTTGTAAGAGTGCTGAGTACTTTGCAAGGAAATATAATCAAATCGCTCCAATATCATCGTAAATCTGTTTGTTCAGTTGAATTTGTAAATAGCAAAAAGCTACTATTTGCTTCTGCGAGTATTGATGCTACAATTAACTTTTGGAGAATCTAGTAATTAAAACAAGGATAATATGAATTAATTGGTAATATAAAGCGCTTTTTTAAGTTAATAATAAAATCTAATGAAACCGAAATGAAGCCTAAGATTGCGTTTATTGATTCTAATTAAATTGAATAAAATTGAACTTAATCATAACCTTTTAAAATTCAGTTTAATTTTTTTCTACTTCGTATATAATAATATGTCTTTACAATGTGAGCAAAAACAATGCAAAGTTATTCCGAGTTTTATATGTGCATGCTCATTGAAAGGGCATTTATTTTGTAAGGTGCATATTATTGAGCATATAGAAAGCACTCCAGGCCTTCTACATAAAGGGGTGTCCTTATTCTTTGATAATTCTGCTCAAAATATTTGCAAATTTGAAGACATTCTACCTATAAAATGTAGCATTTATATAAAGACAGATGATAATATCGATCGATCTTTAAATTCTGCCATGAGCTATGCTGGAATTATTATTCAATCTCTGAATGTTCACAATCGAAAATTCCCTTTAGGCGATTCAGCAACTCTAGAGTCACAGAATTTATTGCTAAGTACTCAATTCCTATCCCCATCTCCCATAACTACTTTCCAAGACCTTTTCTATAAAATTTCTATAGTTCTCGCTACTCATATTCTTCGAATAGGAGATATTTCTTCTCTCAAAGCAAGCTATATCAATAAAATCAATTTTATAAACCAGAAAGAAATTTTAAAATGTTTTAAAAGCTTAGCAACTAAAAAATTACAAGCCAAATTGCTTATCATTACTTTACAGTCAAGAAAGCATAAAAGCCTAAAATATGCTTCCAGTAACGCAATAACAATCTTAAATTATTCCAAATATAAATTCATCGATAAAGACTTGCATGGCATCAAAATTAAAGGCGCAGATCTCTCAGAAGCACTCATAATAAATTCAAATTTCCAGGGAAGCAATCTCAAAAGGGTGGATTTTTATTTCGCAAATATTTATGATACAAATTTCAAGGATTGTGATTTGACAGATGTGCGATTCGGTAAGTATCCTCCTTTTAAAAATAGATAATATTTATTGCTAGTGCAAGCATACCTACTGATAGTTGCTATTATATTTTTATATAAATAGGATAAAGGTTAATTGAAAGAATGTTAATAATCATTTAAATAGATATAATAGCTGACTGGAATGCCACTTTTTCCTGAAATAAGGACTACTTGGCTTATATTTATAGTAATGTTGTATTTTTGCAAGATATTAAGAGTGGGTGTGTTTTTAAAGAATTCGAACATAAAGAAATTATAAAATTAGTCGCTTTATCAGAGGATGGATCACTGCTTGCAATTGCTGACACCTCTTATATACTTCACATATGGGACATTGTGCATGATAAAAAATTAACAGAACTGCCAGGACTCTTACATTTAGTGACTTCTATTGCATTTTCTCCGAAAGGAGGTTTTGTCGCTGCTGGAAGTCGTGATGGCTACTTAAGAATATGAAATATTGCTACAAGCTCAATGATAAGTTGTTTCAACTATAATTCTAATATACTTTCAGTTGAATATTCTGCTTGTGGCAAATATATTGTTCTTGGCGCTCCTATCTATTTAGTGCCAGTTGTGTATGCTGAAAATATAAAAATAACTAAATGCAGTTTCAATCATCCACGAACTGTAACAGTTGCCTCATTTTCTCCATGCTCAAGATATATAATAACTGATTGCGATGATTTAAATATCAGAATATGAGCAATGGAAACAGGAGAACTTATGAAGTCAATAAAAATGAGTGTTTCCAGACCAAATAACCTTTTTGACTTATCATTTTCAGATGTAGGTATAGAAATACAAACCATGCCTCTTTTGAAATGCTTAGCAAAAAATTGGCAAATAGAAATAAAATGATTTAATGAGACATTATTCAATAAGACATCATTATCATTTTCTCCTGATGGAAATTACGTAGCTATAAAGAAAACACAAAATGATGCAGAGATTTGAGATGCCAAAGCTTTAGAAAGCCATATCCTCCCTTATAAAGAAATTACTTCTATATCTTTGTCATATGATGGGAAATATATGGCATATACAGATGCTTCAAAATCAATAAAAATCCAAAATATCGAAAAAAATATAAATATTTTTAAGCTTAAAGGCCACCAAGCTAGGGTTATGCATGTGCTTTTTTCTAAAATATCGTATTTTTTGGTTTCTTTATGTGTGGATAGCATAGTGATTATCTGAGACACTTTAAATCAATATCCTTTAGGCAAGATTGAAATTAAAGATCAAGTGTCAGCTCTTGATCTATCTTTTGAAAACAATTTTATTGGGGTTGGGCTATTAAATGGAAATGTTAAGGTAATAAATACCAAAATCATATCGGATAGTTTTTCTTTAACACACAATGGAGCGATTACTTGTATCAAATTTTCTCCATGTGAGAAATTTATTGCTGTCGTACGCAATGATGGCAAATTGATTTTGTGGAGAATTAATAAAAACATCTTCGTAAGTTTTGGTAATAAAAGAATGAAGGAGGTTTCTTGCATATGTTTTGCTCAATTAAGAAATTATTTGGTTTCAGCTCATATAAATGGTGATATCATTTTTTGAGATATTAATAATCAACAACAAGCTATGAAAGTGGAAACATATGGACGGGTTATAAGATCAATAGCATTATCTCCATGTGAAAATTACTTGGTTGCTGGGTATTATGATGGCTTTGTAAGAGTGCTGAGTACTTTGCAAGGAAAGATAATCAAATCGCTCCAATATCATCGTAAATCTGTTTGTTCAGTTGAATTTATAAATAGTGAAAAGCTACTATTTGCATCTGCGAGTATTGATGCTACAATTAACTTTTGGAGAATCTAATATTTAAAATAAAGGATAAAAATAAACTCAATCATAACCTTTAAAACTTTTTTCGGCTTCGTATGCCATATTGAAAATAAGATGCTTTTATAAATCGAAAATTATTTGAAATTGTGCAAAAACTAATTATCTATTAATCATAATTTTTAAATAAGATATATAATAATATGCCTTTACAATGTGAGCAAACACAGTGTAAAATTATTCCAAGTTTTATATGTGCATGCTCATCGAAAGGAGATTTATTTTGTAAGGTGCATATTATTGAGCATATAGAAAGCATTCCAGACCTTCAACATAAAGGGGTTTCTTTATTCTTTGATAATTCTGCTAAAAATATTTACAAATTTGAGGATATCCTACCTATAAAAGGCAGCGTTTATTTAAAAATAGATGATAATATCGATCGATCTTTAAATTCTGCCATGAGCTATGCTGGAATTATTATTCAATCTCTGAATGTTCACAATCGAAAATTCCCTTTAGGCGATTCAGCAGCTCTAGAGTCACAGAATTTATTGCCAAGCACTCAATTCCCATCTCCTATCCCTACTTTCCAAGACCTTTCCTATAAAATTTCTATAGTTCTCGCTACTCATATTCTTCGAATAGTAGATATTTCTTTCCTCAAAGCAAGCTATATCAATAAAATCAATTTTATAAACCAGAAAGAAATTTTAAAATGCTTTAAAAGCTTAGCAACTGAAAAATTGCAAGCCAAACTGTTTAGCATAACTTTACAGTCAAGAGAGCATAAAAGCCTAAAACATGCTTCCAGTAACGCAATAACAATCTTGAATTATTCCAAATATAAATTCATCGATAAAGACTTGCATGGCATCAAAATTAAAGGCGCAGATCTCTCAGAAGCACTCATAATAAATTCTAATTTCCAGGGAAGCAATCTCAAAAGGGTGGATTTTACTTTCGCAAATATTTATGATACAAATTTCAAGGACTGTGATTTAACAGATGTGCGATTCGGTAAGTATCCTCCATTTAAAAATATAATAACTGACTGGAATACCACTTTTGCCTGAAATAAGGACTACTTGGCTTATATTGATAATAATTTTGCATTTTTACAAGATATTAAGAGTGGGTGTGTTTTTAAAGAATTCGAACATAAAGAAATTATAAAATTAGTCGCTTTATCAGAGGATGGATCACTGCTTGCAATTGCTGACACCTCTTATATACTTCACATATGGGACATTGTGCATGATAAAAAATTAACAGAACTGCCAGGACTCTTACATTTAGTGACTTCTATTGCATTTTCTCCAAAAGGGGGTTTTGTTGCTGCTGGAAGTCATGATTGCTGCTTAAGAATATGAAATATTGCTACAAGCTCAATGATGAGTTGTTACGACAATTATTATGCTATAGCTTCAGTTGAATATTCTGCTTGTGGCAAATTTATTGTTTTAGGCAGTTTTAGCATTTTAGTGCCAGTTTTGTATGTTGAAAATATAAATTGATTTAAATGCAAGTTATTTCATCCTCAATCTGCAACAGTTGCCTCATTTTCTCCATGCTCAAGATATGTAATAACTGATTGTAATGATTTAAATATCAGAATATGAAAAATAGAAACAGAAGAACTTATGAAGTCAATAAAAGTGAGTATTTCAAGACCTAATAACCTTTTTAACTTATCATTTTCAAATATAGGTATAAAAATACAAACCATGCCTCTTTTGAAATGCTTAGCAAAAAATTGGCAAATAGAAATAAAATGGTTCAATGAGACATTATTCAATAAGCAATGATTATCATTTTCGCCTGATGAAAATTGCATAGCTATAAAGAAAACAAAAAATTATACAGAGATTTGAGATGCCAAAGCTTCAGAAAGCCATCTCCTCCCTTATAAAGAAATTACTTCTATATCTTTGTCCTATGACAGGAAATATATGGCATATACAGATGCTTCAAAATCAATAAAAATCCAAAATATCGAAAAAAATATTAATGTTTTTAAGCTTAAAGGCCACCAAGCTATAGTTATGCATGTGATTTTTTCTAAAATATCGTATTTTTTGGTTTCTTTATATGTGGATAACATAGTAATTATCTGAGACACTATAAATCAATATCCTTTAAGCGAAATTGAAATTAAAGACCAAGTATCAGCGCTTGATCTATCTTTTGAAAACAATTTTATTGGGGCTGGGCTATTAAATGGAAATATTAAGGTAATAAATACAAAAAATCTATTAGATAGCTTTTATTTAAAGCACAAAGGAGCGATTACTTGTATTAAATTTTCTCCATGCGAGAAATTTATTGCATTCGCCAGTAGTGATAGGAAATTGAATTTGTGGAGAATTAATAAAAAAAAATTCGTAATTTTTGATAAAAAATGCATAAGGGAGGTTTCTTATATATGTTTTGCTAAATCAAGAAATTATTTAGTTTCAGCTCATATAAATGGTGATATCATTTTTTGAAATATTAATAATCAACAACAAGTTATGAAAGTGGAAACAAATGGAGGGATTATAATATCAATGACGTTATCTCCATGTGAAAATTATTTGGTTGCTGGGTATTATGATGGCTTTGTAAGAGTATTGGGTACTTTGCAAGGAAAGATAATCAAATCGCTCCAATATCATCATAGATCTGTAAGTTCAGTTGAATTTATAAATATTGAAAAGCTACTAATTGGATCTGCAGGTCTTGATGCTACAATTAACTTTTGGATAATCTAATAATTAAAACAATGATAATGTGGCATTAATTGGCAAAATAAAGTAAATTTTTTTAAGTTAATAATAAAATCTAATAAAAACGAAAATAAAGCCTAAAATTGCATTTATTTAATTCTACTAAATTGAATAAAATTTAACTCAATTATAACCTTTTAAAACTTTTTTCTGCTTCTTATGCCATTAAAAATAACTTTTTCATTAATTATTTTATTTTTTTCTAATTTATTGAAAATTAAGTTTCATTATAAAACAATCATTCTCATTTTTTTATAAAATATCTAGCTCCCCCTTTGCATCGTAAGAATGATTTTTTATAGCTCTTTACTCTTCATATTTAAAAATTTAAATTCCTTTATATTTGAAAAGATAATATAATTTTAATTTAAAAACCTTATACAAGATAGAGCTGCTTAAAATGTAATATAATATGCTAAAGATTATATTAATATCTAAAAAAAATTTTTTGCTCTCTAACGAAGAGGATTAATTTTCCAAAAAAAAATCCATTTTTTTCTGACTAACCAAAAGTGGATTAATTAATTATAACGCCATTTCCATTTGGATTCTTCCATGCTTGTAATACCCAATAAGCTCAATATCTTCACTTGAAAATTGATCAATTTCTTTAACATTTCCATTTAATTTTAACTGAGGGAAAGGATAAGGATTTCTTTTCAGCTGAGTTTCAAGAGGGTCCACATGTGTTGAATACACATGGGTATCCCCGACCACATGAACAAATTCTCCTCTTTCGAGCCCACAAACTTGTGCAATTAAGCATGTTAATAATGAGTAGGAAGCGATATTAAAAGGTATTCCAAGCCCTACATCGCCTGATCTTTGGTATAGCATATAGCTATGTGAGATAAATATTTATCATTTTTTTTGAGATCAAAGCCTAATTTTATATGAAAAATAATTAATTGTGAATAATATTGGGATTTATTATTAAGGAGAAGGAATGCATGATAATTTTCCATTGTTTACATAAAACTGAGATAATACATGACAAGGAGGCAACGCCATAAGAGGTTGCGCAATTGGATTCCATGCACTTAGAATGATTCTTCTTGAATTTGGGTCAGTTTTGATCAAATTTATCACTTCAGCTATCTGATCGAACCCTTGTCCTGAGTAATCAGCATGCATATCTTTATATTCAGCTCCAAAATGCCTCCACTGAAACCCATAAACAGGACCTAAATCTCCTTCTTCTCTATCATTGAACCCTAAAGAGTCTAAAAATGGTCTGCTTCCATTGCCATCCCAAATTTTTACACCTTTTTCACTTAATTCTTTAGCATTGGTCGACCCTTTAATAAACCACAATAATTCTTCTACAACACCCTTCCAAAATACTAGCTTAGTCGTCAACAAAGGGAAACTTTCGCTCAAGTCGAACCTCATCATTTTCCCAAATAATGAAATTGTCCCAATATGAGTCCTGTCATCTCGTCTATTTCCGTTAGAAATAATTTCTTTAATTAAATCTAAGTACTGATATTCTTCATGAGGAGGGTAATTAATGAACTGAGGCTGAGGGGGTAAACTATTATTACAAAGTGTACAAAAATCATAAGTTATGTTAGAGTAGCATTTGGTTTTGGATATTGATGTTATTGAAAACCCTTCAAATAAAGGCTCTTGAAATAGAGTTTTTGAGGTCGCTGGCAAGAAAACATCACACTTAAAATCGTTGGAAATGCGGGTAAGATAGATCTGAGAACAATGGGAAACCAAAGGAGGGGATAGACATTCTTGGAAAATCTGAGTCCCGCCAATTATAAAGCAAAGACCTGTGGAGGCTGAAATAGCTTCTGTAAGGGTTGGATAAATTTCTACACCTTCAGTAGGAGGGAGGGTTTTAGAAACAATGATGTTTTTACGAGATGGGAGAGGGCGGTATTTCGATGGGATGGATTCCCAAGTTTTGCGACCCATTATCACAGTGTTGGTTTGAGGACCTGTTAAGGTGAGGCTTTTGAAATGTTTGAGATCTTCAGGTATTTTCCAAGGAATTGTGCCTTCGTAGCCAATTCCAAGATTTTTGCAAGCAGCAACTACTAAAACAAAATTTCGCGGTTCTTCCATTTTTTATATCATTCAGTTAATGAGAATTTTGGCATTAAGAATTTTAACTAATATAGGAAATAAAAAAAAATAAAGACTTATAATCGTGTTTTTGAGGAAAAATTGGATCTCATAAATAGTGAAATGTATAATTTGAAGAATATTTTTGAGTGGAAAATTATAAAATTTTATTATTTTAATTAGTGATGATTATTATTGTCTAAATTTTAGTTATAATTTAATTGGAAAAATTACTATATACTATCATTAATGTATAGGATGCTAGATTTTCAAGCCTGTGATTCAAAATGGTTTGATATTTATTTTATAATACTGAAAAAGAGCTTGATTTTCTATAGATAGGCTTACATTAATTTGTTGAACAAAATGAACTTCTATTCAGAAAGCAACACAAGCCTAAAAGCCTCATCCGTCTCTCATAGTGAGACTTCGACTGAGTGCAGCTCATCCTCTTCAAAACCACCCTCACTCCACTTCCCTAATTTAAATTGGAACAAAAAATCCTGAAGGGAGGCTAATTTATTTTTTCAAAATGACTAAAAATTATATATAAATTGAAAGGAATATTTTTTATTTTAAATTATTTTATGAAGAATCAATTCTAAATCTATTTAAATAATATTCTACTACTTAAACTTTTGTTATTGAAACAAAATTGTTCCAATTTAAAGGGGGTTAAAGTACCCAAAAAAAGAAAATTTTACCCATATTTTGTTCCAATTTAAAGGGAGAGGGAGTCAGGAAAGAAAGCCAAGGCCGCAGAAAAAAATTTCCTTATGAAATTCAAGACCGAGATATGCAAAAATTGGGAATCAGGGATTTGCGAATTTGGTGACAGGTGCGTTTTTGCTCATGGAGGACATGAATTAAGAGAGAAAACAGAGACAGGAAAGATCCCTAAGGCAAAAGAATGCAAACAATATATTGAACATGGGTATTGCCTTAATGGAACCCAATGTATGTATTCACACAAACTTTTATCATCTGACACAGCATCATCCTCCCCATCAGGAAGCAATAGCTCAAGCAGGAAAAATTCAGAGGAAAAATGCAAAAGTAAATTACCTATTTTTATAGAATTAGAGAGTAGACCATTCTCGAGCTAATAATGATTAATTTAATTTCAAACATTTATCCTAGTGGATCAAAAAACGCATTTTTAAGCGTTGAAAAATGGATACGTGTATAGGGATTTTTTATCAGAAAAGTTGGAGAGAAAAGGATTTAAATTTATTTGTGATGGTAGATTGGAAAAATTGGAAATATTTTTCATTTAATATAATAATTGTCAGAAATAGGAAAAATGATGATTAAATTGAAAAATTGTCTGGAAATAAAATACTATTAATCTATATTAAACGAAATATATTTCTTCTATATAATAATTATAAAAATGCATTTAATTTCATTTGAAGTATATTTAGCGTGCTAAACTGATGATAAAAAAATTAAAATACTTGGAGCTCAAAAATAATTCAAATTTACTATAATTTTTGACTCCTTAATTAAAATCTGATAATCTGTTATGAAAGGAACTATAGGGGCGTCTAAATAATAATTCCAAAAATAATAATAAATAATCCTTACTCCCCCCCCCTCCGTGAGTGAACAAAACCATTAGAAAAATCCCTATTTTTTGCCCAAAAACCCACCCTCCGTGAGTGAACAAAAAATTTTTTTAATAGAAAAAATTTTTTATGGAAAAAAAAATTGATATATAAATGATAATTATTATAATGAAATCTAGAGCTAATTCTGTTTATTTTTAAACGAATTGCTTTTTAAAACATAAATTTTGCAAATTGAATTAATATTTGCTTTCCAATTTTTGCGAATTAGGATTTTTTTAAATTTCGAAAAAAAAAATATTTTTTATAAAATTTATATATAAATTGTTTTAAAAAAAAAAAATTAACCCCCCTCCGTGAGTGAACAAAATTTTTTTGTTCACTCACGGGGGGGGGGAGAGTTAATAGAAAATTATTTCAATTTATTAATTTAATATTTAAAATTCTTTTCAACTTTATTAATCTGAATACTTTCAAAATATCGCCTTGAACAACTTCCTTAAATTTAAATTTTCTAAATATTGATTTATTATATAAAATGTCACTAAATTCAAGGAAAAAGCGGGATCAAGGATTAGAGTCAAACTCTTCCTCAACTAAAGACTATTTTGACCCCCTTCACAATGAAATTCTCGACCCTCGAGCTCTTATACTAGATTGGCTTCATCTATATTCCACTCACGAAAAAGAAGCTTTGGCTTCATTTTTATCATTAATCCTTCAGTCATGTGGGCTCAGCAAAAATCTAGTAACTCTTGACGATCTTGAAGAATCTGACATGGAAAATCTCTTATCAAAGATTCAAGAAGACTCTAAAGACTGTGATGAGTATCCTCTTATATCCAAAAATAAAGGCTTCAAAAATTATTCAAGCCTGTATCATAGAGTTTATTTTCATCTCATAAGAGAAGCTGGGGATAAAATTTATGATGGGATTATGCTGAATTTCTTAATAAACTGGCTATCAAGTCTCACTTTTATGACAATGCGACCTATAAGGCATACCGCCACTTTTGGGATTGTAAACTTACTCAGCCAATCTATTTTTTTATTTTTAACCTTGATTAAAAATAAATTTTTTTTAAATTTTTTTTAAAAAAGAAATTAGGAAATTCTTTACTAGATCTTTTAGTAAATGAAGTCAATGATAAAGAGAAATTGAAGGTGCTAAAGCAAAATGAAGCTAAAAGTGGCAATAATCAAAAGCTTGAAGAACTAAAGGAGCACGAAATCCAATTAGACACCAAAATTAAAAAACTTATTGAAATGCTAGATTCAATAAGAAAAGAAGTAATCGGGTTTAGATGCAAAGATATTATGCCTGAAATAAGAATTTTGTCCTCACAATGCATAAGTTATTGGGCTGAAAAATACCCAAGCAAATATTTAAATAACGATACCTTCAAATGCATGGGTATGATGCTATATGATAAATCCCCAGAGGTCAGGGAAGCTGTCATAAGACTTATCAATAAAATTTGTACATGGGAAATTGATCCAAAATTTATTGGACTTATCATAAAATTAAAGCCAAGGATTATAGCAATGTGTTATGATATAGAAAATAAATGCTGTATTGAGGCAATAGAAGCCTGCAAAAAATTAAATGAAATTATTAAATTTTCTGACGAAGACAAAGATGTAATTTCAAGATTAATTTGGACTGAAAATGAAGAAATTAGAGACGCTACATGTGATTTTATTATTTCTGCTGTTTTTAATGACTCTTTGCCTAAAGAAACTATGGCAACTGGATTTGGGCTTGATCAAGGAAAATACATAGACGCTGAAAAAGCTATCCTTTTACTTGTGAATTTTTTTATAAAATATTCAAATGGCCAAATATATCTTATTGATCCTTTTGTCAAAGCATTTTGGAGTAAAACAAGCGCAATTCGGTCATGGGAAGCTATGACTAATCTACTAACTCCCCCCCCCCTCCGTGAGTGAACAAAACCATTAGAAAAAATCCCTATTTTTTGCCCAAAAAACCCACCCTCCGTGAGTGAACAAAAATTTTTTTAATAGAAAAAATTTTTTATGGATGGAAAAAAAAATTGATATATAAATGATAATTATTATAATGAAATCTAGAGCTAATTCTGTTTATTTTTAAACGAATTGCTTTTTTAAAACATAAATTTTGCAAATTGAATTAATATTTGCTTTCCAATTTTGCGAATTAGGATTTTTTTAAATTTCGAAAAAAAAATATTTTTTATAAAATTTATATATAAATTGTTTTAAAAAAAAAAAAATTAACCCCCCTCCGTGAGTGAACAAAATTTTTTTGTTCACTCACGGAGAGGGGGGGGAGTAAGTCTTGGAGATTCTTCAAGACCAGGGACAGCTGAACTTCATAACGACCAAAAAATGGTTATTATCAATTTTCTTATTTCCTCACTAAAAAACTTGCAAAATCTTTCAGAGCAAAAACCAAAAAATTCTATGGTAAATCTCAGCACAATTTTAATTTCCCATTTGCCACAATTATTTACATATTTTAGAGCTAATCAAATAATATCAAATGAGCTTGCAAAGCTTACAAATTATCTTGATCTTAGTGCTTTAGCTTCTAAAGATTTAAAAGCGCCTTTTAATCAGCTGATCTCTGCATTAACTGATTTGCATCTCCAGTCAGATAATATTGAAACTTTAATGAAAACTGGACAAAGTCTCAGCAAATTCGCAAAAGAGCCTCATCCGCTTCAAAAAGATTCAAGAACTGAGCTTACGAAATTGACTGATTATTGCTGTGAAGAGCTTAAAAAAGAATTTAAAAAATTTACATTAGAAGGAGAAGAAGGAGTCCTAGAAGTTTGGCTGAAAAGAATTGAGGGGTTAATTTCTCATAAAGACATATTAGAAGAATTAACTAAAGAAAGATTTGAAGATTTTACTTATGTGATTTCTCAATATTTGAGTGATAGCATTAATAATTCATAAAAAAAAATCATTTTTTAAAAAAAATAATAAAAATAATTAATTTTTTATTTTTTTAATAATTCAGGTATCACGCTAAGCTGCGCAAGAATTTTATATTCCTGGAATCTTTGGTATCTTCATGAAGTTGTAGAAAAGACTGAATTAGTTGACGATTATATAGAAAAAAGAAATAATATTATCGAATTATTTACAGCTTTAGTAGCAAAAGCTGACTGCCAATTTGAATTAAGAAAAGAAGCTTTTAAGCTGCTATGTGAGACTATAATGGTAATTTCTGGAAAAAATTCAAAAGGTTCGTTAGTTCATTATGAAGTCGGTGAAGATGTGTGGGGAACTATAGAAGAATATATGTCAGAAATTCCTATTGATACTGAAAATGACGCTAAAATGATTTCAAATCCGAATGCTACAGTTCTTAATATTAAAAATAGCTCAGATGCTGACTCCACATCTCAATTAGTCTGTATTCATATAGCCAGAATTATCTGTACATGCCCATCAATTACAAACTCTCATCTTCCTTCAAGCTTTTTTGCGAATTTTGGGATTTCTACATTAAAAACTATAAACATTATAGTTAAACATGTATTAAATTTCTTTAAATTCGCAGAAAATAAGCCAGAAAGCAATGATTAGATTAATGCTGCATGTTTAAGGTCTCTACTTCTACGAGAAACATTCTGCACAGCTACGTTAGAAGCTGTGTCGTGGCCAAAGCGAATTGGGTGGACTTCCACCTCTAGTACATATGAGCCCAACCGAACCCCTGGCTTCTCTGTAGTGGCTGCCCTGTTGGGTTCGAAAGATCATTGCCAAGCTCCTCCATCCAACTGAGTCCCATCGCTCCTATTGCGCAAATTTCTATCTCGTGCCCTTAATTGGAGGGACCACCTTAAATTTCTCTAATATACCTCAGGCCATCCCTGAAAAAATACTCGCTTACGCGATTCGGGGCAACCACAGAGGCAGCTTGAGTAGATAAATTCACCCTGCTCCTTCTCGGGCACCACTAGTTTGGTTTTTCTTGGAAAAGAATTCGCAAGTATTGCCCATTGAATCAGGCACAAAAAGCGGATTTTCTTGAATCCCTCGCTTTGGGATTTCAAATATTTCTGAGCCAACTATCTCCAAAAAACGATTCCCGGATATGTGAACCGTCACACAAGAGGATGGGTTGGCCTTCATCCCCATTTTATGTATATCAGACAACAATGATAATGTCTTATTCACAATTATGCTAGAATCACTTATAAAATGTATGGGAAACGGCACAGATGAAGACATTAATGCTATGAAAGAGCTAGCCAAAAAATTTGTGACATCAATTGGGGTTGGGCCATTAAAATCTAAACAAGCTGACAAATTTGTGTTGTTTTTGCTTGATGGGATAAAGTTTGCTTTAAACGATAAAGAAAATTTCCCTATTTTAGAAGCACTGAGCATGTTCATAGGGAAAAATTATATAAGTCAGTCTCAAATGAAAGATTTATATGAAAAAATATCAAAAGATTCTGATAAAATAATCGAAGTTTTAAAAACTGGAGAAAATAATGCAGAGACCTATCCATTAGAAAAATTTGTGTATTTATTAAGCAAACAAGTAGGATTATCAAGGACTGCACCTATTGAGCCCAGCGAAAATGACAAAATGGTTATTGAAAAGACTAAAAAAACCTCTAAAATGAAAACACCACCTAAATCAACAGCGAAAAAATCAAAAGAAAAGCCAGCTCAAAGTGAAAAGAAAAAAACTAGCCAAGAAGAAGACAAACTGAATAAAACAAATAAAAAAGAAGAGCCAAGCTCAAGCCAAAGACCTAGAAGAGCTGCAAAAGACAAAGCTAAATTAATTTCAGAAAAAAAATCCAAGAAAAAAGAAGACAATAAAAAAAGAAAAGAAAGATCACCAATTGAAGACGAAGAAGAGCCAGTCGCCCGGACAAGAAAAGCAGCACTTAGAAGGAAATAATAATTTGTTAATATAATAATTACATGCTTAGCTGCTTACTATATACGAAAACGCTACTTGTAAGCCATTTTCAATCCCCTTTACAATTTCTTCTGGATTTTCTTCCATATCAATATAAGCTTCTTGTACATTTAACGATTTCCTGCATATAGGACAGCTTTGGCTTCTTTCTTGTCAATCAATAATATCAATGTCACAAAATGCGTGACCACAGGTCAAAACAGTGTTCGCGTACCTTTCAAGGCAAATTGAGCATTCAGTATCTCGGTCAGGAGTTCGGCTTTGGATTCTCATAGTTGACATTGTTTTTACATACATAAGATTATCATATACAATTGCTAAATTTTCTATAGGGTTTTTGTATTATATATGGCGTCATTAAGATTTTTTAAGGCTAATTGGGAAATTTAAGGTAAAAAGTATAGTAAAATTGAGCCAATTTTTTGCCTTTGATCTTCTAGTCTATAGACTTGAATTAATCTACTACGAGGTCTATGAGACAAAAATCGAAATGGAGGCCCTCTTTGGATGTGAAACTCAAGCCTCATGCCTGCAAATTTGTAAAACTCATTGGAAGTGGTAAATTTGTTAAGATCGGCGATCGCGGATTTTAGTTTTCTATAGGTGTTTCCCATTTATCAGTTTGTAATTTAAAGAAGTTGGAATTTTAATGCAGATTTAAGTAAAAAGAATAATCAATTTCATTATAAGCAGATTTTCAGTGAATAGTTTTGCATTTAAATCCAAATTTATATTAGATTTAGAAGTAAAAAATTATAATATCACAAATAATTAATTCTAAATATCAGAAAAATTCCAAATTTTGACAGTTTGGTCTGACGATCCTGATATAAGCTTGCTGCTATCAAACTTCAAGCAAAACACTGCTGCTGAGTGACCTTTCAATATCTGCCTCGGCTCACTTGTTTTTCTCAAATCCCAAATCCTTATCGATTTATCATAAGACCCACTAGCAACCCTCTTAGCGTCATCGTCATAATCCAAGCACATAACATGTGACAAATGCCCTTTAAGCGTATTTACACATTCCAAGCTCCTCAAATCCCACTGTTTAACCGTATTATCCGCACTCCCTGACAATACACTAAAATTGCTTCTCTTCACCGCATTGACTGCTTGTGTATGGCCTACTAGATTTCCTATAAGACTCCCTGTATCAATTTCCCACAGATTAATTGTATTTCTTCTACACCCAGCGATTATTTCATTATTTTGAAGCTGAATACAAGAAATGGCATTCCCTACGTCATTAAATAAAGTCTGCACATTGGCTTCAGTTTCTAAATCTCAGACCTTTATTGATGCATCCCATGACCCTGAGCATAAAAGCTGCTCATTTGCGTCTAAACAGCTGATTCATTCTAAATGGCCTCTTAAGGTAGACTCACATTTGCCGGTATGCATATTTCAGAGCTTGACTGTTCTGTCATAAGACCCAGTAGCGAGCTTAAAATTGGGAATTTGTAAGCAGCACCATATAGGCCCACCATGGCCATAAAAAGATATTAATTTTGAGACAGCTTGGGTTTGTAAATGATGCTGCTGAAAAATGCCGCTTTCTTGTGGGTGGGGCTCGTTTATTTGCCAGAGCATTGCTGAACTATCGTCTGAGCCGCTTACAAATAAATTGCTGCCGTGTATGTAGTCTATACAAGTAACACTTCCTGAGTGCCACTTAAGGGTAGATACGACTGGTCTTTCATGGTACCACTTCATTTCTCCTCGGTATTTTTCAGCGTATTTTTCAATATAATTATTCTCATCTTCGATTTCTCGATTTCATCTTCCTATATAAAGCTTCTTCCAGAGCATATTATTTTTGCATATTGCATTTAATTCTTTATTGACGCATGCAAGTGTGGCGAGCTCTTTGAATTCTAAAAATTCGATCACTAAATTCATAAGGTTTTTTTTATTTTTTTATATAAAAAATGATATTTTTTTAAAAAAAAATTTTAATAAATTCATAACATCGCCTGGCAATTTCGGCCAAAATTGGAAAGAATTTTGACTATGTGTGACATTTTGTAGGTTTTCTCGGAAAATTTCTTTCTGATTAGCAATTCTATTTTCGCACTCTTCCTCTTCTTTAAAAATGTGCCCAAATAAATATTCAAATTGTTCTGGCTTCAAATTGAGGTCTTGTTTTATGGTGACTAAAATTCCTTTTAATAGCTGAATGTTATGATAAGCTTTGCGGAGTTCGAAATTCTTTAATTCTAGCTCTCTACGAAAGAGATCAGTTAGATTGCATTGATTTTCAAGAAGCTGATGAAGATCTTGACCTTTTTTCATTATATTTTCCTACTAGGAAAATGGATAAACTGTTTTTTAAGTTAATTAAATTTAAAGTTTAACCCTCTGGACAATCTTAAAGAAAGGCTTAGAAGCTTCTTTTATCGCTGGGATTTCGCCAATTTCTCGCATCCACCTACAAATTTCAGGGTATTTTTCATAGTTGAAATTTACCAAATAAAGCTGAATTGCTTCACAATAGCATGAAATGTCAGCAATTGACGGCCTTTGAGTTCTACCTACATAAAGGCCTTGTTTTAATATATTTTCAATAAATTTAAACGAAAGGTGCTGAGACCTCAAAAATTCTTTTTCAAGCTCTTCAGAAATTTGTTGGCCGGTTATCTTAGGCAGGATTTTTTTATGATATAAAAATGATGAGACTGCATGCCTTATATTAGCATGATGCCAGTGCAAATAACAGTCAATTTGAGCTCGGATTTTAGGATCTCTAGGATATCATTGTTCGTCTACAGGGAAAACTGAAGCTAAATAAGTGAGAATTGCATGGCTTTCTACAAGAGTAAAGCCTTGATGGACTATTGTTGGCAGTTTTTGGGTTGGAGAAATCGCTTTAAATTCGTCTGTAAGAGTCTGGCCTTTAAAAATTCTGATTTCTCGAATTTCATATGGGATTTGATTTATCATCATATATGCGAGAACAGCGCGACATGGCTGGGATATATAGTCCATATAAAGAATTACCCTGTTAGGGTCTGTTGAGTTCTGAATACTTGAGGCTGAGCTCATATTAATTACAATGGATATAGAAAGAATAAAGGAAAAATTAGAATTGAGGGAACAGCAGCTGAGGATTATGGCTGAGCAGCTTTCAGAGCATTTGGCGACTTTAGCTACAAATGACCAAAAAATTCAAGAACTTGATGAGAGATTTAATTTTCTTGAAAAAGAGGCGAAGAAGAAGCAGGAAATGCTGAATCAAGAATTAGCGAATAAAGAAATTCTTTTATCTCAGCTGCATAGTTTAGAGTCACTATTTGAAGGCTCTGTAGCTAAAAAAGAAAAACAAGTCCTTAAGCCAAAAATAAATGAAGAATTCAAGACAACTAGCAATTTTGTGGAATTTTATAGCAAAATACAATTTCAGCCTCAAGTGAATTCTTTTAAAAATTTTCCTCAGTTTCCAGATTCTTTCGATACTAAAGGTATTGATTTAGGCTTGGTAAAATCAATATCGAGTGGCAAAATTGATATAAAAACAGAATTAAAGAAGATGGGAATAGAAATTTAGTAAATATCTAGATGAGCTATTGATTTATATATAAATAAGTCTAAGCTAGTATAGAATACTAATTGTTTGTTTACTTACCCCATTTTTGAGCAAAATTAATAGAAATCCTCTTGCTTATATCATTTTCTTTGAATCTGACATATGATCATAATTTTATTAAATGGAAAGTAGTTAGCTTAGACAATTATATATTGGAGGTTTTTTGCTTTCGATTTCTCATTCGAAAGGTAAAGTGATGCTCAATTTTAACTCTAATGTCTTACTTTGATCGAAATTTTTCATATTGATGATAATTTTGGATTTTTTGACATTTTTTCATTATATTTGAGTTATATTATTATCACAAATATTTAAAATGGCAGTCAGGGATGGTTCTACAGTCCTAATCCACCAGGCCGGACCCATGTACCAAGTTCAGTGAGAAGTATAACTTCTTGAGAGCTTCGGCTTGAAGAGGGAGGTCTGTGCTGAGGCTGGCACAGACTAGAGAAGTATGAAAGGGCTTGACAATTTTAACGGTTCAACGGTTAGGCCGGTTCACCTACCATTTTTCAGAGCTGTTATCATAGCTGAAACTCAAGAATGACTTAGATGCATTCAATGAATGCTAGAGACTTCTATTAAACTTAAACTTAAATTTAAACTTAAATATTATTATGTTTAATTTATAATTAATTACTTAAACGATGGATTCCCTTTTTTCAAGAGTCAGAATATCGGAATCTCAACCCCCGATGATGAATTGCTGATCGAATATCAACTGAGAAGCACCAAGCCCTAGTCTAGATATTGGCGCGCATATAAATCCGTGATCAGCCTTTGAGAATAATTTTCTGAGTCCGAAACCGGTGTCCCAATCTTATACAGACCTTCAGACTCAATTACAACTACATCCTCAAGCCATGCAAACCCTTCAACAGCTAGAAAGGCAGATTGAAGAAGAAAAAACACAGCGTATCCTTTTGGAGCATCGCTTAGTCGAACTGGACGGAAAAGTAACAAACCAGCAGGTTACTATGGATGAGGCTTTGTCCCAGCACTGGAATGCTCTTCTAGACAGCTATAATTCCTTAGCAGACTGAGTTTTAACAAGGTTTATAGAGTTCGAAACAAGCCTCAAGCAGGCGGTTGAATCTGCATTCGGTATTAGATCATCCAAGTTTGCAAATGCGTTCATCGCAAGTCTTGAAGCGGTGCAAGATCTCGAAGCCTTAATACAGAGTCCTGAGCAGTCTCAGATACCGGCTAGGCAATTTTCCGATCACATTCCTGTCCAGCAACCCTTATTCGACCCAAGCCTAGAAGATAGGTTGGCCCACCAGATTGCAACGAAGGCAGACATAGGCCAAATTTTCCAGCTTGAGGAATCCGTAAGGAGGCTAGTTTTCATGCAACAAGGTCTCGTGGCAGAGCTGAAGGAAGAAAAGAGCGCAATCAGAAAATTGGAAGAGGACATGGAAAGTACAAAGCCAGATTTGATATTGGCACTGGAATTGAAGTGTAGAGAATACCAACAAGAGGTGGCGCGACTTCAGCAAGGCTTCAGGGGCCTGGAAAAAAAAACTTACTTCCCCTCCCCATCCTTGATCGAATGGCTCGCCATCGTTCGATCAAGGATGGGGGTTAAAAAAAAAATTATATATAAAATAAAAAATATATGTTTTTTTTATATATTTTTAAATAAGAGGGTTAAGAGTATTTAATAATTATTTTTACTGCAAAAAATTGAATTAATTTCATAAAAATACCAATTTTTAATATTTTGATTTATTAGTTACCCCTTTAAATTGTATAAATTTTAATTTGTTCCTTATTGAATTAAAAATTTTAAATTGTAAAAAGAATCTCTATTTTTAGATTATTGAGTTTTTAAGCCTAGGTTGATGACTAAATCACTTCGGATGGTTAATTTCGTAGCTTCTTGTCGTCTCAAAGCCTCTGAAAACAACTTCATTAGGCACATCTTCCCAAGCTTTTGATATCTAATATATTTTTTATAGATATAAAAATTTGCATGGTATGAAAAATCGTTCGATCAAGGATTAGGGTTAATTTCCCCAAATTTTAGAAATTTTTTACAGTCAATCGTTCGATCAAGGATGGGGGACTTAAGAAAATGAAGGAAAAAAGAAAGAATAAGGAGAAGCTGCATGATGAAATACTAAAGAAGAACCTCATGGATATTATGACTCAGGGCAAAAAAATAATAGACCTAGAGAGGCAACAGCATGACCTGCATTATAAAAAAGTTCTAAAATACTTCAAAAATGTCAACAGCTTGGCCGAAAATATGCCTCAAGATAAGAAGGCTGCGAAGTTGACTTGATCTGGATTTGATGAGCTCATTGACGCGGATCTTAGAAAGTTCAAGAAGGACACCTATGAACAAATCATAAGACAGACTGAAGAATTAAAAGCGGAATTAATTCAAAACGTGGAGAAAACACTTGAAGACACAATAAAGACGAATGTTCAGAAGTTGAGAAAAAAACTGAAAGGGAGCCTTGGAAATGATCTTTTAAACCTCCAAGACAGGATTGCAACCTTGAAGGCAGTAGCGGGCCTTATGAGAGAAGCAGATATAGCAAAAGTTGGTGCTGAAAAGGAGATCGAGGAGAGATCAAATAAATGCGAGAGATACCTAGAAGAAATGATGGAAAGTCTAACGAGGAAGAATGAGAAATTGATACAGGATGCACTCCAAAATATAGAAGGGAGTGAAAACCTTCAGCTAGGTATTATTCAAACTATGAACAGCTTCGTGAAACTTATTCAGTCTCTACAAGACCTTTTGAAGCATGGGTCGTCCTCATCCTCCTCGAATCAGATTGAAGACCATTCCCCTGAGGAGGAGTTATTGTGGAGGAAAAGGCTAAAGCAGATTACCCTAACTCCCCCCATTCTTGATCGAACGATTGACTGTAAAAATTCCCTAAAAATTGGGAAAATTAGCCCCCATCCTTGATCGAACGATTTTCATATCATGACAATTTTTATATATATAAAAATATATTAGTTATCAAAAGCTTGGGAGATGTGCCTAATGAAGTTGTTTTCAGAGGCTTTGAGACGACAGGAAGCTACGGAATCACCCATCTGAAGTGCTTTAATCATCAACCTGGGCTTAAAAACTCGATAATCTAAAAAAATAGAGATTCTTTAAAATTTAAATTTATACGTTTAAAGGGGTAACTAAAAATTCAAAATATTAAAAAATTGGTATTTTATGAAATGAAATAATTCAATTTTTGCAGTAAAAAAATGATTAAATACTCTTAACCCTCTTATTTAGAAGTATATATAATAAACATATATTTTTTTAACCCCCATCCCCGATCGAACGATAGCGAGCCGCTCGATCAAGGATGGGGGAGTAAGACAATTTCGGAAGCGGGTATGGGGAGCTTATCGCATTTATCCGACATGGGCTAGAAAGGGTTTGGAGAGCCTTTGCCAAATTGAATTGTATGACCCCATGAATAAGGATAAGGACAGAGATAAGAAACTCCTAGACGATGACCTCTACAAGGACTTTATATCGATGAGGGAGAAAGGTCAAAATCGTTACTCGGAGTTCTACAGTGGGAAAACCGTAGAGATCCCTCTCCATGAAGATAGATCTGACCCGGAGACTCTGGAATTCGCACTGAGTCTAATTGTAAATTTCCCTATTCTAGAAAGGGTAACGGGGGAGACAATCCGTTCAGCAATGAAGAACCTAGGTCTTCTAGTTGAGTTTACCTCTAATTTTCCTATGAGGATCTCCTATATAGCATACGCGAGAAATAAGGAGGACTTACTTACTTATACATTAATAGGCAGGTGCCGTATTGCTAACGCAGTCACCAAGGACCAATATTAGGGTTCACCTTTGCGGTATAGTCTCAACTGGCCATAGAGACCAGCCAAGGAGACATACAACTCCTCCTTCCCCCGAAAACCCGCGGCTTAAGTGTTGAGTGGGCGGGCTATGGATTTCTGCGGCTGCTGCTTGAGTTGACGAGAGAGTTGGCTTTCCGAAATTCCAAAAAATGGATTTTCTGGTCACCTTTCGGCAAAAAGGGAAATTCCAAGTCCTGGGACGTAACGCCCAGTTTCACGCTAGGTAGTTGCCCGAATGGTCTAGGCATTGCCTGCAGACTCTGCTGGGCTTACCCTTTCCAAACCTGGACTTCCTTTCCTCTCGAGGAGAAAATCCATTCTGGTCGTTGAGCATGGTCAGGCTCTGCTCTGCAGAATTGCTTACCTTGGTATTGTTGCTCATTTCCTGAATGGCAAAACCTTGCCGGATATAATTAAAATATGAGTCGAGTATGTATGGCTGAGAGGCCATACCCAGACGAAGACGCCATATTTTAATTATGAGAAATAAGGAGGACAGTTTCACTAGAGAATTACTCAGACGCCTTTCACTTGAGGGGGTCCGGATTCAGGAAAAGAGAAGTAGGGCCTACAGTGGAGACAGAAGAGTGTGGACAATCCAAAACCGTCCAAACATCGAGGATGCAGGGAAGATCTTTCTTATCGACGGCTCAGTCCTGAACTTGGCCACAGAGGAAGGCATTCAGGAGGTTGCCAATAAACAGCCTAACAAAGAGCTGGAGACAAGTGCCTATATGGTATCACAGAGAGCTTTACTGTAATCTTAATTGACTTTAATAATAGTTTTAATCCTTACGGCTTAACTTCTTTAGATGCAATAATACATATCGCTTCCTTCAAAATCCCTATGGGGGAGGATTGCTTGATAATCAACATATATATCATTTATACCTTAAAATTCATACTTTACTCAAATTTGAGCCATAGTATGCGTAGGGTTATAAATAGTTATAATTTATTATAGAAGTCTCGGTAAATAAGTGTAATGAGTGGACATTTTAAATGCTATTATTTAATCAAAAAAATAGCAACGCTTGTGAGACAACAGTAACTGTAGCATTACTACAATTAAAGAAATAAGCATCTTCAATAATGTTTAAAACAGTTTCTAATGGATTTCCTAATTTGTTAGTGATGAATTGATTTTCTTAATGCAAAATTATTAAATTGCTTTTATATAAGAAGTTTAATAAAAGCCAATTTTATTAATGCTCATTAAGCGAAAATGGGGCATTTTGCAAAGCCCCTCAAAGCCTAACTTCTCTTGAATGTCCCTTTGTAATATTAGTTTATAACATTAATACTTTGGAATGATAAAGATAAACCTTCTAGTTATATATAAAGTCTCATTTTACAGGCGCGCTTATATTAATAAGAAAATTACTTTCTGCATTTATAGGAACGTTCGGAATATTTGCAGTAAATTGTTTATGATAGTCTTTATCACTTAGTTTTGTTATAATATTTCATAGTAAAGCTGCTTGAATCATTCTAAACTCATCGCACTAGAATTTTTCTAGTTGGCATAATATTTTATTGTAAATAATTTTTAAGTTTTAACATTTTCTTACTAATCGCATTAATTGCCACTGAATTAATGAAGATCATGCTCCAAACTTGAATAAAGAAAAAAAAACTGGAATTCATTTTGATGCCAGACTAGAAATTATTATAAAATTGATGATGAATATAATTTTGAAGCTGTGATTGAAAATAAATATCAGAAAACCGAAAATTATTAGATCAGATTTTCAAAGCTTAATTGCTGCAGCATGTAGTCTTGGGATTACAAAGAAGCTGCCAATTAAGCACTATTTAATTTTAGATTATCTGACTGATAATAGAATAGCTCAGAAATTTGACTTTTTTTTCCATACTGAAGGGAGAAGCAGGGTAGCAATAATCCATGAATATAAAGAAATCAATAACGAAAATTAAATGTATGCCAATAGATATTTAAGGATAGCATTGAATCAAAATGATAAATCTGATTGAGAGGCAATCGATTACGATAATTAGGCATTTAAGGTCAAAATCACACTATTACCTCTAAACGACCAGCTCTCCGGGGAAAATTCTAAAAGCGAATTTTTAACCTGCTCAATCAGTATCAAAAGCTTTCTGCATATTATATTTGCTATGTTGAATGCTGTTCTTTTAACTCACTCTGAGATTGCCTATGATGCATGCTATATAATAATTATAGCAATTTTTGGGATTTTCACTTTGTTTAGGAAACCGTGTAATTACGAAAAGGCTTCCATTTGGTGGTGTCTGTTTTTGGATTTGTTGTGAAATTGCTCAATTTAATGCAAATGCTGCTTAATCTCTTATCGGAATAGGTAGGCTTTTATTAGGGATTATAGGAATGATATTGAAATTTTCCATTTCTTTTGGAGTCTCCAAAAGGGCAAGACATTTTTAGCCTCTTTAAATTTCAATTGTCCAAAAGATCACCTTTCAAACTGGAGTGCTTCGTTCACTCCACCCTCCTCCGTGAGTGAAAAATAAATTTATTCGTTCACAAAGGGGGTTAAAGAATTTTGATATATATATTTTTTTTATGGTAATTTTTTTTCAGATTTTAAAAATCATATAGAAACCAAAATTAATTTAAATGTGTAAAATTTATGATATTTCATTATAGTAATTATCACTTGTTTATATATCAGAATAATTTTTAAAAAAAAATATATTAATTTTTTTCACTCTCAAAATGTAAAAAAAATATGATTTTTTCCAATGGTTTGTTTACTCATGGAGGGATAGGAGTCAGAACTTTAATTCACTTATCAAAATTATGATAAAAAAGTGAATTTTTCAGTGAAGAAGATTTTAATTAATTCATAAAATAATTTTTGAATTTTCTAATTTTTTAAAATCTGTTATAATTGTATTTTATAGTAAATTTATAATTGTTGCTTTAAGAAATTTAATAGTTGAAATATTGAGATTGTCGCTTTAAAATAATAAATATTATATCAGTGCTTTAATATACTTATGACTAAACGCATTAGCTAGACCATTATAATAAATTATAATAAGGCAATTAATTTCATTGCTTCTCAGAACATCATGATTAACTGAGTAACATAATTATTTTTGGAATGCTAAAAGAAAATCGAATTCATATAAATTAAAGTTTGTAAAATTTTTTTATATTGAAAATACTTAAGTTTCTTTTTATAGCAAGAAGATTGATAAATTTTCTTAAGTCTATCATATAATAAAACTTAATTTAAATTCCTTATTTAATATTAAATATTGAAATTTTTACATATATGTTTTGCAACCTAATGATAGACCAGAATTTGTTAGATAATTTTCTTTAGTAATAATAAAACATTCAAAATTGATGCTTTCCGAAAGATAAAGCAGAGGCTTAAAACTAGCAATCAATAGTGCATAATACCTTCTATATTGTTCGGAAAGTTTCTGTTATTTAAAGGGTGAATAAATGTACAAGCTTAATAAAATTAAAATGCTAGGGAAATTCATTAAATTTTGGCTTCTGCTCCTTTATGGAATAGTATCGGGCCAATATCTCAATGTTCCAATTCTATATAGTCAATATACACCAAAGCCTGCAGTAGATATGATATGGAAAGAATTTAATTGTCCAGACATCAGTTATCCATGATGCTATGGGAATCCTTATGCATTTTTCATGCCTTTTGAAATAAATGACGTAAAAGATTTTGAAGAATTCATATCAAACCAAGATATTATTTTTATTTTAGACATCACTCTTTCGTCAGTAATAAGCTCCTACATCAGTTCGAATACAGAAATCTATCAATTTATCCATCTCGTTCTCGACTATACTCCCTCTACTATTCCAGCATTAACTTATTTTTCAACTAATTATATCACTGGGTTCCGAGATTCAGCCATTTCTCTAGTAAAATATTTTGGCTTACAAAAAGTTGCTGTACTTTTGAGTCAGGGAAACTCAGAAATGGATTTTCGAGTAGCCTCTGATATTGAGGTAGTTTTTCAAGCTATTCTTCCAGCTGAACTTTCTTATGAAACCATTTATATCATTGTATCTAAACAGATTAAGCCACTTGGCATAAAAACAATTATTATTGCAACTGATGAGTATCTTTCTAAGCTAATCCAGCAAGCCATTTTAGAAGCTGAGATGGATAAGAATGAGTATGTCTATGTTTTCATCCATCAAAGTGCTTATACTGCTTATCTTGAAGGAGCATTTTTAATCGAAGATTATGGATGGATATCTAAAGGCTATGTGAATTATGCAGCTGATTTAATTAATATCGCAGCTAGTTTTCCAATCAGACTTTTGTATTCATATCCTATTACAGGGTCGTATTCATTATATACATATTACAGAGTTTTGATCAGTAATATTAATCTTTATAGATTCTATTTTTTCAATATACAAGATAGTGAAGCAATTTTGTTAGGAAATATCGATAATAGGGTTGTTAACCCATATGGTCCAATTACATTCAGAGGAGGTGTGATTCCTGATAATTCAAAGATTAAACTCCCAATAAGTATTTCAGGTGGATATGCTAATCCAGATGGATCTAAATATTTCTTTAATGCAGAATGTCAATATGGGTCAGTAAGTGCTGTAAATGCTATTAATACAGAATTTAATATTCTTGAGAATTTTGATCTTATTATATACAATATAACAGATTGTGGGGCTTCTTATTTTGATGGTAGTTATGCAAGTAAATGTTTTAGTAAGCATAGAAATGATTTGGGCTATTTTCATGTCCCTTCTCAACAAATTTCTATGATTGACGGTACTATGACTGTTTTTAAAGCTTTAAATATTTCAGTCCCTGTATTAGGTGTCCAAGCTTCAGCATCATTAAACAGTGATTATTTCCCTCAATATACAAGTGTGTCATTTTCCAACACTTATTCAGCAAGTGCCATCGTATTTCTTCTGGCTTCATATCGAATTAAAAGAGTTTCGCTACTTTATCTTGACAATTCTTCAGGAAAAAATTTTAAAAATATTTTTGTAAGCCAAGCAGAAGCGTATAAAATTGAAATTTTAAATAAAAATCAAGCAATTCCAAGTGATTATAATGGGACTGATAAATCCATGCTCCGAGAGATCGTTGATATAAAATCGAGATATGTTGTGATAGAGGTAACTAATACAGAAGTGTTTTCAGTAATAAATGGGTTCTATGAATTAGGAATGAGAAAAGGAGACCTTTACTTAATTTTTACAGGAGGCTTTAGTGTATCAAACTCCGATATCGTTGAAAGTGAGCATACACAACTATTAGAAATTGCAGATGGATCTCTTTATATAAGATTTTTGTCATTCTATGGCTCATATGGAAAACAAATTTATTCAAAATTTGAGCAAGAGTATGGGCTCGTAAATGATTACATGTGTCTATTTTATGATGCAACTTATTTAGGAGCTTATGCAATAGATTCAATGATAAGCAGGGGATTTAATTTAAATAGCTCAGGGATTGAAGAATGGATAAGAAAAGTTCAGTTTAGAGGGTGCTCTGGAAATGTCCAAATAAGCAAAAGTGGAAACGACAGGTCTACTATAAAGGTAGGGGTTTATAATCTGAAATTAAATAATGCCAGCTGAGATATCACATTAAGTGGAGTTTATGACCCTACAAAAGCGATAGTTTTAGAAGCTTTAGCTGATATTTCATGATATACTGAAAACAATGGGGTTCTTCCAAGTGAGATTATTGGGGATGATTTATCTTGCCCATTTAAGTCTGATGAAGTAAGGTCATTCCCATATGGATACTTAATTATCGTTATCATTGGAGTTCCTTTTCTCATTTTTGACATCTATTTTCTCTATAAAAATTTCGGAAGAAAATTTTCCCAGCTTCAATGTAAAACTGAAGAAAATATACTAGACACTTTGCAATATTTTATAATGTTAATTGAATGCTTGCAATACATAGCTATTGGTCCTGATTTTAAAGATCTATTTCCTGAGTCTTTTAATAGAATCACTAAAATTTCAACACTAGATCTACGGGGCTGGAATCCAAAATATGAATTCAAAATTTGGTACCAAATAACCTTAATGGAGTCTTTTTTAGGCCTTTGGCTTGTTTTCTTGGTTTTAAGTATTTTTGAGTTCTGGAGAAGATGAAAAATATCGTTAATCATCATAGTCAGTGAAATTGGAAAAATCTGCCTTCCTATTATAGGAGATATTTTATTTTTGCCTATGATTTGGTTTTTATTGCTGACTTTTCAATGCACAGAAAGTATCGGCGATAAGTTTACAGAGAGTTTTCATAATCAAGACTGCACTGTTTTTTGCTGAAAAGATGACCATGCGAAATATGTAGTTGGGTCAATTTTTTCAATTTTGGTTTATTTACCTACAAGCTTATATTATAGACCTGATTTAAAAGATAATATTGGAGATATGGTTTTTCACTTTAAAGAGCATCCTTGTAATTCAACTATCAAAAGCTTTATGCAGATTCTTTTAGTAATTCTTAATGTTGCATTGCTGCCTTACTCTGATACTGCTCATGCGGTCTGCTTTATTTTTATTATTGGAGTTTTTGGGGTGTTTACATTATATAGAAAGCCTTATAGCTATGATAGAGCTTCTCTATGGTATAGCTTATTTATTTTTAGTTGTGCTTGGCTTTGAATTTGCTGTGAGTTTGCAAGAATTAATGTGGTTTTTGGGGAATGCATTTTGGCGGTTGGCTGGCTTTTGCTAATTGCTATTGGAGTTATTTACCAAAAACGAAAACTTCCTTCATTTTTGGAGACTCCGAAAGGGCAAGATATTTTGAGTCTTTTTAAGTTTCAGTTATCTAAACTATCACCTTCAGAAGCTGGAATTCGGTCTTCAGCAGTTTATATTTATGTGGACAATAGTAGTGAAGATATTGGGAAGAGTGATATTTATAGTGAAAATTCTTCTTTAAGATTTTTGCGTTAATTTAAAGTATGATTATAAATTTAAAATGATTAAGAGTTATCATTTAACAGATTATAAATTTAAATTAGTCGACTTCTTCAACATTTGGCCCTCCGCCAGCTGTTTGCCCTCCAGGGAAACCTCCTGGCATACCTCCAGGCACTCCACTAGGCATTCCACCAGGACTTTCACCAGGACTTTCACCAGTAGTTCCGCCTTGTTGGTAAATTTTTGCCATAATAGGATTACTCACCCTTTCCAATTCTTTTTGTTTTTCTTCATACTGATCCACCCTTGCACCCGGATTTTCTTCTACCCACTTCAAAATTTCTCTGATTTTCCATTCTAAGCTTGACAATTCAGACTGTGGAATTTTTGCCTTGACACTATTATCAGTTGTACTATTCCTCAAATTATATGCAAATCCTTCAAGGCTATTTCTGGCTTCAACTCTTTTCCTTTGCTCTTCATCTTGGGACTTATATCTTTCAGACTCGTTTACCATTCTATCAATTTCGTCTTTTGATAATCTTCCTTTATAATTAAAATATGGCGTCTTCGTCTGGGCATGGCCTCCCGGCCATGCAGCCTCGACTCATATTTTAATTATATCCGCAAGGTTTTACCATTCTAGAGATGGACGGCAATACTAGGTAAGCAATTCTGAATGTGTTCAGAGCCTAGTCCTAGTCTAATCTCAAGGGTGGATTTTTCCTCGTGGGGAAGGAGGGCACGGGAGTTGGGAAAGGGGAAGCTCAGCAGAGTCCTTTGGACCATCGGGCAACTCCCTAGCGTGAAACTGGGCGTTACGTCCCAGGCTACGTGCTTTTCCTTTTTGCCGACAGCTGACCAGAAAATCCATTTTTTGGGTTTTCGGAAAAGCAACCCATGTAACAAGCAAGCAGCTCATCCATGAGCCGTCGAAGTCGGAACACTTTCCTAAGAAGCACCCTGGTGATCAAAGCAGGCCATCCCCAGTGACCTGTGGGCCCGATGTGACGAAGGCGAGTGATAGTACCTGGGTTGCCACCCCGTAGTGGAGGTTAAACGCTATAAATTCTATAAGATAAGATTAGATAATCTTCCTTTATCATTAGTAATGGTAATTCTTTCAGATTTTCCTGTACCTTTATCTATAGCATGGACATTTAAAATGCCGTTAGCATCAATATCAAAGGACACTTCTATTTGTGGGACTCCTCTGGGAGACGGAGGGATGCCTTCAAGATTAAATTTTCCTAACAAATGGTTGTCATGAGTCATTGACCTTTCTCCTTCATAAACTTGTATACAAACCCCAGGCTGGTTATCAGAGTAAGTAGTGAAAACTTGTGTCTTTTTGGTAGGAATTGTAGAATTCCTAGGTATCAAGACAGTCATAACACCACCTGCCGTTTCAATCCCAAGTGAAAGCGGAGTTACATCAAGTAATAAAACATCACGAATCTGACTTGAGCCTTCACCTGTTAAAATTGCTCCTTGGACAGCAGCCCCATAAGCTACAGCTTCATCTGGATTAATAGATTTGCAAGGCTCTTTTCCTCCAAAATAATCTTGTATCAGCTGCTGCACCTTCGGAATTCTTGTAGAGCCTCCGACTAAAACTACTTCATTTATCTGATTTTTCGATAAATTTGCATCATTAAGGACTCTTTCTACAGGATCGAGGCATCCTCTGAAATAATCCATATTTAATTCTTCAAATTTGGCTCGGGTAATAATAGTATTGTAATCAATTCCTTCAGACAGTGCATCAATTTCAATACTAGCTTGAGTTGCTGACGATAAAGTCCTTTTTGCTCTTTCACAAGCAGTCCTGAGTCTTCTTAAAGCTCTATTATTGCCTCTTAAGTCGACGCCTTTTTTCTTTTTAAAGTCATCTACACACCAGTCTACAAGCCTATTGTCGAAATCTTCGCCTCCTAAGTGAGTATTTCCAGCTGTAGCTTTTACCTCAAAAATCCTTTCTTCTATTGTCAATAATGACACATCAAAAGTGCCTCCTCCCAAGTCAAAAATCAAAATATTCTTTTCTCCTTGGCCTTTTTTATCTAGCCCATACGCAATAGCAGCAGCTGTAGGCTCATTAATAATTCTTTTCACGTCAATCCCTGCAATAATCCCTGCGTCCTTAGTCGCCTGTCTTTGAGAGTCGTTAAAATAAGCGGGAACTGTAATAACAGCACTTTTCAATGATTTTCCTAAATAAGCTTCAGCGATTTCTTTCATTTTGGTAAGCACCATGGCTGAGATTTCTTCTGCGTAAAACCTTTTTTCTTCTCCTCTGAATCTTACAACCACTTGGGGCTTGTCGTCAGGACCTCTGATGACTTTAAATGGCCATAGCTTCATGTCTGACTGCACTATAGGGTCATTATATTTCCGGCCTATTAGTCTTTTGGCATCAAAGACGGTATTTTCTGGGTTTCTTGCGACTTGGTTTTTAGCTGAGTCACCTATAAGACGGTCTGTATCTGTGAAGGCGACGTAGGAAGGTGTGGTACGGTTGCCTTGGTCGTTTGCGATTATTTCAACTCTGTCATTTTGCCAGACACCTACACAACTATAGGTTGTCCCTAAATCAATGCCAATGCATATATCACTTGCCATTTTTATTTTATCGGATGGTTATTGATGATTCGGAATTTATTTTTGATAGAAATTTCTGGAATTGAAAAATGTGGAATAAGGAGGAACGAGGGTAAGTCGCAAGAAAATCGGATTTCAGAATGTAAAATAAATTTGTAAGGGTAATAGAAGTGGCTTGAAAGGCAAATGATTTTTTTTCTGAAAATTATGTCAGAAATAAATATTGGTAAATGGTGTTAAAAAATGTTTATTACTAGGGATGGCATTTTAATTTGATTAATAAATTTTATGTTTCTATTTTAGTTAGACCTAAAGAATTCTTTAGACAACTTATTAATAAGACTTTGATTTAAAGAGCGCAAAAACTTTGAATTAAAACAAGGCTAATTTCTTAAGTCGATAAATTAGCTTTTTTCATTACATTGATACTTTTAAGATGGCTCTTTTTCAATAAATAATTTATTTTTAAAATCATTTCTTTATTCATAGCCTTTTTTAAGCCAAGTTCATATCATAAATTTAAAAAATCAATTTATTTTGACCCGAAAACTGATTTATTAGAAATTTCAACAGACTTATGTTATCATTAAAATAAACAAATTATTAATCGTAAAATTTATGACGTCTGAATATGGCAACTCTTTCCATTTCGTTTACTTCCTGTAGAATAATATGGACATCCGATACTCTCGCTATTCATGAGTATTTCTTGGGATCATCATCTGAATCGGCACCATGAATAACGCCCAGAGATTTTGTAATCATTACTCAGGCATCTCCTTCATTGCAGCAGGCAGCGACCTTTTAGAGGACACAAACACAACAAACACAGAATACGGGCTTATAACTGGCCCTGCCTTCTTACTTATCTATGCAATCGTAACTTTGCCAATGGTAATTTCTATTCAGGGCCATATAATCGATAAACTCCCAAGGCTCAAATGATTCATTTTAGGAATTTCTGCTCTTTTTAATTTGGCAACAATTGCTAACGCTCTCGCAGAAAATTTTTTGGGGCTGTTATGGCCTAGGACTTTACTAGCAATTTTTTCTGCTTGTTTGGACCCTGCTTGTTTTAGGCTGGTTGCGTTATATTTTCCTCCACTGATGAGAGGCATTGCTTATGGGCTATTTATCGTTTCTGTATATTTAGGCTCTTCTCTTGCTTCTTTAACGCTGATTTTAGCTGATTTAGTAGGCTGGAGGGCGTCATTTATTATTGTTGGAGCTTTTGGAGGAATTTCTAGCGTGGTTTTATGCTTATTTATAAAAGACGAAAGAAATATTTTAGAAGAAGATGGGTTTATTGAGAAAAAACAAAAAACTGGGGTAAAAGAAGACTTTAAAGAAGTTTTTAAAAATAAAACACTGATAATCACAATAATTGCGACTTTTTTCAGGTACACAAGTGGCTTTGCAAGAGGATTTTATGAAGCTTTATATTTCACTGAAGAATTTCCTAGTGATAAAATCGCATTTGCAGTCGTAAACGCAACAGCGACAGCTCTGGTGCCTATAAGTCTTATAACAGCTGGACGAGTGTCTGACTTAAAAGAAAAAGATGACAAGCCTAAATGGCGTCCTTTGATATGCGCTTTTACCAATTTATTTGCAGCGCCTTTTCTATATGTCGCTTATTTTGTGCCCGTTTTTTGGGTGGCGATGGCGAGTGAATATATAATTTTCATTGTGGGGGAGACTTATATTTCGATTTCGGTAGCCATGATGATGAATGTATCAACGCCTAGGGTTAGAGCTTTACGTAAATTTTAGTTAGAATCGGCAATGCTGCTTTGTGCGTCGTTTTTAGGGGGAAGCTTGTCAACTGTGACTTTAGGTGTTTTGAACTCATCAACTGAAGGTTTGAGGTATGGGCTAATTGGGATTGTGCCGACTGGATATTTGTTGGCGGGGGTGTTGTTTTTGCAAGTGTCCAAGCATTATCCGAAAGATTTGCCGAAAAATAAGGTTTTGGAAATTCCTGAAATAGAATAAAAATTCGACAAATAATTATAATTATTAAAGAGTTTACTCAATTCAAATTTATCTGAATTCTAGTCTGCATTGATGAAGAGACCTGGGTATTACAAATAAATTATGAAGTGGCTTTTAATATCATTGATTTTGCTATATAAAACACATATGAATTATTACTATAATCACTTTTTAATACAAACAGAAAATAATTTTTTCTCAAATCATCCCTAATTATCGTGAAATTTTCATTTCATCATCAAATTTTCCTCTTTAAATTAATCCACATTTTTAATATACCCATACTATTACACAGATTTTTGCTTATTCCTTAATTATTATTCTTCACTTAAACCTCCCTCACCACCGCTCTTTCAAACAAATAAATCCAAGCTTATCAATAACATTGCGTTTTAAAAAAATTAACACTTATTATAAATGTCGAACAAAAATCTAGCCAGATCTTCGTACATAAGAAGCCAGACTTCTATTGTTGACAGTATTGACAATGTCCAAGGTCTCTCATCTCGCTCCAACAACATAAAAGTTGTAGGCAGATTCAGGCCTCTTGTAGATTTTGAAAAAGTAATCCCCATATAGGCATTTTTAAACAACCGAGAAATAATTTCTTTCATCAATGATAAAACAGTGGCCATTGGTGAAGGGAAAGATAAAGAATCTTTTACACTTGACAGAATTTACGGCCCTGACTCCACAAACCAAGAAATTTTCGAGTTTGTTGGCAAACAAACCATTCTTGATGTAATGGACGGATACAACGGCACAATTTTTGTATACGGGCAAACAGGCTCAGGCAAAACCTATACGATGCTTGGAGACGATATATATGATGAAGATTCAAGAGGGATTATTCCAAGGGCTGCAGCCCAGATTTTTGATTCTGTTCAAAATAATGAAGAGGAGACTGAGTATATATTAAAATGCTCAATGGTAGAAATTTATAAAGAAACATTAAGAGACTTATTAGACGCAGAGCCTAAGCTGTTAAAAATAAAAGAAAGCCCAAGACGAGGGGTTTATGTAGAAGGGCTAAATGAGGTCTGCGTTACCTCAGAAATTGAAATGTTAGAGATTTTGTCTCTAGGAGAGACTATGAGAACAGTTGCAGCGACCAAACTAAACAAAATGTCGTCAAGGTCCCATTTGATTTTTATATTAGAAGTCATGCAAAAATACTCAAATGGCTCAGAAAAAAAAGGCATGCTAAACTTGGTAGATTTGGCAGGCAGCGAAAAAGTCCACTCAACAGGGGTAGCAGGGCCAAAAATTGAGGAAACCAAAAAAATCAATTTATCGCTGTCTGCGCTTGGAAATGTAATCCATGCTCTTATATCGAATAGTGACCATGTCCCTTACAGAGATTCAAAACTTACAAGAATTCTTCAAGAAAGCTTAGGTGGGAACTATAAAACGACACTAATAGTCGCCTGCTCACTTTCCCCTAAATCAGAAGAAGAAACATTAAACACAATGCGGTTTGCCCTACGAGCCAGGGCGATAAGAAATAAAGTCAGGGTAAATATGAGAGACGCCCCTGAAAACTACATACAGAAAATTGAATATCTAGAAGCCGAGCTCAGGACTGCAAAAACTGAAATAATCCAACTTAAAGGAGAAAACCCGAGAAAGTCAAGCCCAAATGTAAATAAAATGATGGGGAGAATGTCGACCATAAGCCTTGATAGCACAACATCAAGGAAAAGAAGAGGCAGCGAAATGAAGACAAAAGAGAATAATGGAGATATTAAAGTTATGGTGTCGCTAGATGAGCTCAGACAATTCTCAGACGAGCCGTCAAGAATTGAGAAGAAAAGCCCAAACCCTTTTCCCTTGTTTGAGCCAGACTCTCTTGCGTCATCTTTTAATTTCATCCCAGAAAAAGGAGCTTCTGATGCAGAAGTCGACTCAACGTCAAATTTCAGAGAAAATTTGAAACAAAAAGATGAAGAAATACAGGAGGCTAAAAAGAAAAACCATAGTCTGAAAAAAGAAAACCAAGCTTTGACTGATAAAGTTAGAGACTTAGAAGAAAAAATGGCATCAATGAGGGCAAAACAGCTGCAGACAGAACAAAAAACGCATGAGTATTATGATAATTACCATAAGACAGCTTTGCTTATAAACAAAGATGCAGCTGAAAATGCGTTATTGAAAAAACAAAACGAAAGCTTAAATAACCAAGTGAAACGATTAACCAAAGCTTTAATGGAGCTGGATAGGCGATATGTCTATTTAAATGAATATATAAATATCCATGGGAGTATTATTTTTTATTTTTATATACATTGAAAATAGGTATATAAAAATTTCATAGACTCATGCAGGAAATTTGACGTTTCTACTTGTGTGGAATTTGAGGAGAGGACAGAAACACTTAGAAAAGACGATTTTCCAGTCATAACTGAAGTAAATGATGTAGATGTCGACACAAGTGACAGCTATGATCTAGGACTGTCAAGAAGGGACATCTCAATTGATAGAAAAGACCTTTTAACCTCCAGTCCTTATGCTATAGAACTGAAAAAAGCTTTAGACAACAACGCAGAGCTATGCAAAGATGTAGCCCTTTTTCAGCTGAGAAATGAGCTGATACAGGCTGGGATTATCAATGCCAATTTAGTCAGGGCATATCATGGGCTAGACTGGAAGCTAAATTTGGTTAACCATAAATATATGATGAAAAGAAGCCTCTGCAAGCACCAAATGGAAAACATTAAATCCCTTGAAAAAATGCTTGACTTTTTACATCACTCATATAGACACGTAATTAAGCTATACGACCAAATGGAAAGGGAAGCCCCAAAAACCCATTGCCAGACTGAGCAAACACCTAGGACAAGAATGATGAGGACATTTACTAATAAAAAAATCACGAGGGTCATAAATGGACAAATAGTCAATACACTACCTCAAGACAGTGGGAGTTTTACTTTTAGTGGCCAAGCTCTAAGATCAGCTGCACGTACTTTAAGTGTGCGTCCTATAAAAGAAATCCCTACTAAAACTGATGAGGCCACCCCAAAGCACTATAACTCTTCCTTTGCTGAAGCTGAATCCATCGACCCTTCTTTTTACCACACAAAACTGAGAGCAATAGAAACAAGCTTCAACCTCCAGCAGCTCTACAATGAACAGTTAAAAAAAATGAACGAGGAATACAAAGAAGAGCTGAACCAATACAAGCTTTTGGTTTCTAACCTAGAGGGCGATATTTTTACTTCGCATAAAAATGAAATGGAAAGGTGGAAAACCTTTGTGGACGAGCTGAAAAATAATTGTGAGCAAGAATTATGTAATTTTATAATAAATATAGACAGTTTTTTTATATTGGAAATATAAGCTTAATAGGATTATAAATAGGTATAATAAGAAAACAATGCGAAGTTGTAAGACTTAATGAAGTTCTTGGAGAGTGGACCACAAGGTTTATGGAACTTCAGGAAAATTTGAGCACTCCGAATAAGCCGCTAAAAAAAGAAATGTATATTGAAATCCAAGAGCTGGTCAGGTCTACGATGTCTACTGCAATTTATACAGAGCCGATGACAAATATTAACAGAATGTTTGGAAGGTCACCACTGAGGGAGTATATGAATATAACTCCAGTACCTATAACTAGGCGTCTTGCGTCACAAGGCGACCAAACTCCATAATATTATATAGCAAAGATAATTTTTTACAGTGTTTTTATATAATTTTGGTATTTATTCATATTTTTAAGATTTTCACGTGTAACAGTCTTTAAAATAAAATTTAAACAGCATGGGTTGCAGTGCGTCTATGAATGCAACAAATCCCAGAAGACCTACAGTGACTTCTGTATCCAAAAATGCTCAACAGCACTCTTTACAGACTAATCAGGTAAATTCTGATAAATTGGGAATCGAAAACTCTGCCTCATCAATCAGCCACCAAAATTCTAAAGAAAGCAGTTCAAGAAGCACGTCGGAGCGTGCTAGAAAAATCGGAGACGGCCATAGCCAGGTTTCTTCTATAATTAAAGCCCAGAATTCAGAAAAGAGCCAAGAGGAAAAACTTGATGCGAAAGATCGACTTGATGTCGATGTGATAGAAGAGGACAATAGTGATGGAGATTACAGCACAATGCTCAATAACTGTGAGTTTTACCATGAGGATATCTTGCATGAATTTCTGGGAATTGAAGAGATTGAGATGACAGGGATTGACTAATAATAATTGTAAATTTTTTGATTAGGGTTTAGGGATTTCTTGATTTATGGTAGGAATAAGTACTGTTTTCTGTTATAATAGCATTTAAACAATATTCAGGATATAGTCAAATCTTTATTTTATTTATTTCAAAAATATTACAATAATCATCCAAATCATTATTCAAAGCAATTTAAAATAAAAATTAGGAAAAAGTGCATTAAAAATCAAAATGCAATTCCTCTGAATAACACTTCTATTAATTTACAAATGAAATTGGTTTTTTTCCGATTTTTCTGTGCTTATTTAAGTATATTATAAATTTTGGAATCATTAAATTCCTTATAGAAAATATATAATAAAAACATATCAGCTCGTAATCAATATCAAACTCTTTTTGTAAAACTCCAATTTAATTTAAAAATACAACTGCTGCCTAACACTTTCTCACCATTTTTTCTCATAAATTTCAGAAAATATCTTTCTTTTTTTCTGCACATAGAGAGCAATGCGTTGTCTCATTGTCATGATTATATAAGATAAATATCCATGTTTTTTCGTCTAAACCAAAGTGTCCATATTTCACAAATTTTGCCGTGACTAAAAAACAAAAAATATCTTTGGGCGCCTTATGGATTTTAGGATAAATATGTTGGTTATCAATGATAGGAAGATTTAAGGAGACTGAATTTGTGATTTTTCATGCTTATATCTTTGTTTTTCTCATGAAGATATATAGCAAGCTTAATGATAAAATCAATTATAAAAGAAGATTTCGTTGACTTATAAATAATAATCTAATTTTTGTTTTCATAAAAATTAATTAAAAATAATTCATATCAAAGCTAAAATGAGAAATAGAAACCTTTTAAAGATTTGCCTAGCTGCAAATATTCTATATGATTTTTTCTTTATTGAGTTTTATTTGGAAATAATTTTATATCTCCACTTGCAATTTGTAATATTTATAAACCAAATGCTATTTAAATAGCCTAGTTCTGGGCTTTTATATATATATAAATTCCAAATTTGCAGCCTTAATCTTTAACAAAATCCCTTAAATCCCAATTCCTAATTACTCTTCAGAATTTCTACTAATTCTCCTAAAATTCACCATCCAAATAGCCTATCATTTCTTTTTCCGACTCCTCACTCATCCTTACTTTTCTTCCCTTTTTCATCGAAAATGTTTATCTCTGACTTCTTATGGAAATAAATGGCTCTCTATTATCTATTTGAGACTGCAGCAGGCTATTCTCTATTTTCAGGTGAAGCCATTGAAGAAATCGGAGGAGTTCTATCATCAATCCAACAGTCAATCAAAGATTTCAAGAGATTCAAGAAGATGGTGAAGCTCCAAGCTTATTATTATTTTCAAAAGCAAATTTGGCACAGAGTCCATTTATATAAAAATTCAGAATATTCTCTATAATAAGTTATATCAATTTTCATCAGCCGACCAAGCACAAGAAAACATTCAAGCCATCGCAAACGGGCTTTGTCCAAAGGATCTCGCTGAATTCCTTGAAACAAATCTCCCTAGCGTCACCAAGTCTAAATGCAAACTTGCAGTCGAAGACGCACGCCTTCCAGCTTCCATCAACGAATTCTACCCAAAGCTGACCTGTGTTAAAAACGAAATGAGCCAAGAAGTTTTCAGAGGAATCCGCCTGCACTTCGACAACCTCGTCAAAGGTCTCAGCACCCACGACCTCGGCAAGGCCCAGCTTGGTCTTGCCCACGCCTACTCTCGATCTAAGGTCCAACAAGACATCAAGCGCTACGACAAGCACATCATCCACGCCATCTCCCTCATTGACCAACTTGACAAAGACATCAACACCTTCGCAATGAGGCTCAAGGAGTGGTTTTCCTGGCACTTCCCTGAGCTTTATCCAATAATTCCTGAAAATCTTACCTTTGCCAGAGCTGTCAAGCTGATCAAAAATAAGTCACTTTTAGATGAAGAGTCAGTAGAAGGACTAGCTGAGGTGGTAGGAAGTGAGGACGTGGCGACAGAAATTGTGAACGCGTCCAAGATCTCCATGGGAGGCGATATGACTGATTTGGATTCTGACCAGATTAATGCTTTTTGTGACAAAGTTATTAGTTTAGGAGAGTTCAGATTGAGACTGGTAGAATATTTGAAGCTGAGGATGTCACATATTGCACCTAATTTATCAGCACTTATAGGGGAAACTGTAGGGGCAAGACTAATTTCACAGGCTGGTGGGCTCAGCAATTTGGCTAAATATCCAGCTTCTACTGTACAGATTTTGGGAGCAGAAAAAGCGCTGTTTAGAGCACTGAAAACGAGAGGAAACACACCAAAATATGGGATTCTTTATCACTCTTCGTTTATAGGGAGAGCTGGCGCTACAGATAAAGGGAAAATCTCGAGGTTTTTGGCAAATAAATGCTCACTGGCAAGCAGAATTGATTGTTTCTACCCAGGATCTACTAGTGCATTTGGAGAAAGGATGAATGAACAGGTAGAAGAAAGGCTGAAGTACTTTGTGACTGGAGAAAGAGGAGCGCCTAATGAAGATGTGATGCATGAGGTCATTGTAAAGCTTGAAAAAGAAACAAAAGAAACGGAAGAGACTGAAGAAGCCCCAAAGAAGAAAAGAAAAGTGGTTGAAAAGGAAGAAGAAGAAGATTCTGAAGGAGAAATTCCAGTCAAAAAGGGCAAAAAGGTCGCAGAAGAACAAAAGAAAAAAGCTAAAAAAGTTATTGAAGAGTCTGAAAGTGAAGAAGAAAAACCTAACTCACTTATTTGAAGGAAAGAATAAACTATTGGATATCCTACTTTTGCAGAATTAACCTCCTATGTGAATGAGTAGCATATTGTATATAAAAATGTTTCTATATATAAACAAATTTTATAAGAAAATATCCAGGTAATTCTATTAAATTTTAGATACCTTGAATTAACCCATAAATTTTGTAAATTCAATTAAAATAATTAATATACATTCCTATATATAAAATTTCAAAAAATGATTTATTCATTGCTCAGGGTTAAGAGAAAAAAGCTAAAAAAGTAAAAGTTGTAGAAGAGTCCAGCGAAGAAGAGGAAAAGCCTAACTCCCCTCCTCCGTACATAATTTAAAAAAATCCGAATTCGAAATAATTTAAAGCAAATATTAATTTAATTTGTAAAATTTATGTTGAAAATGCAAGCTGTTTTTAAAATAAAGCAGAATTAACTAGAGATTTCATTATACTAATTTCATTTATATTTAAAAAAATTTTTGCTCACTAACAGAAGGTCTTTTTTGGTAAAAAATAGGTGTGTTTTTTCCACTGATTTTTTTTCACTCATGGAGGGAGGGTAAGAAGAAAAGCAAGAAATCAAAAGAAAAATCAGACGAAGAAAGCGAAGAAGACACTAAAAAGAAAAAGAAAGGCAAAAAAGACATCAAAAAGCGAAAATCTTCTGAATAATAAGATTATTGATTTCTTAACAATTCTGCTTAGCCATTCTTTATTTATTGATTTTTACGCTTGCTCGATAGGCGTTATAGACACAGTCCCATCATCATTAACTGCGACATTTTCCTCATCAGTCGCGAACAAAATTTTCTGTATCTCCATCACAATAGGGTTGCCTTGGTCTTCATAGTGCTCACAAAATAGCTCAATCGCTCTTAGTTTTCCAAAGTAAAAGTCCCTTTCTTTTTCCAAGGAATCTGAAGTTAGCCTTAATTCTGCCACTTGTCGAGCCACTTCGCTTTCGTCTGGCCTTGCTTCTCGCACTGGCTTTGCTTTTGGCTGAGGCGCCCTTGAAGGTTCAGCTGGTCTAGGGTTTCTTGGCTGGGCATTTTGTGGCCTCGATTGGGCTGCTTGGACTGGGCCAGTTCTTTCACCTACATCCCAAGGGGTTTTGGCGCCTCTTCTCCTTTCAAGAGCTGCGTAGTCCCCTCCTCTGTAGTTTAAGTCAACAAAACGCTTGAACCACTGCATGAATTCTAAATTGTCAAGGGATTTTGCCTTGATGAGTTTTTCAACTTCAATGTGTTTTTGCACGTTATTCTTGTCAAAAGCTGCTTGGAGGAGCTTGAAATTCTGGGTGTATTCGTGGTCGTATTTGGCCATCCAGTTTACTTTGTTGAGGTTTATGCAGCCTGGGAATACTGCGTCCATGATTTGACAATAGGCGGCACCTGTAGCCATTTGCTCGACTCTTGTGATATTCAGTTGGAGAAGGCCGTTGACCCAGCTCAAGAGTTCTGATTTGCCTACGAAGAAGGCTCCGTCCATGATGCCGATATTTGACCCAAGTGCCATTGGAATCGATTATAAACTTATTAAATTTAATGATTTCTATAAAGAAATATACAAGATTCTATGAATTATTTTATTAGGTGTTCGCCTAATAATTTTAAGGCTTATTTATAAAAAAACAATATTTTTTTGATTTTTTGTTATTAAATTAAGATCTTTATAGCCAAAAATAATCGCTTTTACTATTACTCCTTCTTCTCTCCGTGATCCAACGAAAAAATTTTATTTGCTTACTTCATTTTTTTTAAATAATATATTACAGTAAAAATTCATTTTGGCAAAAATTGGCAAGCAAAATTAATTTAATTTACAAAATTTATGTTTTAAAATCCAATTTTTTCAAAAATTAAACAGAATTAGCAGAGGATACTAATTATCACTTATATATCAATTTTCTTTTAGCTCGAGTTTTTACCATAAAAATAGGGATTTTTCAATGGTTTTGTATGCTTACTGGGGAGAAGTTACCAAATTTATTTAAATGCTATAAAAAATAATGTTATTCATAAAACTTAAAAGAATCATCAATAACTTCAGCATAATCATAAATATGGCAGGCGAGATTAAGTTTCTATCGAAGCTCATGATTTTAATCCTATTTTGGAATGCTTCAGCTGACGAAAATACGATGATGAACTGTACAGCTTATACTTGCAAGCAGAAAGGTCAGTCTTTCACTAGTGGGCTAGATTAAACTAGGCTATTTAAAGCCAGACGTTAGCTATATCGACGACGCAGTCACCAAAGACCTCACTGTGGCCTAAGCCGAAACTCCAGTTTCTCGGTAGAGAATACCCATGGGTTCTCAGATCCTAAGGAAGTTGTTGGGCACCTCCATTTCCAACCACAGGAAAGCAGCCAAAGCCTAACCGGACACACATTACCTGAATCTAAACTTGATTCTCGGCTCGAAGTTTGTCTCATTCGCTGTAGCCATAAGGTCTGGACTGTTGCACCAAAAAGGCAGGTTGACACGTGTCACCAATTTAATTTAAATCTTTCAATATTGGGACTTGCGTATATTACAATAGCAAGGCAATCACCCCTACTTACTACGTTAAGCCTTGTTCATCCTCAAAAGAGTACTGCCCAATCGCAGTTGAAGCAAATACCTCTTGCACCAAAATCCCTGATACTCCTATAGAGATAACTGGTTTATACCCTGGCGAAAAATGCACAAAAGATACCGAATGCAGGACTCCTAGTATTGAATCAGGGAAAACCGGCTGCGTCGACAATATTTGCACTGGCCAAGGTGAAACTGAAGGTTGCGAGTCAAATCCTGACTGCAAGCCTGGACTTTACTGCTTATCTGGCACATGCCAAAAGCAAATCGCTATTGGAAGTTATGGGTGCGAAAATGATATACATGCGCATTACTAAATTAAAATTGCCTTTATTGGGCCTCTAGATGCACAGCGCTATAAGGGGTCTTTTTTGTGCGGCTTGACGTTACAATGCACTCATGTAAGGCTTTGCTGTGCAGCTCCCCACTTTAATCCTTATGAAGCCATTTGGGAATATAGAAGTGCGGGAAGCACTAGCAGTCTGATGCGTTGCCTTACTCTATACGGCTTTCCTCTAGCTCCTTTATGGTCTAAAGTAACAGTTAAAAATTATTATGGTCATTCCATTAGGGTAAACCCACTAGTCGTCTCACATTTTAAAAAGTTGCCCTTTTAAATTTCAGGATCGAATCACCTATTCAAGGATTAGCTCCCTAGGGTAGAAACACCGCTTGGTGGGGGAAAACCATGTGATAGGCAAAATCTGCCAGTCCATCTGGCAGTGACTTGAAACCATTGGGTGGCAAACAAAGCTTTTCTCTTCGGCAAGCATTCCTAAGCTGAAAAAAGGAACCCAAAGACCTATTTCAAAAAAACAGAGGCCTGGCTTTTAACTTTATCAGGATAAGCCCTGCCTTCTCAATAGATCAGTGCACTCTGGAGTCAAAATCCAGTCAACGTCACCATTTTATTTCTCTTTTGTTCTAAGGATCTGCCTTTTATCAACAGCGAAAAGAGGAGAACACGATACATAAAGGAGAGAAGAACAATCCTCGCTATTCTTCACCTTGCGAGAAATCCAAATGAAGCTTAACCCTAAAATAATAAGGGATTCACAGAGTGAACTACCTTCCAGTCAATCCAATTTTATTTTCATTCGAAAATGACTTTCAATGTGCCAATGGAGCTGGCTGCAATATCACGAATGAGGTAGAGAAAAACAAATGTGTTGCTTATAGGTCCATCGCTGCTCATCAGCCTGTAGGAGAATGCGCAGCTGACGGAACTAATGCCCTCTGCGCTTCTAAATACTGTCAAGTAACAGGCCAGTATCAGCCCACTGAGGGAGAATACCAAAACACTTATGCCTGCTTAGCCACTGTTATATCTAACAGCTATTTACCTATGAAATGCAGCTATGACGTCGACTGTAGGTCAGTAAGTGATGACTTTTTCACTGACGGTCAAGTATTTGGTACTTGTGTGTGCGGACATAATAAAGACGCTCAAAGTTACTGCACCTTGTTCCCTGGGGATCCGATTGCTGAGGTGGCTTTTGGGTATTTTCAGAAATGGCTGAACGGGACTGATATAAATTACTGCAACACAGAACACAGGTTTAACTCTTACTGCATGAGCAACTGGTGGTCGAAGAAGAATTATGAGAAATATATGTTTGCCGCTGTGTTTGCCGATAGCTATCCAGTTGTGGTGGATGAAGATGACTGTGTGGCCGAAGTTTATGATAGTGTTTTATATGAGCTGAGTAAGGAGTTGGATAGTTCAGCGATGAACTACGTTTTATTAGCACCTGTGCTCGTTCTAGTAATGAACTAATTTTAAGGTTTTACAAAATCTTAATAATAAATTAGATTATCTTTAGAAAAGGGTTTATTTGTGCTGATAGAAGTCAGTTGCTGCTAAAAACTCTCTTTGGAATGATGATTATCAGTTGAGGTTGCTAATACGCCTAAAAGCTTATTTTTAAATATTTTATTTGCTTTTTATGCCTGCTTATAAGTGATTTTATATTCGATCAGTTATTTTTTATATATTGATATATATATTTCTTTAACTTTCCTCGTGCAAATTCATGCTTATTCGTGGGGCTATGCACAAAATTTTCAAATAGTCAATTTAAGATAAACAGATCAAAATTTTCTTACTGTTTGGGGTTTTCAGATAAAATGAGAAAAAAATCCAAAATTTGGGCATTTGCAGCCCAATAATAAGCAAATTTCGATCTATTTATATTAAATTTACTATTTGAAAATTTGTATAAAGACCCACAGAATATGCAAGAATTTGGCTATTACTTAGTAGGGTGTAAGCTATATTATAAAAAGTAATTTTTTATATTTACTATTAAAATATCACTATTCTTCCAAATTCTTAATGGCATCTAAACAAGTTTGAATCCATCCTGGCAAATCCACTTCACTCTGTGAATACCTTAGTACCCAAGGATGAGCACAGAGCTGCACAGTGCTTCACCTTTGTTCAGGCACCTTTTTAACACAATGGCTTAAAAAGTCTTTAAATTCAGCTGAAAACGTATCAGGAAGTGTTGGCTCTGGAGAAGTCATAATATGTTCAATCATTTCTATATAGGTATTTGCTTTGGAATAAATTAAATTAAACAAGAGTTTTAAAGTCTTCTAGGTCTGCACGCTTTCGACCAACGTTCCTGCTTGCCGGTCCACCATAATATCATTAACTATCTAGATCAGTGGCCTCTTCTAGGAACAGGTTACACTGTTTACCCAAGAATCTCGGCAGGTTAGGAAGACTCTTGTCATTATGCCATCAGGTGTTATGGAGGTAAAGGTTAGCCCGATACCTTCTGCAAGCCAGCTTTAGGAGAGGAGATACCCAAGTAAAAAGAACCACGCCATCCGGTTCCGAAAGGAAAAAGTCGAAGCCCAAAAACATGTAGAGAACTAATTCCTGGTCAAGCAGTCATCAACAGCTTACTCCCAAGGTTTACCCACCCCACAAAGCGGCGTTAATCACGTCAAGGGTCAGATTTGAAGTGCCTAAATTTTAGTTTAGGCTATAAAATAGCTTTTGCTACCAAGGTGGCCATCGTTATCAATGATATATTTAGTCGTCGCCACCATATTAATTGCTTTGGGATAAGGATATTTCCCAACAGCTAGCTCTACAAGCATAAGTCCAAGACTCCAAATGTCGCTGGAGTAGCTATAAGTTTTCCCATTAATCCTTTCAGGGCTCATATAAATCATAGTTCCCACAAAAGTATTGCAAAGCCCAATAGTCACTCCTAATTCCTTGCTTATTCCAAAATCACTTAATTTAACTGCTCCAGAAGTACTAGCAAGGACATTTTCAGGCTTTATATCTCTATGCACTTGGTGCTTTACTTTATGGAGATACATAAGCCCATTTAGCATTTGCTGCGTCATTTTCGCTAAAATTGGCTCGGGGACTGTCGGGTTTGGGAGTTTTTTAACTAAATCGCCGAGGCTTCCAGCGTCCATGAGCTCTAAGGCAACTTTTACTTGTCCTTCATCAAAATAAGCACCATAAAATTTTACGAGGAAAGGACAGTCAGACCTTTCTAAAGCCCTGATATCATTCATGAGCTGCCGTCTTTTTTCTTTGTCATAAACATTGATTGATTTCAAAGCTAGCAGCGTGCCAGTTGGCTTATGCAAAGCTTCTTGGACAATGGCTGCAGAGCCTCTTCCTCTGAATTTCCCCATTTCTAGGTCTTGAGGTTGAATTGAAATGACGGTTCCTCTTTCATCTCTTGCAAAGCCTTTACGGCCAATATCTAAGCCTTCTTTAATAAATTTCAGCCCATCTGCGCCACTGAGTTAGGATTACATTTCTATTGACATGGAATTCTCCATGTTTTCTTCTTCTGAATCTGAGGCTAGTTTAAGCATCTTTTTAGTCATAGTAGGCTTTTTCTTCATCATAAATATTATAATATTAAAATTTTAGACAATTCAAAAGGGGTTTGTTGGATTATTCTTAAAATTAGCTTGATCAAAATAAAACAGCTTCATTTAACTGTTTTTAAAGCTAAGAAAAATTGACTTCATTGTGGACATTAAAAGGATATATAATAAATTACTTTTATTCATATTATAATATTTTTGAATATACATAAAAATGGTGGGCACGTGCCACCCGACCTCTCGACCCCTATTTCCTCAGCAACTGTAGGTAACAGCCAGTTGTGGGGATTTAGGTGGAAAGGGGCTAGGTTTTATTTTGGCCTCAGGGAGCTAATCCATGGGAAATGGGCTTTCTCCTCCGGAACAACTATTGGAAAGGACAAGATCGGCGACAGTCCAGAGGAAAGCTGATTCCCTTGAACAGTATATAAGAGATGGCATTTGTCTAAAGAGAAACTAGGAGTTTCTACCCAGGTGGTTGGCCCTTAGGCTTCAGAAGCCATGGAAGCAAAACTGGCTGTGCGAATCCCTTATTTGAGGCAACAAGGAGGGTGCCCTCCAGGGCTCCTCAATGAGAATGAGCGTATAGGGATACAGATCCCTGCCCTGCTAGGCAAACGGCTAATCTAATCTAAATAATATTTTTGAATAAATTATAGCAATCAGCACTAAAAAACTAGATTTATGAATGATTCATAGTGCTGAATTTCTTCTACTCAAGTCTCGCAATATTTGATCAAAATGCTCTAGGGCAATAAGTAAGATATTTTAAATTATTTATTGTCCTTATTAATTTTAATGCTCATTAAATTGCTGTTTTATTAGATAATCAAGCTAATTAAGCAGAAAATAAGAAAACTAAGCTTCTTTTTTTAAATCTTCTGGCAGTTATACATTAAATATATATTTCTTTATTTTGTTTGTGATTTTGAAGAATGCCTGAAATTTCTTATTTTATCCATTTTGAAATAAATTGTTATTGTGCTGCTTCACCCTCCTGGTATTATAAAATTAACTAAAAATTTTTTAAAATTCATTATTTTGCGAGTAAATCTGTTTAATTAAATTCATCCATTTTCAAATTTCTATCTCTCCATTAAAGTATTGGAAAAATGTCAATTAAACACTAAAAAAGTTATTTTGCATATAATTTTAATATAAATAAAATTAAATTCCCTTTTAAAAGTAAACAGAAAAAATCTTACTTGCTCTTAAAAGGAGAGAGCAAGCAATAAAATGCAAAAATCAGCGGTTAAATCCAAAAATCTGTTAAACAAGATTAATTAATATCAACTTTGGATTTATAAATGGGGAAGCTAATTAATGAGTAAGCTTAATATTGCAACCTCTTACTTAAATTTAAATCCTTCAAGCCAAAATTTTCAAAAAAGCAGGAATTAATCTTCTTTCAAAGTCAGCAGGATTATTTTCGTTCTTCTCCAGAATAAAAATATTAGCCGCTTGCTCCTCCTTTATAGTGTTTAAAATAATATTTCATCTCGGTATATGCTTCAGCCGTTATATCATATGTTTGCCATAATAGTCTGTTCATTACTTTTCATTACCTAAATACTGATCTGGAAGAGTATAGCCTACTATACATTTTTCTCTATAAATTAAAAAAACTTGCCTATTTATGGAGAAATTTATTAATTTTTGTATTAAGCTGCATTTAAAACTTCTCAAAAAGTATAAAATTTGAAATCATGGCTTATAATTAATAAATAGAAGATGACAACTACACTCATTCCAAATTTCGCATGCTTAAGCAATTCACAGCACTCAGACTACTGCTGTGATTTATGTGGGATTGGCTTTGAGTCTCCTTTACAATACCGAGATCACCTAATTCAAGACTTCGAGCTTGACCATGATTCGATTTCTTTCTTGCAATTCAGCTTAGGGTTAGAAACAGAAACTGATTCAATTGAATCTCCTAGGTCTCCTGGCTCCTGTTCCACAACAGAGTCAGAGAGCGACGAAATTGAATGCCCAACCTGCGGCAAATCCTTCAAAGGACACAAAGGACTTCAGCAGCACATCGGCAAAGCTCACTCAAGCAAAGAAAAAGGAGCAATCTGCACCATATGCCACAAGGCTTTTAAGCACCAGCATGCACTTACCTTCCACGACCGACAAGTCCATCAAAAGGCAACTCGAGTCACATGTGGAATCTGTGGATTGTCTGTTTATAACAAATATATGCTTACCAAGCATATGAGTAAACAGCACCCATCATAAATATACATACATATATATAAGTAATATACATAAGTATTTATTTTTGTAAAATTTTGGTTTCAAAATTCTTCAAGAAAATCAGAATTTGCGAAGGAGAAGATTTATGGGATAAGTATGAGAAGAACGCTTGGGAGCTGGAAAATAAAGCGGATTAGGAAAGCTAGATAGCAGATTTTATGTACTTGGAAGCATTTTCTGTCAGAAAATGCAAAACAGCAAATACTGGAACCATGATAATGTGAATTCGGTAAAATATTCACTGATCTACTTTCTGAATTTGAAGCAAAAATCAAGAGTTTTATCTGGAAATAGATCTAGGAGTTTGTTTATAGTCTCTTTTGGCATCTCGTCTTCCAATTTCAGCATGCGGAGTTAAAAACTAAATTTTAGTTTTCTAAGGTGATTTAACTATAGGAAAGCAAAATTTGAAATGAATTATTTATTAAATGAATATGGATTTACAGCTAAAGATAGTGTCCTGGGTTGTTCAGAAATAACAGTCAAAAAGTTATTACTTCCTCCTTTGACGATTTTTCTGATTTTTGGGTTGGATGATAGGATTCCGAATCCTCCCATAGTGCTTCTTACATTATTTTGATAGTTTTCTAGTTCTTCTTGGAGAGCTTTGATTTGAATATCAGCTTGCTTAAGCGATTCTTTCAAATTTTCTAGTTTATGCTCAAGGTCTTTGTTTTTCTCAGAAAGCCTGTGCATTTTTCTTTCTTTTATGTTACTTTCTAAAGAAAAGTGAGCTTTTTCTCTCATTAATTGATGAAACATTAGAGTTAACTGCTCAAGCTGCCTCTCTAAAATTATATTTTTCTGTCTTTCTTCCCTTTGGCCGCTGCTAAATCCTTCTTAATAATCAGCGGTTTATGCTTTATATACTGAGCATTTTGGTAGTGTGATATTCCTCAGAAGCATTTGGCCGAAATTTTTTCCTTATAAGACGTTTGATAGACCTTTTTTTAGAGAAGATATCCTAATGTCCAAAAATTTTTATTAAACAACTCTATCTAAACACTCCATAAATATATCCAGCCTTTAAAGGGACTCTTAAAAATTTATATTATTTCTTTGTATTAGGAGTAGTTTTATCACTGGAGAGGGTAAGCAGATTTTCCAAACTAAGTGTTTCTGCCTTTGCTGCCTCCACTGCAAGCTCCAATTCAACAATTTGGTTGATTCTCATTTGTAATTGTTGAAGGAAGCTTCTTTTTTCAGCTCTCCATGAATCTTCATCAAAAGCTTCTTCGCTAGCTGTTTCTCTTATTATTGAGAGTTTGTTAGCTGAATCTGCATACTTGCTGAATATTTCCTTTACTTCACTGTTTTTTAGGTTCTTCTTTTTGTCCATTTCCGCTTTTTTTTCCATTTCTATCCTCTTTTCCATTTCTATTTTTTTTTCTGCTTCTATTCTCTTTTCCATTTCTGTCCTAATTTCCATTTCAATCCTCTTTTCCATTTCTATCCTCTTCTCAGTTTCAATCTTTTTTTCTATTTCCATCTTCTTTTCTATTTCTGCCCTAATTTCCATTTCTATTTTCTTTTCCATTTCTATCCTCTTTTCTGCTTCAATCTTTTTTTCCATTTCTATCCTCTTTTCCATTTCTCCCCTTATTTCTGTTTCAATTCTTTCCATTTCAATCTTTTTTTCAATTTCCATTTTCTTTTCTATTTCTGCTCTAATTTCTATTTCTATTTTCTTTTCCATTTCTATTCTTTTCTCTGTTTCCATCATCTTTTCCACTTCTATCCTCTTTTCCATTTCAGTCCTTATTTCTGTTTCGACTTTTTCCATTTCAATTGTTTTCTCAATTTCCATTTTCTTTTCGATCTCAGCCCTGATTTCCATTTCTATTTTCTTTTCCATTTCTGTGCTCTTTTCTATTGCCATCATCTTTTCCATTTCCATCCTCTTTTCCATTTCTTCTCTTATTTCTGTTTCTATTCTTCCCATTTCGATCTTTTTTTCCATTTCCATCTTTTTTTCTATTTCTGCTCTTATTTCCATTTCTATTTTCTTTTCTATATCTACTCTTTTCTCCATTTCCACTTTTCTATCCATTTCTATCCTTTTTTCCATCTCAGTCCTTATTTCTGCTTCTATCCTTTCCATTTCAGCCGTTTTTTCCATTTGCATCCTCTTTTCGATTTCTGCTCTAATTTCTATTTCTCTTATCTTTTCCATTTCTGCTCTTTTTTCCATTTCCATCTTTTTTTCCATTTCCATCCTCTTTTCCATCTCAATCCTTATTTCTGTTTCTATTTTCTTTTCTATTTCTATCCTCTTTTCAATTTCTATTCTCTTTTCAATTTCTTTCAAAATTTCTTCTTCTTTCTTATTTTCTTCCTCTTTTCTTTTCCCCATTTCTTCGATTTTCTGAATTTCTTTCTTCATTTCTATTTCTACCATTTTCTCAATTTCTTTCTTTATCTCTTTTTCTTTCTTTTTTTCCATTTCTTTCCTGAATTCTATTTCTTTTCTGTTTTCTTCTATCATTTTTTCGGCAGAGCCTATCTTTTTTTTTTACTCTTGTGTTTGGTGAGTGAACAAAAAAATTCGCTTGAAACTAAAGAGATTTATTTTATTTTAAAAATATATATAAAAAATATTTATAAAACTCTATTTTCGAACTCAATCTGTTTGAAATTTATTATTATGATTGTATTAAAATATAGTTTATACGAAAACATTTTCTATTTAGTAATTTTTTTGCTGGCTAATCAAAGGGCAGATAATAGAAAATTTTCTAATGATTTACTCACGATTAAGGAGGAATTAGCATCTCAATCTCTACATCTCTTTCTACTAGCTGCTGCTCCAACTTTAGTCTATCTAGGCTATTAGCTGATAAATCACCTCCATAAGTGTCTTTTTCCGACAATGCTAGAAAAAAGTGTGGAGAACCAGCCTGCCTTCTAACACCTGCAGTATGGCAGGAGTCTGGGGAAATTGTGAAAGGGAAGCAGTGCGCGATAAGAGTGTTTGGCTGGGTTTTACTTGATCTGGTGGAGGGCAATGTCGGGCTTACCGACCTCAGATTCAGTTCTGAGGAAAGTTTTTACCTCGATGGACTATTGAACTTGGAAGTTGGAAATGGGTAGCCCAGCAAAGCCAGAGAGCGTTCTCTTTGCTAATCAGCAATTTCCCAGAGTGATATAGCCCGAGCACCTTTTATGGCTCGGGTTTCCCGATCCTTCCAGAAAGGAAAGAGTAGCTGGTCGAACTAATTATGTTGTCTTGGCACTCCCCAAGTGACAGAACCACATGATGCAGAGTTTCTGCCATTTGGGGAGTTGGCCAAACTAACATTATTTGGTGAGACTAGCTACTCTTTCTCGTTGGGAGCCCGAGCCATAACGTGCTTGGGCTATACCAGGAGCTGCTCTCTAGGCTGTAGTTTCATCCTGCCTGAGATTATTAACTTTTTAAATTTATGGAAAAGAGCAACCTCGTTGACGTACAGCAGGGTGACTCAGCGTCTTTAACTCAAGGTGGCGAGTGTATGCCCTTGTCCGGAGGGAGCAAAGCATGCCTTTAGGCCGTGCAATCGGACTGGCAAGCAAGAGGGTGGAGCGAAGAAAGGGACGTGAAAAGCTAAAATGGCTGGCTGGGAACTACTCGATAATGCTCTAAATTAACTAGTCTTTTTCTGCTAAAAGTTTGTCTAATTGCTCTTCTCTGTCTTTTATTTTTTCTTCTAAATCACTTATTTCTTCAGCTAGTTGCTTTTTTTCGTTGTATAGCTGTTGGGTATATTTTATTAAATTGTCACATTCTTTTCTTAGCTCAAAGTTATCGAATTTCATATGGTCTAGCTGCTCTTTCAAGCTCCTTTGGCTCTCCATTTCTTCAGTCAGTTTTTGCCTTATCATTTCTAGCTCTTGGACTATTTCCATATATTCAGGTTGAAATAGATCCTCGTCTCCAAAAATATTGTCAGTTGGGTCTATATTTGGAATATTAATTACTTCTGTGCCTTTTTTACTCATTTCATCTTCAAGATGCTTGATTTTAATGTCTTTCTGCTTAATTTCTTCTTTTGCACTTGCAAGAAGAAGCTTTAGCTCTCCTATTGTAAATTCTTTGTTAATTTTTGGAGTGTTTTTTATCATTTTTGCTCGAATTCCGAATCTAAGGGTTGATATAGTTTCTTCTTCGTTAAATTGTGAAGGAGAACACGTTATTATTAAAGAAGTCTTACCCTTTAATATTGGAATAAAATATTGAAAAGATTTCAATTTTTGAAAAAACTAATCCTCTTTAATGTGGAACAAATTTTTTTTTATTTTTATAGTGAAAATACAAATTTTTATATAAAATATATTTTAAAAATAAAAATAAAAATTTTATATTTCAAAACGAAAATAACCCTATTTTTGTTCCTATTAAAAAGAGAGACTTAGAGTTCCCTCCTAAAGAATTTTCCAGGATCCTTGTAAGCTTTGAGTCTCTAAAAGGGACATAGCTTTTCTTCTCCGAAAGAGCTGTAATTACAATTCCTAGCGCAGTTAAAGAGGTGTTGATCTTTTTAGCTTCTTCAAGCCTTGTACCTTCAGCTCCAGTTTTACCGACCTTTTCTGAGCCTGCAAGATCAATCAAATGCAGTTTCCCAACCTTTGTGGAGAAATCCATTGAGTTAGATTGTGTGACAGTTATTGAGAATAAAGAATGCGACCTCGATGACTCTTTATTCATCCTTGTGAACTCTGTAGACCTGTTGAAATTCCCGATTTTCAAAATTTCAAAAATTTCTTGGCCTGATGATGTACAAATTTCTGTGAGTCCTTCTATATACACTCCTCTCGCTTTATTCTCTCTAATTTTAAGATTTTCTTTCGTATTCATCATGAGATCTCTAATTTTCTCCATATAAATTTCGCAATAAGAAACCCTCACAGTGAATTCTGAATGCTCATCTGAATTTTCTATAATACTAAAAACTGTTGATACCATTCTTGGAATAATTCCCATGAGCTCAGGGTCGTCTAAATCTACCCCACTCATTGTAAATGTCTTCCCCGAAGACGTTTGCCCATAAGTAAAAATAGTCCCATTGAAGCCTTGCATTACGGACTCCACAATATGTTTGGCTGCCCTCTCATAAACCATGGACTGGGATGCTGACGGGTCGAATACATAATCGAAATTGTATTTAACTTTGTCTGTAACTTCTAAATATGGCTGCACTGTGACTGTTTTTGCGTCTGGCGATATATCGATAAACTTGCGACTTGGGAGATTCATTTCTTTTTCGTTGAAGGGACGAAATCTGCAAAAAACTTGCACATTACTTGTACCTTCAGTTTGTTCCATTTTAATTCAACATAACAGGATTTTGTGAGGATAAGCAACAAATTCATATAAAAAGAAATTATTATAAAAAAAACTAGGGTTGGGGTGGAATAAATAGGCAAAAATAGCTTTTTTGTGTATGAATTTCTTATAAATCATAAATTTAACAGTGATAATATATACTCCTTTAAATTTAATAATAAATGTCTATTTGGGAATTTTTTGTTTGGATTGGAGCTCTGATAATTGTGTATCAGATGATTATGTGGGTGTACTCAAGCTATTTTTGCAAAATCAACGTTGATAAGTACAAGTACGGATGAGTCGCAATCACAGGGGCTTCAGATGGGATTGGAAAAGGGCTTGCCTTAGAATTTTCTCAACGAGGCTTCAAAGTACTCTTGATTTCCCGCAATCCAGAAAAGCTAGCAGCAGTCACAAAAGAAATTTCCGAAATCACTAAAAATCCAGACCTCAAATACCTCGCAATTGATTTCAAATACTCTCACAGAGACCCTGAAAACTTCTACAAGCAAGTCATAGCCGACCTGAGCTCCTACAACATCTCAGTTTTAATCAACAATGTAGGCTTTGGAGGGAAGCCACAGTTTTTAATCAATCAAGATTTATCTGAAATAGAAGAGATTATTGGGGTCAATGTTTACCCACAAACAATGCTTTCTTACCATCTGATACCTGTATTTTTGAGACGGTATGAGGAAACTCATCAGAAGAGCTTGATCATGAACTTTTCTTCGTCAATTGAAGAAATGGCTTTACCTTCTTTTGCTATGTATTCTTCTACGAAGAAGTTTGACCACTTTTTGAGTGAAGCAATAAGGTATGAGTACCGCCATGCAATTGATGTTGCGACGGTGAAGCCAGGGCTCGTGAGCAGCAATATGTCGAAATCACATGGCTTAGGTGATTCAGCTGGGGCTTTGAGTGTTGAAACCTATGCTAAAAGCTTAATCAAAAACTTGCATACAGGAATCAACTATGGGCACTGCTCCCACAGTATACAATCTTATTTTGTCAGAAGCATTCCTTACCTACTATTTTCCAAGCTTCTTCAATTGTTATTACCACTGCTAGTTAGGCTGAAAATTATCAGAGTGGATTAAAATTACTAATCTTTGCTTTTTTAATATTTATCTCCAATAAATTTCTCATTAAAATTCAAAATGCCGAATTACGGTGATCCAGAATACTGGGAAAAGCGTTATTCAGAGCATAAGGACTCTACATTTGACTGGCTTGAGAACTATTCTACTCTTAAATCAATAATTGGCTCACTTGTAGCAAAAAACGCAAGAGTTTTAATCCTAGGCTGTGGAAATGCAGAATTCAGTGAAGATATGTATAATGACGGATATGACTACATATACAACATCGATATCTCCACAGTCGTCATTGACCAAATGCGTCAAAGGAATATAGATAAGCCTCCAATGTCTTGAGCAGTCATGGACGTCAGAGATCTGAAGTTTGAATCCAACTATTTTCATATCGCCATTGATAAAAGTACAATAGATGCACTACTATGTGGAGATCATGCCTATCTTAATGTTGCAAAAATGACAAGAGAGGTCCAAAGAGTTCTCCAAATGGGAGGGTATTACGTAGTTATTTCTTATGGAACACCTGATACACGGTTAGAGCATTTCCAATGGGAACACTTATCTTTTGACGTTTCCCAGATGACAATTGGAGACGAGTCAGGAAATCAGCATTTTGTTTATATTTGCAAGAAAAGAGAAGACGCTGACCAAAAATCAATGGAAAACTGGAGCATCGTCGAAAGAGTCTTAATGGATGCTGATAAAGAAGAAGAAAATATTGAGAGCGATGAAAATGAGGAAGAAAAAAATGATTAATAATTAAGCTGATTAAAAAGCAATTATTTTTGGGGGGATTTAACTGATATAATCAATAAATCAGATGAACAGTCAAGGACAAGACCGTTTTAACTACCCATATCAGCAGCCTCATCCCCAAATCCCTCAGCTGAACCAATACGCCAAGTCTGATATTCCTTACAGTCCAAACCCTGATTATTACCAGTCAGGCCACCAAGGGAAGTCTCATGGCTACATGCCTTCTCAATATTTTAATCAGCCACAACCTCAGGCAGCTGACGAGGATTTCATAAAAAAGGAAGAGCAGCTCCTCCAAATTTCTAGCCCAGAAGTCTTGCTTAAAAAATTCATGGAGTTCCGCAACTGGGGATACAAGGACTATGTCAACAAAATTGGTGACGAGTACCATGCTAATATTGAAATCGAACAAGAGGATTGCTTCCGCCAAATCAGCAGCAATGAGACTAAGGCAAAACTTAAGGTGATACTGGCAGTGCTTTATCATTATAACTCGTATCTTGCGTCATTGTGGTGTCAAAAATTCCAAAACCAGCTGGCAGGTGCTTGCAGTAAGAAGTAATTAAGAATTTCTTTTAAATTTTTCATTTTTATAGTAAAAATGAGGACGGATCAAAATACTTTGATATTGAATATTGTGAGTGGAAGCCTGCATATTGGAAATCTGGTGATTTTGAGTGTTTCGGCGAGTGAATATTTGCCGCAGCTGGGGTTGAAAGAGTCAGCATCTGGCATGCTGTATAGCATAAATAAAAAGGCATTCGGTGCGAGAGAAGCTAGATCTGCTAACTTTCTCTCCCTATGGAATTTTATTTAATACCTATGAACGCAATATCATGGAGACTCATCAGAAAATAGAGAGCTCTGATCCAAGGTAATTAGGAGGCATAAATTTTTGCTGCTGGATATTCCCGAAGAAGGAGACCATTAGGTGGAACAAACGCCGGAGTCAAATTGGGGAAATGCAAGGCAATTCTTCAATGATATTAGAGACTAGTCACCACTTGCTCAGGATATTCCTTCGACCCGATAAGACGGGTGACGTAGGAAATGCCCGCTGGTATCTTATTGGAATGAGTCCATCCTTAGATCCGGACGAAAAAATTAAACACTCTAAGTAATTAATTTTAAACATAAGGCAGCAATATAGCATTAATTGGGCAGGAGCTTTGTTCTCATTGTTTTTGTTCAGCTGATGAAGCAATTTTGGGTATGCTTACCCATCATACACTTCAGCAATACTTGCTATGCTCGGGAACTTTCTTAACTCTTTAGCTTTCCAGCATGGCTATGAGTTAGCTTATATAGGAAGGTATCGCTTACTCTTCCATTAAAATACTTCTGTTTTAATCCTAATTTTTCTAGCAAAAAAAGAAATTATTTAAAAATGAGTTAGTGCAGATTTTTATTTGGATTAGGAACTCCTAGAGTTTTGAACCGAAGATATATCGGAGACCATACCCAATCAAGTGAAAGAACTAAATGGGCAACTTATTATGTTGCTGGCTGCTTATTATTTTCATCCATAAGCTCCTATGCACTAGGATGGATGAATTTTGAAGCAGAAAATTTTGGCTTAATAGTAAACAAACACACATCTCCAGGATATATCATGGCAGCAGTATGGCTTATCTATATTTTTGCTATATATATAAAATGGAGGACAGCGATAACCTTTCCTGTCATGGTAACTGCGACTCATGTGTCCTCTTATGGACGGTAACTCGCGCATATCCTGGCATGTCTTTTGGAGCCTCGAATTGGCCTAACAATATCAGGAAGCCTTAAAGCGTAAGGTCTAAGCTCGATTTCGTTGGATTGTGGTCGATCCCATGGGCAGTTAATCGCGAATCCTTTTTGCCAGCAGCGCCCAGGCCCAAAATGGAGCAAGGATGACTTACCTAATCGATGTATAGTGGTGGCGAGCCGCTAATCGTGGAAGCGTTTAAGTCTTTTATCAAGATCACCTGGATGGGAAGGAGCAGAGTTAGGCGACGAAAAGACAGTCTTTCCGATTGAAAAATCGCCCTCCAGAGGACGGACCTGACGCTAAAGGAACAGAGTTGGCGTAAGCTTGGGCAACACACTAAGTTGGAAGTGGAGACAGTCATCTGGGCCAGTGAATTGCCTTATGACTTTTCTCTACCGAGAAACCGGGGGTTTCGGCCCCGGATTCGAACGGCTATGCTCTACCAGACCGCAGAACGCCGAACTAGCGAAGCAGAGACCTCAAAGTCCCATTCAAGTTCAATCTAATCTATATTTTTGCTATGGCTCTTATGTTTAAAGAGCCAGCTGACAAAAGCTCTTCTTCATCACCTATCAAAAGTGACCAATCTTCGCTACTATTTGCAGGATATGGACTCTGGGCTGCCTTTTTATCAAAACTTATGATGGATTATTTAGTTCTTTCTGCCCCTTTGGTGCTTGTGCACACATGGAATTGGGAAAATAAATCAGTTGGAACCTTTTTTGGATTTGCGTATTTAGCTGTATTTTTTATTCAATTATATTTAGCTAATTATAGCAGAGGGTCACAAGAAACCAGACTTTTGGTGCTTGGAATAGGGGTTGCAGGGATTGGTGGAAGTATGATTAGCTCTTTGTGGTATTCCTCTCTAATACAATACTTAGTTGGGGCTATTGTGCTGCTATCAGGGACTAATTTCACTGATGGGGTCACCACTTCTTTTCTATCAAAATGCTTGCCGCCAAGCTATTCGACTGGAATTTTAAATGCAGGATTTCTTGTAACTCTTTGTGGGACTTTAGGGAGAATCGCTGCAGGGCTGATAATTGCTTATATTGACCAAGGAAATTATGACTTGCTAAATTTGCTGATGTTTCCTATGATGGTGTGCTGTGTAGCGACTATGTTTTTGTTTAGGAATAATAGCAGAGATTTAGAAGGTAAAATAGATTAAATTAGCTACAGATCATCTAATTAATATTGACTCATTTTAAACTCAAATACCAATAATATAGTTGAAATATTGAGCTTCTCTATGAAATTTCCCTCATAACTCTCACAGTAATTAAAAAATTCACCATTTAATTTTCTGGAAAATCACTCACAGAATCTATTAATATAATAAACAATGTCCGAAGAAAGGCTGTGCAAGCACGAAGGCCCATGCTGGGAAAATGCTTTTAAAGGCTTCATCAAAGCATTTCTCCAAAGTCTTGCCGCTAAATCTATGATCAGCTTAATTTTTAATTTTATTCTGGAGAAAGGCTACAAACATCCAATGAAGAGCCTGATGAAGATTTTCTCGATTGACACACTGAGATTTGTGGGCTTTGCCTCCTTTATGAATATTTTGTACAAAGGGACTTTATGCATTTTGAGACATTATAGGAAAAAAGAAGACTCTTTTAACTATTTTGTCTCTGGCTGCGTTAGCGGACTATCTGTTTTCGTAGAAGACCCTGGGAGGAGAGAGACTTGGGCTCTTTATTTCTTTGCGAGGTTCGTGGATATCGTGCTGAGGGTAAATGGGAAGAAATACAATATTGATATAAATAGAGTAGAGGTTGGTATTTTTATGATCACTGTATGTTTTATGGTTTATTGCTATGGAGCTGAAAAAGATAATATGCTCAAGTCCTATTATAACTTTTTGGATCTTTTATTCCAGCCTTCTAGGATTGAAAAGTTTTGTTTGAATTTATGGAGTAAGCAAAACGCTGAAAAAATGCCTCTTAAATAATGCTATTTGAGGATTTATTTTTACATTAAATGATGATTGATTATTTATAAAAGTTGAAATTTTATTTGTTTTAATAAATTCAAAAAATTGCTATTATTTAGATGTGTTGATGCCATATAGAAGAACTATTTTTTGAACGCGAATCTTTTAAAGATTTTGTTAGATTCAAAACCAATTGAACCCTTAGAATTTCTTCGTGTGGCTTATACTCCAAAAAATTATCCTTACTCCCCATCCTTGATCGAACGATTCTACTGAAAAATCCTATTAATTGGGAAAGATATCCTCACCCTACAGATTGGGAAAATTAGCCTCCATCCTTGATCGAACAATTTTCATATATTGCAAATTTTTATATGCAATACATCAATAGATTAGATAAATATTTATTATAATTCATGAAAATTAATAGTTTGCATTTACACATTAAGAGTAATTATACGGGTTTTCTTTATAATTTGCACGTAATTAATCATTCGAAGTGCTTTAGTCATCAGCCTAGCCTTAATAACTAAAAATTTCTCAATTTAATAGTCTATTTCAACCTTTCTTATTTAAAAAAACACTGTCAAAACAATAAAAATAATAATATTTTTTATTTTATATATTAAATCCCCATCCTTGATCAACCATAGGCGGAGTTAGCTTTGTATTTAAATAGCATTTTAATTTATTTTTTTATAGAATTCGACAAGCTTCAGAGTACTCATTTTTTTAATCGTACCAGAAAAACACTCCTTTATGCTACCAGTATATATATTGTTACGGTCACTCGTAAGGGACATTAAATGTTATAAATCCAGTTAAACTAAGATATGTAAGTGCGCTTTATGAAAATTATATGTTTATGCATTTAATTAAGGAGACCGTTGAATATTATCCAAAAAAGTACCTTTTTTTGTACCAGCTCGCTTTATTGGAGATTCTGGCTCTCTTGCTGTTTGAATTAGCGATCTGCTTGAATTACTTCTTCTCTGAACAGCAAAGCATGTTGCAAATTTTGAATTTCCATTACCAAGAGCTTCTTGTAAAATCTTACTCCCCGCCTCCGTGAGTTAACCAAAAAATTTTGTTCATCATGGAGGGGGGGTTAATTTGTTTTTTTTTCGAAAAAATTTATAAAAATTTTTTTTTTCGAAATTTAAAAAAATTCTAATTCGTAAAAATTGGAAAGCAAATATTAATTTAATTTATAAAATTTATGTTTTAAAAAGTAATTTGTTTAAAATTAAATAGAATTAGCCCTAGATTTCATTATAGTAATTATTACTATATATCAAAAATTTTTCCATAAAAATTTTTTCTATTAAAAAAATTTTTGTTCACTCACAAAGGGTGGATTTTTGGGCAAAAAATAGCTATTTTTCTAATGGTTTTGTTCATTCACGGAGAGAGGAGCTAGTTGCTTTTCTCGGTGATAAACTTGTCCTTCCCGAAGATTTTTCGTTAACTACATAAGAAATACTTATCGAGCTCGCAAATTTTCCCATTAAGCTTCTTCTTTTTTCATTTGCCTCAGCTTTCTTTCTATTTTCAAATTTTTCTATCTCCTGAATAGTATAGATTTCCAGGAACTTATCAATGAGCATAAATCCTCCTCCAACTCTTACTAAATAACAATTACTTATAAGTTTCCCGTTTTCAAGCTTTACAAATACGCGCTTTGTCCCATAGGAATACAAGCCTTCATCTTCTCTTATGAAAGGAATATCTAAAGGTCTGTCCCTAGTGTTTACATAATCAGCCATAGCTGCATCTATTGGGTCATTTTTTACTGGGATATATACAGGGATGTTTTTTCTCAGCTCAGTGATGACATCTTTGAGTGCTTCTATTTCAGCTTCATTATCATTGATTATTGAGTTCATTTCTTTAAGCGCCCTTTGCTGGACTAAATTGTTTTCGGCGTTTTTGAGATAGGAGAGGCCCATTGTTTCAATATCATTGGATAATTTATTTATAACAGAATTGGCTGAGTTATGGACTTTTTTGACTTCTTCTTTAAGAGAATTTGTGTCGTTTTGTAAGACTAGCTGCTGCTCAACTTCGAGAAAGTGAGAAGAAAGCTCTTTTAGACCGTTTTCTGACTGCTGAAGCAAGGAGTCTTGATTTTGGATTTTTTCTTTTAATGAATCATTTTCGGAGCACAGAGTTTTATTTTTTGCTAAAATTTCATTTTTCTGCTTACTCCTCCCCTGCAAAGCCATTGAAAAAATACCAATTTTTGGTAAAAACCACCTTCCGTGAGCAAACAAAAAATGTCTAATATATGAAAAAAAAATTATTTATATAATTTATAATTATCGTAATGAAATCTCTAGGTAAATCTGTTGAATTTTATACAGCTTGCATTTTAAAATAAAATTTTACAAATTAAATTAATATTTCCTCTCCAATTTTTGCGAACTGGGATTTTTTTAAAATTTCACAAAAAAATTAGCCCCCTCTGCTAGCGAACAAATTTTTTTTTGTGTTCGTTGACAGAGAGTGGGGATTTAGTTAGTTCTTGGTAAGAGCTTGAGTGTTTTTCAGCCATGTCCTTTAGTTTTGAGCTCAGAGAAGCACATTCTCCTTGAAATTTTTTTGCGAGATCTTCCATCTGTTTTGCCTTGGCGGCTTGATCTTTTAATCCATTTATCTCTGCAAAGAATTTTTGCTTTTCTGACTGCAAGTTCAATATTTGGTTTTCTTTGTTTTCGTTTTGAGAAATTAGCCCATGCCTTTCAATCTTCAAATTATTCAAGTCTTTTAATAAATCTGCATTATCCGTCTTTATCTTATTGATTTCACGATCATATTCTTTAGACTTGTTGTCAAATTCGTTTATTGAGTCTTTATAGAGCTCTCTCAGTTCTTTCCTTTTATTTTCCTCCACTTGTATCCTTTCCTTCAGTTTTCCGATCATATCTTGCATATTTTCAAAGTTTTGTGCTTCTGCTTTTAATTTGCCTATTTCTGTTTTAAGAATTTCGTTTTCATTTATTAGCTTTTCCTCTATTTTGCATTTCTCTTTAAATTTAGTTTGGAGCTCCAATAACGCTTTGGCATTTTTGTCTCTTTCTCCTCTAATTTTAGTTAAGAACTCATCCTGCTGCTTTCTTTTGTGCTCTATATCAAAAGAGGTTTCCTCAATAGCGCGTTCAAGGTTTTCTCTTTCTTCGAGGCTTTCCAGTGCTTGGCTCCGAAATTCTTCAAGCCGCAACTCAATTAATTGGAAGGCTTTCAATTTTTCGTTTAAGCCTAAAAGAAGAGATCTCAAATGGTCTGCTTCTTGAGAATTCGCTTTTCCTTTTCTTGATGATAAATTCAAGATATCTAGAGCAAGCTCTTGAGGAGAGAGTTTGAGGCTGTATTTGGATTTGGGATTGAGAGCTTGTGCGATTTCCAGGATGACAATTTGGGTTTCTTTTAAGATTTTTAAGTTTTGATCGTTGGAGAGAGAAATATTTTCTAGCTCACCTCTGAAAATTTTGTTAGTAAATTATGTGTTTTATTGGAAACTAAAATTTATATCAAAGATTTATTTAATAATAACTGCATTATAAAATTTATTTTAATTAAAATAAAAAAAAATTAAAGATCCTTTCAAATTGTTTTAAACAGAATTCTCAGCCAAAAAGCATTTTGATTAAATAGGACTAAGGAATTATTTTCTTCACAGGAAGTTGAAAGCTTGAGTTTGGTTTCTTTACGCGATTGTTTAGATTCAGACGAAAAATTCAATTTTCTGTCAAAAGAAAATGGATCTTCTGAAGAAAGAATTCGTTTTGAGCTTGATTTAGACTTCATAGGAGTTAACCGATCACTTGGATTCATTTATGCAAATTATAGTTAAAAGGGATAAAGCCAGCTATTTAGCTTTATTTAAGCAGATTATGCTAATTAAGATCTTTTAGTATTATTATATCCCAGTCCTTTACCCTCTAAAGAAATCAAGACCTCACTTCTTATTATTATTAACTCTTTTTAAAATAGAAATATAAAATAACTGTTTGAGATCAATTGCAATTTAAAAATAGCATCCCTTATTGATCTAATAGATTCATGCATATTAAAATCATCAGAGTCAATTATAAAAGAATGCAAATCTATTCAATAAGTTTAAGCATTTAAGTGTCATAAGTAACAAACCATTGTTTTTAAGTCCTCACATCTCGATCAAATTCGATCTTGAACCTCCTTTGAGTGTAAATATTCAGAATAAGTTATTGACTGTTGCAAAATTATGAATTTTGAATTTGCGATTTAAACATTTTAAAAACAAAAAGAATGCTTAAACGCATAGGTCTCATTGAATACCCAAAAAATATGCTTACAAAAACCTGCAAAATTTAGTAAAATACCAACAAATTTAAAAATAAGATTTTTTCTTAACTTCTGTTCTATTTTAACAGACAAAATGTATATGATTAATTCAATCAGAATAATTTAAAAATATAAACAAATTTTTATAGTGAATTGCTTTAATATTGAATTGCGTTCCACATGTAGAGACCCTCCTAATATTAGTACAATACACTATATTATCATAAAACAATTGACTATAGATTATGAAAAGCGAAATATTTTACTGTTTTATTAAATTCTTTTATAAGAATATTGAAAATGTTCAACTCTTTTAGCAAATTGCCAATAAAAAATGAATCTATGATTATTTTGGCTGCAAGGAATTTTTTAAAGCCTTGGCAGGTGAAATCTATAGTAATAATTCAGTCTTTTCAATTACAGCTTATATTTTTAATTACAAGACTTCTATTCAAAATCAAGGACTTTTTAGCCACCTATACCACTGATTACGCAATAGATAACTTATAAACTAGCTACTCCGATCAATTTCATATCTTAAAAGCCAACCCACAAAAATAAACTCCATAATCAATAAAAGTTTCCATACTTCCAAAAAACTAAAAAACATTTTTTCAAATTCTATCAACAACAGAAAATACATTAGCCCCAAGACATGAAGCAACTGAGCCCTAGAACTCACTCAGTACGTTCGCGGTTTGTCAATCTATCATTTAGTCTGGAAAATCTTCAGCTTAAAATAAATATTTCATATATATTTTTTGTGGTGGTTACGTCTTTATTTGCAAAATGCATAAGAATTCTGAAGTTAAATCTTATCAAATAGGTCTTCCATATGACTAGCTTTTTTATTAATACATAAGAAAATATTAACTAAGTTTGAATTGACATTAATGGTAGTGGTTCAATAAATTTATTTTAGGTAATAATAGAAAATGCAAAGACATTCCTTTATCGGCAGCTTTTGACTGCTACCAAGACCATGCATTTTAGATGCCTTTGAGAAAACAGAAAGTAAAAATTCATTTAAATGTTGTAATTGTGAGTTAAGCTTTAGCAGTGAAGTAGCTCTTTTAGGCTAAATAACTCGATAAAAGCTAAAATATTTGCATAAAATAAGAATTTATTTATTTATCAAGATAAATAATCAATTTATCATAGAGAAACAAATAAGCTTGAATATTAAAATCCTCGTTTTATCGAGAAAATTTACAGTAATATCAAAAGGGAAAAAAAATTTGTTTATTCATAATAAAGATAGGCCCAATTACCCAGCAAAAAAATTTTTCTTTATTAGAAAAAGAATTGTTCTATTATAAAAATGCAAATTCACATAAAAGCAAGGATTTCAATAAAATGAAAACTCCTGCTCTCAGTAAGAAAAATAGAATAAACCGACAATGTAATACCTCATGACAGCAAATAAGACACTAACTGATGTCATCAAAATAAAAATTAAATTTCTTTTTCTAAAAAAACAACGGTTTATTATGCTCCAGAAAAATTGTTAAAAAGTGTGCTCCTTAAAGTATTTTGATACCTATAACTCATATATAATTATTTGACACAAATTACAGCAAAATAGCCTAATATTTATTCAATCTGAGCTATAAGCCTTCGTATTTTAATAATAGAACAGTTCTTTTTCCTAAAGAAAGAATGGCAATTTCTACTGCATAATTTATCTTTATTATGATTAAAAAATGTTTTTTACCGTTTGATTGACTGTAAATTTTCTCGGTAAAACGAGGGTTTTAATATGCAAGCTTATTGTTTCTTTATGATAGAACTGATCCTTAATCTTGATGAATAAATAAATTTTTATTTTATGCAAAAATTTCTTAGTTTTTATCATTATTAGGAGCCGCTCTTTTAATACACCAATTTTCAAATGGCACCAATAGTGACAGCATCACAACGATCAATGACCTCATACATACGAAGAGCTCCTCAGCCGGTGAGCAGGAAACAGCAAATCAAGCAATAGGCATGGCTTTTACCCAGCTCCCTTTGCCTGCATTCAATGACTTGGACTCAACCCACTGCCATATATGCAAGAAAGACTTCATCTCGCCAAAAGGACTTCATCAACACATAGGAAAAGTTCATGAGCAGGCAGAAAAGCATGTGAAGTGTCCTGTGTGCGAAAAAGAATTTAAACATAAGCACGCAGTCAAATTTCATATGACCCAAGTACATGACAAATCTACCAGAATTTGCTGCATCCATTGTCAGAAGATCATATACAACAAGTACCTGCTGGATTTGCACTTGAACAAATGTTCTATGAGAAATAGCAGTCCTTTTTATAGCGCTCAAAATAATATTTAAAAAAAAGACAGTTTCTTTTCTGGAAATTTTCATGATAATAATTAACAAAATTTATATCATAAAGCATAAATTTCCAAAAAATTTTTAAAATGCACAGATAAAATGGTTTTTTTTAGTAAGTCAGAAATAAATATGAGAACTGTTACACATGTTTCTATTTAATTTTTCTATTGAAATATAGCTGGTATCCAAGTCATATTAAGTCAATCTCTTTATCACGAGTAAATCTTTTCTAATTTTTGTAATGAGTATTAATTAAAATCAAATCCTCATTTGCTTGTTCAGATACAGTTAAAATATTTATAAAGTTGATTTCAAGAGTTCCTGCTAAATTGGATAAGCGCCGTAAATATATATAATGATGCCCTATTTGTGTGTTCTATTTCTTATTTTTTTGAGCCCAAATCTCTTCTTGCATAAGTTAAAAAGAATAATAAGTATAAGTATTCTTTTATTACACAGAAATAGTTTAAGGTCAATAAAAATGCTTTGATTTAATACTGTAACTTAAAGAGCCTGCAAATTGTAATATAATGGTCACCTTATAAGTTATGAAGTGAGTTGCTGCCAAATTTTTTTTTATTGATTACCAATAAAATGGCTAAAGTTTTAAAGGAGAATTTATTTATTATTTTTGGGTAATGACAGAGATTGAGAAATTTCTTAATGGAGCAAGAGATTATCTATGCATAACTGTTGCTTAGAAGTAAATAATTCAAAAAAATAATCCATCAGAATTTTTAAAAAAATTACGAAAAAAAGTACCTATAAAATCTAAATTTCATAATTTTTAGCTTGACTAAGCTTATGAATAAATATTATGATTTTATTAATTATTAAAAGTTTTATAGGCTCCAGCTTATTTAATGTCAAAAGTTTTGCTCAAAATAATAATATTTATTCATTCTTAAATTTATATTGACAATTAATTCAAAATATAATAGGAGGTCTCAAAGTGCCCTTAACTTATAGTTGACTGCATATATTCTACTTTTGATCCCTTAAAATCTAAATTGAAATTTACTTTAGATTATGAAATCCATTTCTTTCCATTCTCCAAATCCTAAGAGACATCAAAAAAACCCAAGATCGCCTTCGAAATCGAAGTCTGCAGACCTTTCTCAGTACTTGAACACCAAGCTTTCGTTTATTTTATCAGAATACTTATTAGATACAGTAAATGCAGGCATACCTTTATATGATTCGTTTTCAATAGTTGATTCTCCACCGAAACATTTGATGAGGAAAAATAAATTAAAGCACATCAGCTCAAAAAGCGTTAAAAATCTGCCAAAGCAGAGTAGGGTAGCTAAGCTACCGAGAGCTATCTCCCACAAAGTAATTTTAGGAGAAGTCGAAAATACAGATAACGATTCCAGGCACTATGTATACTATGATGAGCTAAACAGATCTCGTTCAAAAAAGAAAAGGATCCAGCCAATTCAGTCAAGAAATGACCGAAGCCCTTACTCATCAAACTGAAATGTTAAAGCCCTGAATGAATTTTATAAAGAAAATATCAAAAGGAGATCAACCTCACTCAGACTGACAAACTCTACAAGTAAAACAAGATCAAGCAGCAGAGGATCATTATTAAGGTCTATGGTATCTGTTTCTCGATTTAAATCGTTAAGCCCCGATAGAACAAAGAACTGGAAATACAAAAGTTAAATTTGGTGTAATTTTAATTAAAATAGCTGAAATTTATCTAAAATCTTGTGAATGTAAAAGGAATTATAATTTAAAAATATTTTCACAAATGAATAAATCAAAGCAGTCGAGCTTATCGCGGCCACCATCAAGCCAGAGGTCAAGAAAAAGCACCCCTACCGCTTTCAGGCACTCTCCAAGCATGCCAAAATTTGATATTGAGAAAAATTACAAAAAAGCCATCAATAGATCCCCTTTATCTGGCTCCAACTTCCCCCTATCCTTAGCAAACAAGAATCCCTATTTCTTGGGTAAAAACCTATCCTTCGTGAGCGAACAAAAAAATTATATGAAAATTATTTGATATAATTATAATAATGAAGTCTATGCTTTATTTTAAATAACTTACATTTCAAAAAGATAAATTATACTAATGTTTTTTCGAATTAGGATTTTTAAAAATTTACTATAAAATTTATATATAAATTTCTTTTAAAAAAAAAATTAACCCCCACAAAATTTTTTTATCACTCACAGACGGGGAGTAAGGTAAATCTCTTCGATAAAGACTTTTTGCTTCATAGAAGAGATGCGCAATTATGAGAACTCACCCAAGAGATAAAGAAACTTGAGGAGAATCACAAGAGCGTTGTCTCTGTGCTCGAGCACAAAATGCAAAATTCATCAGCTGCTGTGTCGCGAGAAAGTGAACTTCAATACGAAAATTTCACAAATGAAATAAATTCCTTAAAAGAAGAAAGAGATTCTTTGTACACTTCGAACATTATAAAGAGCAAAGAAATCCAACGCCTTGAGTCTCAAATAAAATCTGATCGAGAAATTTATGAAAAAGAAATCAAAAATTTTAATCAAAAAATTGAGGCAGCAAATGTCAAGCCTTATCGAGGGGTCAGCTCACTGCGGTCTTCTCCAACACATAGGCTTTCTATAGATCTTGAAGAAGAATATAAAAAAGAAAAAGAAAGAGCGATGACCTTTTATAATGCTTTAAAAAGGAAAGAAAAAGAATGCGAAGCCTTTCACCATACTGATAGCTCTAGGACTCAGCCGAAAAAAATAGAAAATTTAGTAATTGAAAATAATGATTTGATAATAATAAAATGGCTTCGGATGAGAAGAAATTCACTCTGTGAATTTTCTCTCCTTTATCCAAATTTTAATATTATGGTGCGAGGATTTTACAAATGAACTTCTATCTAAGGGAAGAAATGGCGAAGATTTTCTTACTTCGCATCCTAGAGACATCATATTTTACATCTTTCTGCTACCCGATAAAGGCAGAACCTTAGGTCGAACAGATTATGGAGGAAAATCGGACAGAGCAAGGCAACGCGCCAAGTCGAAAGTTGTTAAGGCTTTACGAGCGAACTTTCTTGGCAGGCCTGATGCACAATTGGAGGGAGCGAAAGCCGAGGAAAAATGGACTTTTTTTGCCCTGCACGCTTGAGGCCTATCTGGAGGTGAGTTAAATTAAGTATTCTAAGTCTAAGAAAATAATGATTTGAGAAAGGCTCTTGCAGATGCCCAAAGTGATATAAAAAGAATGTATGTAGAAATAAAGTACTTAAATGAACAAATTTACCACCAGAGAAAAACTATTGAAGGTGAAAATACTGTAAAGCGCCAGGAAATTGAAGACAATTTGAGAGATGAAATTGAAGACTTAAAAATCAAGTTGAAAAGAGTGATTGAAGGCAAAGTAATTATTCAGGATGACTTAGAGAGGACTAATAACAAGTGCTTTGAGATGGAAATTAGGGCAAAAGAGCTGGGACAAGAATTAGTTACAATAACAAGAGAGCTTGAGCTAAGGAATGTTGAATATGAATCAATGCATAAAGAATTAGAAATTGTAAAGAGGCATAACCATAGCAAACTGTTAAAGCAGCTAGATAGCGAGAAAGAAAAAAGCTTGAACCTAATAACGACGATTACCAATGAAATTAATGCTCAGGTAGATGTTTTACTCTTCCATTTTATGAAAAATGCATTTTTATATATTAATTTATTATTAAATTTTTGAGTAAAAAAGCTGGGATATTAATTTTATTTAGGTTTTAGCATTATTTTGATAGAAATAAAATATATTTTGCTATTAATGGGAGCTAGCAGATAAGTTGGAAAATAGTGAGGATAAACTAGACAAATTGCTAGAATTCGAATCGCAGCTAAGAGAATATTTGGAAAAAAGCAAAGACGAAGCAAATAAAAGTGATATTGAGCATTTAGAATCCGAATTATCAAAAGCCAATGAGATTATTTTTGAGCTTAAAAACAAACTAGAAACTGAATCCACAAAAAGACTCACAGAAGCAGCATTCTACGAAAACGAAGGCTTAAAGCATAATTCAGCCATCAAAGAAATGAAAACAGAACTAAAATCGAAAAAATATTTAGAAGAAGAATATAAAAGGCTAAAAGAAGACATTGAAGAATTAAATAAAAAACTTGATTCAGAAAGAAGTAAATATGAGAAATTAGAAGAAGAATATAAAGAATCCAAAATATCTCATCAGAAGCTGGAAAGCAAGTTTGGACTACTAAAAACCTCAGGAGAAGAAAAATCAGCAGAAATTTCCAACCTAAAAATAGAGAACTCTGAAATTGTCGCAAAGCTGGAAATCATGGAAATGAAATATATAGAAGCATGCGATGCACTGAAGGAGCTTCATTCCTCTACATTTGAATTAAATAAAAAAGAAGATGAATCTGAGCAATGGCAAGCAGACGTTGAAGACTATAAAGAAAAAATAAATAGCCTATCTAGTGATCTTAAAGAGGCGCTAGATAAAAACGAAGCATATGAAGAATCTCTTGAAAAAAATAAAACTGAAATAAAAAATCTCCAAGAAGATTTTGAAAATCTTAAAGATGCTATGAAAGAAATACTAGATAAAAACGAAAAATATGAGAAATCTCTTGAAAAAAATAAAATTGAAATAAAAAATCTCCAAGAAACCTGCAAAGATAATAAAAATGAAATTCTAGAGAAGGAAAAAGAAATCGAAGCAGTTTCAGAGCTTAATTCAAAGCTCAAAGAAAATGAGGAATCAATGCATGAAGAGCAGATAAAAATGAAGCTAGCTATAGAAAAATTAAAAGTAAGTTCCATTTAGAATCAACTTTTCACTGATTTCCCTCTAATTTTGTGAGCAAAATCATTAGGAAAAGACCTATTTTTTGTGGGTAAAAATTTTTTATTATTTTTATAAACTATATCTTAATTAATAATTATAACATCGAAATCCCAAAAAATTATATTAGTTTTTAGAGAGCTTTCATCCTATTATATTAAACTAGCAAATTGGATTTTCTTAATAAACCCTATGTTAACGAGCTAAAGGTTTTGTTTGCTAAACAAGTGGATGAGTGAGAAAAGTAATTATGAGGAAGTATTAAAAGCCAAAGACAACGAATTATGCGATCTTAAAATATTACAAAAAGAACAAGAAAGCAAAAATGAAGAGGTAATTTCTTATTAGGGCTAAAAATAAGGTCTTTTATGATGAGCTGGAAGAAAACATTGAACAAATGAGAATTCTAGAAGAGACAATCAAATCATTAAAAGAAGAAAACTCAGCCAATCTCTTGAAGCAAGAAAGAGCAAAGAGAGCTTTTGATGCAGAATTATCAACGATGCAGCAGCAGTACGATGAAAAAATTCGTACTTTGCTTCAAATGAATGATGAGACGAAATCAGAGTTAGACCAAGTCCAGTCAAAATTCAATGAAAAAGCTAAGTCCCCCTTTAAATTGGAACAAAAAAATCCTGTTCCAATTTAAAGGAGGATTAATTTTCTTTAAAAAAATTTTATAGAGAAATATTTTAAATATAATTTTTTGTCTTAAAAAACTATAAATTGAGCATAATTAATTTGAATTTAAATTAATTTTATGGAGAATTAAATAAAAAATTAATTGATTCATGTGAAAATTGTTTAAATATTAGATTATGTCACAACCAATTTTATATAAAATTAGCATTTTTATTGTAAAATTTTCCTATTGAAAAAAGATGTTTTGCTCCAATTTAAAGGGATAGGAGTAAGGAGCTTAAATTGTGTGGAGACTCAAAAAAAGAAGTTTTAGATGAGTTAGCAAGTAGGCAGTCTCATATAAAATTTCTCGAATACACTTTAGATTGCATTCAAAACACAAATGAAAATAACACCGAAAATTGAACTAAAAACGTTAAAGAATTGCAATATAAACTTGAATCTGAAATAGCAAAAAATGAAAACCTAGGAAAAGAACTGGAAAAAGCAAACCAGCTGCTTATAAAGCATCAGAGCGGGATTGAGTCTCAAATAAATGACATGGGCGACAAGATTCGTGAGCAAAATTTATTAATTCAATCACAAGAAAAAGAAATTCAAAGGCTTCATAGCATAATTTCTCAACTTGAAGCTCAGCCTATTAATGATGAAAATTTATATGTAGTAAACACAAAAATTGAAGATCTCGAGTCTCAAAATGAAGATTATATATACCAGATAGAAAAACTGGAATCAGAAAATAAAGAACTCAAAGAAAACCTAGCAGAATTTCAAGAAAAAACTGATATGAATGCATGTATAGAAATTTCAGAAGAATTTTATAGAGAAAAACTTCAGAAGAAAAAGGAAAAAATTATTGCGCTGACTCCCCCCCCCCTTAAATTGGAATTAAAAAATTTTGTTCCAATTTAAAGGGGGGTTAAGAAAATTTTTTTAAAAAAAAAATCATTATAAAATTTTTTATAAAAAAAAAAAATTTATATAAAATTTAAAAAAAACAATTTCAAAAATTTATCGAATTAGATTAATAAATTTGTTTAATAAAATGCTATTTACTCTTTATCCTTTAAAACAAAGCAAGATATAACTAAAATTTTATTATTAATTAATACGCCAATATTAATTGGTATCAAAACTATTTACACAAAAATTATTATTTTTATTGATAAAAAAAATTTAAAACAAAAAATTTTAGAAAATTTATCGATCAAAGTGCTAATTTTTGTTTAAATAAGATGTTATTTATACTATATTCTTTAAAATAAAGCAAGAGATAAGTAAATTTTGAATTTTTGTAAAGAATTCGTATTGAATTTATATCAAAGCTATTTATATAAAAAAATATCATTTTTATCAAAAAAAATAATTTTTTTTGAAAATTTTTTAAAAACAAAATTAAATTGTTTTTAAAAAATTTACAATTAAGAATAATAAATTTATTTAAATAAGATGCTCTTTATACTCTATTCTTTAAACAAGAGCAGGATATAACTAAATTTTTAATTTTAGTTAAGAAGAAACATTTAAATTATATCGAAACTTTTTACATAAAAATTATGATTTATATATATAAAATTTTTTATTATAAAATTAAATTTTGTTCCAATTTAAAGGGGGGTAATTTACCAAAAAAGTGGAAAATTTTACCTATATTTTGTTCTAATTTAAAGGGGGGGGGGAGTGAGAGAAAAGCTATATGAAATAGAAGTAAAAAATAATGAAAGCATAATGAAAAATTCCGGTTTGGAAAATGAGTATGTCCAAAAATCCAAAATATTAAAAGATATGCAAGTAGAGTATGGAGAGCAAAATGTCAGGCTAGTCTTAGTCTTAGTTAAATTTATAGAGTAGTTCCCGGCCAGGACCGAAGGTCCTTTTCTTCCGCCTTTTGGACGCCTCGCTTGCTTTCCTTGCCCTGCTCCCAGTGTGCACCTAAGTGCCACAGGCTACCACTCAGCTCCTTCCGGTCATGGGGCTTGGTCATGCTATCCCGGAAGTAGGCAGACTGGGTCACCATGCTTCACGTCGCCAGACTAGGGTTAGAGCTAAGAATTAACTCCTTAGCTCTTGTCGGCTCCTGCCATGCCCTCCAAATTGGCACTAGCGGTCCCTAGAGGAAAAACCCTTTTGCCCCGTGTCCTATCGGGAAGACCCTAGGATCGTCGTTGCTGGACTGGGAGGGAAACCTAGCCGGACTCAAACTACCAGTACCTATTCCAGACCTTTCCCTGGGCGGATTGGCTTCAGGCCGCAGCAAGGTCCCCAATCTCGCCTCAGTTCCGGGAGAGGACGGGTCGGTGTCGTCGCCATTTTATTTGTGTCAAAATGCCAGGCTAAATGAAGAAATTCAGCGAGCTGAACAGTTTGAGTCACTATATACTGCACTTTATGCAGATTATGAAGAGCAAAGAAAACAAATTGTTTTTTTACAAAAGGAAATCGAAGACATGCAAAATTCTGCACAGAGCCAAGAAAAAAGAAACAGCCTTTTAGAAGAAAATAAAGAAGCAAAAAATGAAGAACTAATTGAACTTAAACAAAGAATCATCGATTTGGAAGCAGAAAATAAGCTGATATCAGACAGAGAAGAAAGTATAAACAGATACCGAGAACTTTATGGAACAGATTCATTAGAGGGAGAAAAAATATGGGAAGAAAAGTGTGGGAGCCTTCAAAATGAACTGTTTATTTTGCAAGTTGAATACACAAACTTGCAAAAAATTTACGATGAACTTAAAAAATCGCAAAATATTGAAGCCTCATCGTATGATTTAGAAGATCTGGATTTTATCGTTTCTGAAAACAAACGGCTAGAAGAAGAATTAATTTTATTGAAAAAGGAATGGCAAGAAGAAAATGAAAAGAAAAACGAAGATTTAAAGCAAAAAAATAGTGAAATTGAAAATTTAAAGACAGAAATTAAAATAAACAAAGAATTGCTGGAAAAATATCAAATAGAAAATAAAGATGTTTTAGATAATACTGAGGTAAAAGTTATTTAGGTAATGAAAAAAGAATTCAATGCGAAAGTTAGTGAAATGAGTATAGAACTCCAAGAAGCACAACTAAAAATTGAGGAAAATAAAACAGCTTTCAATGAGTTGCAAGAGTATGTGTATTCTTTGGAAAATGAACATGCTAGTGTAAAGAATGATTATTTTAAAGAGCAAGAAAAAATAGCAGCACTTGAAAAAGAACTGGAGCAAACAAGGCAAGAAAGTGAGTCAAAAAAATCTCCAAGGAAGAAGAAAAATGCTTAAAGAAGTAATTATCGCGAATTTAAAGTAATAAAGTCACTGTTTAATTTACCAATTATATTTAAATTTGCTCACGTTATAAATTGAATTCGTAGACTTTACTTTTTCAGTAATTAAGCAATAGGATTTGCTTAATTAAGCACTTATAATTATTAAAATTTTTCTATGAGTTAAATCGCATTAAATTTAGTTAAAACTTAAGAGTTTTATTATTTTAATAACTGGCCAAGAATATTTCATTATTAACTTAAAATCCATTTTACTTGAATAATGGGTAATTGCGCAGTCAAGAAAAATGCTCCAAAAACCGTATCTCCAATCGTTCCCTTAATTAAAAGCCAAACAAATCCATTTTTACGCAACAGAGCCGCTTCTCTTACTTCTCTAGGAGGGCTATTTGAAGAAGAAATGCAACTAAGCCCAGCAGCTCAACAAAAGGCGAGGAAGAAAAGAGGATCCTACCAAAAAGGTAATACTATGGCCCCAACCGAAGCTTCTAACGCAATCATCAAAGATGTCCCAAAAACAACCCAAGACAAAAAAGAAATCAGGGCAGCCTTAGGCCGGCACTTTATATTTCAGAGTCTTTCAGAGGATAATATTGAAGCTGTCATTTCTCATATGAAGCTTTATGTATTAGAGCCTCAACAAGTCATTTACTCAAGAGGAGGAGCTGCTACTCATTTTTTCACTATTTCCAAAGGAAGATGTGAGGTAGTAGAAAAGGGAATTCAAAAAGGGGTTTTAGGCAAAGGCAGCAGCTTTGGAGAGATGGCCTTAATGCAGGAATGTGAAAGGACAAGCACTGTCAGGTCGATTGATAAGGTTATGCTGTGGGGTATAGATCGCCATAGTTTCCGCAATGCTATTGAATCCATAAATGCCCAGAGATATAATGAAAATAAGCAGTTCATTGAAAGTGTACCTTTGTTGCAAAATTTAAATAAAGGCCAGCAAGAGGCACTTTTAGCAGTTTTGACACATCAGGAATTTGAGCCTGGGAGAAGAGTGGTAACTGAAGGCGACCCTGGGAGTTTGTTTTATATAATTAAAGACGGATTAGTAAACTGCACGATTAAAGGGAAACTGATCCGCCAAATGAGCAGAGGAGACTATTTTGGGGAGCAAGCGTTACTTTATAATAGCTTGAGAACAGCCACCATCACTGTAGTAACCAAAGCAACTTTACTGTCTTTAGGCAGAGATGACCTTACTAGAGCACTTGGTAATCAACTACAAAAAATCATATATAAAAACTCCCAAAGAATTGCCTTAGAAGCCAGCCCAGTCCTGAAAAACTTAACTAAAGCCCAGGAAGAAGACATTGTAAGCAAAATGAAATGCAAATCATTTGAAACAAATGATGTGGTCATCCCTAGAGGCACTCCCAGGGGACAGAAATTATGAATTGTGGTTAAAGGGAATTTAATAACTGAGCAGTCAAGAAAAAGGTTTAATGCACTGAGCTGTATAGGAGATATAGAGCTAGGAGCGCCTCCCGAAGGAGTTTATGAAGAAAATTTGAGGGCAGACGGAAATGTGGACATTGAAGAAATGAGCAGGCAGGAATTTGAGTCTTGCATTGGAGGACAGCTAAGTAGAGTTAGCTCGAGAAATGAAATTTTGAGCATTATGAGAAATGTTCAGCTGCTAAAAGCTTTGCCTTTTAAAAAGCTGGAGTCACTGGTGAATAAGGTGTATATAAGAGAATTTAGAAACCAAGAAGTGATTTTTTATGAAAATGCCCCTGGGGATGCATTTTATATTGTGAAAGAAGGAAAAGTTGACATTGTTAAAAATAATGCTGTGATAAGGACAATAGGGCAGCACGATTATTTTGGGGAAAGATCTATAATATTGAAGGAAAAAAGAACTGCAACTGTAAGAGCAAATGGACCAGTTCATGTTTGGGTTCTGAGCAAAGAAGATTTTTTAAGTCTTGTTAATGAAGGAATTAGAATAATGCTACTAAAGCGTATTGAGCTTCAAGACGACAAAATTACTTTAAAAGATTTACATATTGTAAAACTTTTAGGTAAAGGGATGTTTGGGAACGTATTTCTTGCCGTTCACAAAGTCACAAGACTTCCTTATGCCATAAAAACAATCAGCCGCGATAAAATCCGAGCCTACGATCTCTATAGCAGCCTGCTTCTTGAAAGACACATTTTATTGCAAACTGACCATCCTTTAATCATGAAATTAGTGAAGACCTTCAAAGATCATGAAAGAATTTATTTTTTACAAGAATACGTCCAAGGGAAAGATTTATTTGACGTTTTAAGGGAAATTGGGATAATGAATGACGCAAATGCAAAGTTTTATATATCATGCATTCTTACAATTCTTGAACATATGCATGAAAGAGACATTATCTATAGAGATTTGAAGCCAGAAAATATTGTCATTGATGAAGAAGGGTATCCTAAACTCATTGATTTTGGGACTGCAAAGGTTGTTCAAGGGAGGACTTATACAATTGTGGGGACGCCTCATTATATGGCACCTGAAGTCATCACTGGGAAAGGATATGGGGTATCAGCTGATTATTGGTGTCTAGGGGTCATGGCTTATGAATTTATATGTGGAATTGTGCCTTTCGGGGATTCAGATGAAGAACCTTATAAAATTTACGAAAAAATACTTCAAAATAGATTGGCATTTCCTCAGAAAATCAACAAATCGTTAAAAACTATAAAGATTATTGAAGTTTTGCTTGATAAAGATCCTGCACCAAGATCTAGTACAGAGATCATAAAAGGTCATAACTATTTTAATAGTGTCAATTGGGATAGCATTCTCAGTAAACAAATAAAGGCTCCTTATATTCCAGGGATTCCAAGCATTGCTAATGAAATTTTTCAAGCGATGAGGAATAAGCAAACTTTGACCGCTTTTATTTCTGTAATTTTTATTTACTTGTTTCCTAACAAATTTAAAAAAAATTCATTTTAATGAAAATAGACGAACTTTATAAAATTATTTTATATAAAGAGTTAGCAAGAAGAAGCAAGAGATTCACTTGAGGTGCCAAAGAGAGGAAAGCCTCCTGAGCCTGGATGGGATGATCCTTTCTAATTGTAAATTAATATAACTGTATAACCCTTTAATATACAAATATACATATAATTTCAAATATTTATTATACCTTTATATTTTTATATAATAATATAATGGCAATTGATAATATTTATAAATTAATATAATGTCAATAGAAGAAATCGTTTATTTAGACGAGTATTTATGCCCAATTACTCATGAGCTTATGACAAACCCAGTTGTAGCTGCTGATGGAATTACTTATGAAAAATCAGCAATAACTTTATGACTTAAAAAAGGACATCATAGAAGTCCAGTCACAAATGAAAGGCTTCTTCACAACTCATTAACCTCAACTAATAAAAGTTTTGGCACAGAATTGGAAGCTCATCCGAGCAAGAGCTGCCTTTTATTAAGTTAATTTATTCCAGGGAAGATTATACCAAGCCGACGCAAAGTTTTTCATCAAATCAAGCTCTGCCATCAAGTCAGCAGACCTTTTCCTGGGCTAGGATGGCTGAAGATGGACCAGCATCAAGGTGCGGTACGAAAACTTGACAGTGCAGGCTTCCCGAGTCTCTGCATCATTCAAAGTTGGCAGAGAGGCATCGTTTGAGTCAGATAGAAACAAGTCTGCAGCTCATCAGACTCCAAGGGAGGAGATGCAAGCTAATTGGGCGTAATCGCATTAAAGACTGATATTCTTACGAAGACGAAAGGTGAGAAATGTGAAGATAAGCCATCTTGCCATCGCTAGTGGTGGATCATAACGGTATTAAGGCCTAGTGCATTTAGCTTTGCCTCTGCAATAAAATATCTAAATATAAATAAATTAATTCATTCATTAATCCCCAACTTAGCCCTCAAAAAGTTGATAGACAAATTCCGAAGCGAATTGCCGCTCATCCAAAGAGAAAATCAAGTAAAAGTCAATATCGAAGAAGCAGTCAAATTCAAAGAAGAAGTTTTAAAACAAGCTATTGGAATGAATAATCAACAAATTCGTCGCATTGAAGACGAATTAAATGAAGAAAAAGCCAAAGTGGAAAGACTAACTAATGAAATCGAAGAGCTTAAACAAACAATTTCAGAAAATCCAAATAGAAGCAAAAAATCACAAAATCAGAAAACAATAGAATCATCTAAAAAAGATCAATATCCAAACAAACGATCAAAAAAAAGCGAACAAAACCATTAGAAAAATCACCATTTTTTGACCAAAAACCCACACCTCCGTGAGCGAACAAAGATTTTTTTTAATAGAAAAAAATTTAATGGAAAAAAATTTGATATATAAGTGATAATTAGTATAATGAAATCTAGAGCTAATTCTGTTTAATTTTAAACAAATTGCGTTTTAAAACATAAATTTTGCAAATTAAATTAGTATTTGCTTCCCAATTTTTGCAAATTAGGATTGTTTTAAATTTCGAAAAAAATATATTTTTTATAAAATTTATATATAAATTTTTTTTTAAAAAAAAAAATTAACCCCCCTCCGTGAGTGAACAAAATTTTTTTGTTCGCTCACGGAGGGGGGGGGGGGAGTTAGACAAAGCAAATTCTCAATCAAAGCCACGCAAAAAAGCCAAAAGATCAGTAAGCCAATCGATCAATTTTAGAACTCTAGCAGGCCAGTTATTTACAATCCAAGCTGAGGAAAATGATAATATTGCCCAAGTAAAAAACAAAATTTTTGAACAAGAAGGATTCCTACAAGCTCAACAAGTGCTAGTTTTTGATGGAAAGCAATTAGCTGATGAGGAAATAGTGTCGGATATAAATTTAAAGGATGATAGCATAATATATTTTGCCTTGAATCCTTATAATGGCTCTATCAAAAATCAAGGATCTGAAAATTTTGTTATTTATGTTAAAACCTTATCAGGGGCTACGTTTGAAATAACCGCTAATCCAAATGATACTGTGGAAATTTTGAAAGCAAAAATCCAAGAGATTGAAGGGATTAGTCCATGTCTCCAAAGGCTGATGTTTCAAGGCAAGCAACTGGTAGATGGACCTATTTTAGCCGATTTTGGCTTGAGCAATGAAAGCACAATTTTTCTCATTTTGAGATTGGCCGGGTGCTAGATCATTTTCAATTATAATTTATAAGGTTTATAATAAAGATGCCAAATTGTGTTATGGAGATAATATCTGAAATAGCTTTTTAATATAGAAAGCATAGCATAATAAAGACTGATAAATTTTAGAGGAAGCGAAAATGAGCTAGTATATAGTATGCATCAAAAGTATAATGATTAAATCGAGTGATAATTGTGATAGACTAAAAATCATAAGAAGTAATAATCATCAATAAGTTAATTTAAGCTCAGTTTAAAAAACAGTAATTTTTCAGTCTTATCTGAAATGTATGTAGATGCAAAATGCAAAATCAAGGATCTAGTATGTAAAAGCCTTAAATAACTAGAGACAGTATGAATAAATAAAATATCTATAATGCAATTTAAAATAGTTCATATTTAAATGCTTTATTCATGCAGAGGAAAGTTCTAATAGCATAATAATGCAAAGGATGCGATATTATAAATCTAATATGAAAAAAGTGTTTAGAGCTTATTAATAAGAGAAAAATAATATTTATTAAATTTATTAAAACTACAAAACAGCAGTTTTCATATTCAATATAAAATGCCCCAAATTATTTATTTCAGCTGCTATTACTACTAGTTTCTCTGAGTTTCATTAACTGAATTTAGAACGGTCCATTTTTAGTTAAAATTTAAATTATTCAGATGATATATATCTTTTCTTTGATAGTAATTTATCTATATTTTAAGATTAATTATAGATAACCATGGACGCACAAAATGGGTATTGATGCGACTATCAGCCTTTTTTCTTGAACAAGCACATGGGAAGAAGAAGAAAAAGGAACGGAGAAGCTCAAATGTGGGGTCTTGACGACGTCAATGGATTCAAGCTCGTTGGGCAAAGCATTGATGAGCTAGGCCTTCTTCAAAAATATAAGCGAAAAAGCCGAGAGTCAATCGGATGCGAAGTGGTAATCGGGATTTTTATTCAGCCTGATGAAGAGTCACATTTTGCTGCAACAATGGATTCAGTAGTAAAAAATGTAAAGAACTTCAAAGATAAAGGACTATCAGTTCTCTGCATAGCAATAGCGGACGGTAGAGAGAAGCTGAAATCAGCAGACAATGATAGTTTAATGGGAAGTGTTTTTCATAATGTTTATTATGATGAATCATTGATAGAAAAACAATTTAATTTAAGCAAAGAAAACAATAAAATTCCTCTGAAATACTTTATGACAAACCCTGCGGAATCACAAACCGATGAAGAGCTCGCTCATATGTTTATGCATAGAAACTGGCTAAAAATAGATGAAGGAGGCAATGAGCGCAAGATTGATTTAATTTTTTGCATCAAAGAAAAATATTCACCCTTCTCTTTAAATATGAACAATTTATTATCAAATTTGAAGGGATTTAAGAGAGACTTACAAAATTTTCCTATAAATTTCAATAATTATTTAAAATAAAATTAAATAAAGATGGACACATTTTAAAAATCTTTGATTTCAATTTCTTAAGATTTAAGATATCCGTTTGTAAGCTCTTTTTTTCTTTAATCCGCCCAGCTTTGATTACAAATTTAAAAATAGCAATGAAAATAGTATATATAAGTTGAATGCAATATTATTTAATTTTTATTTACTCCGCCTTCATTTTTATTGGAACAAAAATTCTATTCCAATTTAAAGGGGTATTAATGTAAATTTGAAAGAAATTATATCGAGTTTTCTCTGTGAAAGCAATTTTTATGTTTTTTCGTAAAATAATTTTTATAAAAATTATCGTATTATTCTAATTCACTTTCTATTTTAAATCGAACAAATTTAGTTAAATTTTTATTAAATAGGTATCAAATATAAATTAATATTTTTACTTATAAAATTATAATTTTGTTCCTTAAAAAATAGAATTTCACCATTATTTTGTTCCAATTAAAAGGAGTGAGTTAGCTTTAGAAAATTATTTAAGAAAATTTATCAATCCAACTTGGCAGCAGTTAAAATTGGATTCTATTACATTAAATCTATTATATTTGAGTCAAAGCTGTTACATTAAAATTATTTTATCGAAAATCAAAATAAGGGTTAATTTTCCCATAAATCAAAATTTACCTATATCTCGTCCAATTTAAAGGGAGTTAGACAAAATAATATTTTATAATAAGATAAAGAAATTTATAAAGCATATAGTTCAGGCTAAAATGGGAAGTTAGGAAAACTAAACTCTCATTTATGATTCTTTGGAGGTTTCTGTCAGCATATCAACCCCCGAATTGTCATGCTGCTAGATGCCGGAGTGAAGCCCCAAAAAAATGCTTTAATCTACATGTGGAAAGCTCTTCGAGCTGATGAAAATCTTGCCGGATGCACTGGCGAGCTAAAGCCTGATACAAAAAAGTGAAAAGATATCTTTCGTTACGCACAAGTAGCAGAGTATAAGTCCATTTATATGCTCGATAAAGCCCTAGAAAGCGTTGTCGGCTACATCTCAAGCCTCCCCAGCTGCTTTAGTGCTTATCAATGGAAAGCTTTAAGCATGCCCATTCTATTAGAAACTCATTTTAAATCCATCTGCAACCCTGAAGAAATTGACGCTGCAAATTCCAATTATTACCTTTCAGTCGATAGACTTTTGAGCCTATCTCTTTTCATGCAAAGGAAACAAAAATACACCCTAAGATTTGTCAAAAGGTCAAAGGCCAAAATTCATGTCTCAAATAAAGTGTACAAGATTATGCTCACAAGGAGAAAGTGAATCAATGGGACTTGGTTCATTTTACTAGAGTCTCTTAAAAAATCCTACTTGATTTTTGGATGCAAAACCAATCATCCATGATATAGGATCATCTTATTTGCTCTGCAAATGATATTGTTTATTACAAACTTCTTTTTTTCTTGGCTCATTGTGGGGTATTTTTTTGTTTTTCTCGCCCAAGGATTGAGGACGAGGGTTGATAATGATCATGTGCAAGATATTTTTATGATTTTTTATGGGCTGCTTCTTGAACATGTATTGATTCTTTCTCTAGGAGTTTCTCCTAACTCCCCCCCTCTGTGAGTGAACAAAACCATTAGAAAAATCCCTAATTTGCTCAAAAACCCATACTCCGTGAGCGAGCAAAAATTTTTTAGTAGAATAATTTTTATATATAAGTGATATTTAATATCATGAAATCTCTAGCTAATTCTGTTTAATTTAAAAAAATTGCGTTTTAAAGCATAGATTTTACAAATTAATTAATATTTATTTCCAATTTTTGCAGTGGGATTTTTTTAATTTCGAAAAAAAATTAACCCCTGCGTGAGCGAGCAAGATTTTTTTGTTCGCTCACGGAGGGAGGACTAAGAAAGCTGATAAATGCTTGACGTATATGAGCTACATTCTTTTAGGCATTTCTATAGTGAGTGTATATTTCTTTTTAGGCTACTGATTTCAGCAGCCTGATGGAGGCTACTCAATGGTATATTTTGCAGCATTTCTTACAGCGTCTGGCTTATTTATCTTGAACCTTCTTTTCTACCTAGAAATCATCTTTAGCATCCCTTTTTATGTTATTTTGATACCTGTTCTCGTTAATATCTGCATGGTTTATTCGATTTGCAATATTCATGACTGTTCTAATAGCCACCCAGAAAAAATCACTGAAAAAGAAAGGGAACAAATTGCCCGTTTCCAATCTTTCAGAGCTTTTTGGCTTCTTGTATGAATTTCAACTAATGGTGTTTTTGCTTATGGTCTATACGAATTAATTGAAGAAAAGAAAATGTATGCACTAATAGCTATAGCTATGGTTGGAATGGCTAATATTATTATTAGGCTGATTGGAGGATTGGTGTATCACGCAAAAGAATGGGTTTTGAATAAACATGACGATAAAATTGATCAAAAAAATCATAGAATCGAAGACAATGTAGAAGATGCTGAAAAGATTTTTATAGAAGTTCCAAGTTTAAGCGACTATTAGTGTTATATGAATAATTAAAATATTATTTAACATTAAGGAGACTCATTTTATGAATCTATATGATTGGATATGATGCAATATTTGTCTTGTTGGAAATCAGTTAAGACATTATCAATAAGCACAAAACTGATGCATTTATAAACGCAAACAAAATCATTAAGAATTTAAAACTGCCTCTGCAACATTCTTGCCAGATTAGTGAAGCAGAAGCAAGATGCACTAAAATTCTTAAAGTTTTATATGCTGAAGAAAAGGTTCTTGACATTGCTAAAGACGATGATATGGAAAGCATACTTAAATGCAGTGCTTCAAATATTCAGCACAAGATGGCTGAATGAGATATAAAAGAGTGGTATTTAGACTATAAAGATATAAATGCAGTAATTAGCAAAATTTATGAAATACCTTTTAATCCTTTAGACAAATTAGAGAAGATACAATTGAATGAAATGAGCTTAGCTTGGGAAATTATTTCACTACTATTTGCATTTACTGCTGATTTTATATAATTCAATATCCTATCATTTTTAAACAATTCTCCTGCGCTGAGACTATTATTTTGTTTTTCTCATTATCCTTAAGCATTTGTCCAATTTCTTCACTTTATTTAAAAGCATTTCTTTAAAGTAATAAAAATTGTTTTCTAGCTTATCCAGCATAGCTATAATTTTATCCTGACTTTAGCTTCTATATTATTGACTACTGAGCCTATCTTCCCTTGGCATTGCACTAATAGTTGCTATGTCTTTCATTGGATTTATATTCAAAATCCTTTTCTACTTTTTCAGCTAATTTTCCTTCTAAATAGGTGAAATAATTTGCAGCAGTGCTAAAACTTAATATTATTTGATTATTCTCATGGAAACTGAGGCTTTTTGATTCAATTTTTTGACAAAAATTAGCTCCTTTGTCAGCAGATAGAATATAATTCCGTTTATTTTTCTAGTTTTTTGGAATGAGTGTCAAGATTCCTCTATTGATTAGCCAAAGTTTGACGAATTGCCTCCTGGAGAGTTGAGAGAAGGAGAGAGTTCTCTTCTGTAATGAGGGCCTTGGTCATAGTTAGCGTTTTAACAGTAATTTGATCGCTCACCAGAGGTTTTAGATCCTTCCTTAAACAAAGTAATTATATAAATGGTGATATCACATAATTGCAATCTATCTATATCTCAAAAGATTCTTATTAGCAATCAGTTTTAATTTTAAACTTGCTAATTTTTAGGAAAAATACCCTTCAAGAGTATATATAATAAAATAGAGATGCGGTTTAAATCAGTCAAGAGCTGTTCGCCATAAAGGTTGCCTTTACTTCGCTCATTAACTAAATCAGCTTTGGAAATTTGATCTTGCTTTAAGCAAGTTTCTCAATTATAAATAGATTGAACAATAAAAAATTTTAAGAGTTGATAGCAAAAGATTATTAAATGCGACCTATTTATTAGAAAATTATTTCGTCCAGCTTGGTTAATATTTTTTCCTCTAAATTAAACTTGAAGTAACTAATTTTAGCTTTACTACAAGCGAGTGCAATATTTATTCCTTCTTTATTATAGGGTGTTAGGGTGTTAGGGTGTTAGGGTGTTAGGGTGTTAGGGTGTTAGGGTGTTAGGGTGTTAGGGTGTTAGGGTGTTAGGGTGTTAGGGTGTTAGGGTGTTAGGGTGTTAGGGTGTTAGGGTGTTAGGGTGTTAGGGTGTTAGGGTGTTAGGGTGTTAGGGTGTTAGGGTGTTAGGGTGTTAGGGTGTTAGGGTGTTAGGGTGTTAGGGTGTTAGGGGTGTTAGGGTGTTAGGGTGTTAGGGTGTTAGGGTGTTAGGGTGTTAGGGTGTTAGGGTGTTAGGGTGTTAGGGTGTTAGGGTGTTAGGGTGTTAGGGTGTTAGGGTGTTAGGGTGTTAGGGTGTTAGGGTGTTAGGGTGTTAGGGTGTTAGGGTGTTAGGGTGTTAGGGTGTTAGGGTGTTAGGGTGTTAGGGTGTTAGGGTGTTAGGGTGTTAGGGTGTTAGGGTGTTAGGGTGTTAGGGTGTTAGGGTGTTAGGGTGTTAGGGTGTTAGGGTGTTAGGGTGTTAGGGTGTTAGGGTGTTAGGGTGTTAGGGTGTTAGGGTGTTAGGGTGTTAGGGTGTTAGGGTGTTAGGGTGTTAGGGGTGTTAGGGTGTTAGGGTGTTAGGGTGTTAGGGTGTTAGGGTGTTAGGGTGTTAGGGTGTTAGGGTGTTAGGGTGTTAGGGTGTTAGGGTGTTAGGGTGTTAGGGTGTAGGGTGTTAGGGTGTTAGGGTGTTAGGGTGTTAGGGTGTTAGGGTGTTAGGGTGTTAGGGTGTTAGGGTGTTAGGGTGTTAGGGTGTTAGGGTGTTAGGGTGTTAGGGTGTTAGGGTGTTAGGGTGTTAGGGTGTTAGGGTGTTAGGGTGTTAGGGTGTTAGGGTGTTAGGGTGTTAGGGTGTTAGGGTGTTAGGGTGTTAGGGTGTTAGGGTGTTAGGGTGTTAGGGTGTTAGGGTGTTAGGGTGTTAGGGTGTTAGGGTGTTAGGGTGTTAGGGTGTTAGGGTGTTAGGGTGTTAGGGTGTTAGGGTGTTAGGGTGTTAGGGTGTTAGGGTGTTAGGGTGTTAGGGTGTTAGGGTGTTAGGGTGTTAGGGTGTTAGGGTGTTAGGGTGTAGGGTGTTAGGGTGTTAGGGTGTTAGGGTGTTAGGGTGTTAGGGTGTTAGGGTGTTAGGGTGTTAGGGTGTTAGGGTGTTAGGGTGTTAGGGTGTTAGGGTGTTAGGGGTGTTAGGGTGTTAGGGTGTTAGGGTGTTAGGGTGTTAGGGTGTTAGGGTGTTAGGGTGTTAGGGTGTTAGGGTGTTAGGGTGTTAGGGTGTTAGGGTGTTAGGGTGTTAGGGTGTTAGGGTGTTAGGGTGTTAGGGTGTTAGGGTGTTAGGGTGTTAGGGTGTTAGGGTGTTAGGGTGTTAGGGTGTTAGGGTGTAGGGTGTTAGGGTGTTAGGGTGTTAGGGTGTTAGGGTGTTAGGGTGTTAGGGTGTTAGGGTGTTAGGGTGTTAGGGTGTTAGGGTGTTAGGGTGTTAGGGTGTTAGGGTGTTAGGGTGTTAGGGTGTTAGGGTGTTAGGGTGTTAGGGTGTTAGGGTGTTAGGGTGTTAGGGTGTTAGGGTGTTAGGGTGTTAGGGTGTTAGGGTGTTAGGGTGTTAGGGTGTTAGGGTGTTAGGGTGTTAGGGTGTTAGGGTGTTAGGGTGTTAGGGTGTTAGGGTGTTAGGGTGTTAGGGTGTGGTTAGGGTGTTAGGGTGTTAGGGTGTTAGGGTTTAGGGTGTTAGGGTGTTAGGGTGTTAGGGTGTTAGGGTGTTAGGGTGTTAGGGTGTTAGGGTGTTAGGGTGTTAGGGTGTTAGGGTGTTAGGGTGTTAGGGTGTTAGGGTGTTAGGGTGTTAGGGTGTTAGGGTGTTAGGGTGTTAGGGTGTTAGGGTGTTAGGGTGTTAGGGTGTTAGGGTGTTAGGGTGTTAGGGTGTTAGGGTGTTAGGGTGTTAGGGTGTTAGGGTTAGGTGTTAGGGTGTTAGGGTGTTAGGGTGTTAGGGTGTTAGGGTGTTAGGGTGTTAGGGTGTTAGGGTGTTAGGGTGTT